AATAATATTTCAAAAATTTAAAAAAATTTAAATTTAAATCAAAAGCTTTTAAAACTTTTATTATAAAAATTTTAATAATAAAATAAAAAAAATTATATATACTATTAGTTTTTTAAAAAAACAAGTTTTTAAATTATTTAAACTTTTTTAAAAACTATATTTAAAAAAAGAAATTTTTAATAAATATTTTATTAAAATACCAAATCTTTATTATAATTTTAAAAAGTTTAAAAAGATTTCTAAATTTTTTCTTTTAAAATTTAAATAAAAATAATAAACCGAGCGCGATATATTATAATTTTAATAAGTTTAATAAAAAGAAAATTATTTAATTAATTTTAAATATTTTAATATTTAATTTAATTTTATTAATAATATTAAAGGTTTTATATTTTATTAAGGATTAAAAATCGAAATTAAAAACGAAAATATTAAATTTAATAAATTAAAAACCTTTTTTTAATATATTAAATTCATAATTAAAATCGAGAATTATTTTTAAAAAAAAAAAAAGAAACGACGATAAGAATTTAATTTAAAATATAAATATTAATAATAATTTTAATATAATTTTAATTAAAAATACCGTTATAATAAGAATAAGAATATTTAATAATTTATTATTTATAAATAATATAACGAATTTATGAATTTTAATATAATAAAATAAGATTAATTTTATTAAAAAAAAGAATTTAAATATTATAATTATACTAAATTAAAATATATAACTAAGGATTATAAATAGCCTAAATAAATTTAATAACGACCTATTTTTAAAAAATAAATTAATATTAATTTTAAAAAAGAATTTTATAAATTACTTTTTTAAATTATATATTATAATAATAACTATTTTATTTATTAAAATAAGATAGAATAATTAAAATAATATTTTAAAGAATATTTTAATAAAACCTTTATTATAATAAATAAATAAAAAATAGTTGAATATTTATAAGCTATCGAAGATATAATAAAAAATATATTTAAATGTTATTAATAATATACGAAATAGTTAAAATAGAATTTATTAGTTTTTTTAAATAAAGATAAACCCTTATAATAATAAAAAATAAATTAAGAAAAAAATAATAATCAAAAATAAAAACAACTTATTTTAATTAAAAAACGAGATTATAATTTATAAATTACGGATTTTAAATAAAACAATTTTTATAATATAACGAACATTTAATAAAATAATTTAATATTATGAATAACGCTTTTTAATAATAAAGGATTATAATAAAAATTATATTTATATATTAATTAGTTATTATAAAGTTAATTAATTAATTAAATAAATAAATATAAAATAATATTTGCTTTATTTTAATAACGATTTTAAAAACGATTAAAAATTAAAACGAAAAAAGACCTTTTTTAATTAAAAAACGAGATTAATAAAGAAATAAATTTAATTTATAGATTTTAAATATTAAAAAAATATTATTAATAACGTATTAAAAACTAAATAAGGCCTATTATATAATAAACGCTTATATTTACCGATATTTAATTATAAAAATAATCCTTATTGTCTTATAATAATAAATAAATAAATAATTTAAAATAATAATAAAAAATGATATATTCCGTTTAAAATAAAACTTCTTTATATTTAATAAAAAAGCCTTACGTAAGCCTACCTTTATACTTATACCGGATTTAAATAATATAATTAATAAAAATATTAAAAAGACTAAGAATTTAAATAAAAAAACTGTTAATAGTACGCTTATAACATTTAATATTAAAAGATTAGATTACGACCCCTTTTTAAATAATATTTAAATATTGTATTACGAATAGTTTATAAGCTAATAATCGCTTTATAATTTAAATAAATCTTACGACGTTACTTAACAACGAGCTTAGTTAAAGATTAATTATAAAATACTATTTAATATAAATAATTTTATTATTTAAAAAGAAGCTAATTGAAATAAGTAATTAAATTAATAAAAATCTATAACCTTTTAAAAAGAATTAAATTAGTTTATTAAAGACGTAAAAGACTATTTATATAATTAATATATTTTACAAATATATTAAATATTAAAATATTTAAAAACTATAAATTATTTTTTAAAAAGAGAGAATTTATTAATAAAATAATAAACGATATTTATAATATTATTAATATATTATATTTATTTATTAAAACATAAAGGCGTCCCGATTTAGTAATTAATTACGAACTGTTATACGCTTTTATGCGGTGAGAATAAAATAATATATTAATACCCCTTTTTAAAATTTTTTTAAAAATTTCCTAGCGAAATCTCTTAGATATATTATAAAAGTTCTAAAAGAAACTTTTAAAAAATCTTAAAGATTTCCTTATAATTTCCTTTAAAAGAAATAAAGGAAATTTTAAGGATTTCTTTATAATTCTTTTTAAAGAAATCTTAAGGAAATCTTAAAGAAATTTTAAGCTTTTTTAAGCGTTTTTTTTAAAGGAAATCTTTAGGAAATTTTAAAAATTTTGCGGCCCTCTTTTTTTTAAGTAACCGTATATAAAAAAAAGGAAATTTAGCTCTAAACCGTAATACGAACGGTTTTTAAAAAAGAAATAGGTCTCAACTTTTAAAATATTAAAAAATTAAATACGCTAATTATAAAAAATTAATAAAAAACAGTTAAAATAAATAAGTTTTTATACTTTATAATATTCGTTAATGAAAAATATTTATAAATTAAATTGTAAATAAATAAATACAATATAAACGTTATTATTGATAATAATATTTAAAAATATTTAATTTTATTAAAAATAGTAAACAAATATAATTTATTATAAATACGATAAATAAAATTATATATTTTATAAATAATAAAGAAAAATAAGTTAACTATAATAATAAATATATTAATTAAAAAATTATATATTTTATAATATATATTAATAATTAACTAAAATAATTAAAATATAATATTATAAAAATTAAAAATATCGACGTTATTTTAAAATTGTCGTAATTACGAAAATATAATTTATAAATAAATTAAAAACCGGTTAATTTTAATAAATAAATTTAATTATTAAATAATTTAAAAAAAAAGGTTTATATAAGTTTTATATAATATTTAATAAACGAAAATAAATTAAATATATTATTTTTATTAAAACTAAAAACTTATTAAAATATTTATATTTTATATAAACAATTAAAAATTAGATTTATTTTAAATTATATTTAAAATATACTAAATTTATATAAAACTTTTTATTTTAAAAAAAGAAATAGGCCTATTAAAATATAATAATTAAAATATAAAAATCGGATTAAAAAAAAAGATATAACTTAAGTTATATTTATTATATTTTATAAATTAATTTAAATATAACGAATTTAATAAGTATATTAATAATAAATTTCAAAAAAGTTATATTTTTCTTATAAAAGTATTAATACTTTTCGTATTTAAAAAGAAATAAAAAAAGATTTAAATTTATAATTAATTATAAAGAATTTAATAAAATTATTTAAAAAAATTATTATTTATCATTATTTATTATAAAATTTAAAAGAATATAATTTAAAGTTTAATAATATTTTAAAATAAATTTAAAAAAAGTATTTAATTAAATTAAAATTAAAAAAAAACAAATAAAAAATAGTATTTTAAATATATAAAAACCTTTATAAATACTTAATTATACCTTTTTAATTTATTAATATACTTATTATATTTTAAATAATAATTAATTATATATTTAAAAAGTATATTAAAATTTTTTTATCGCTTATTTTAATAATATTTTAATTTTTTTTTAATTTCAAAACGGATAAAAAATATATTTATATAATATTTTAAAAATTTTAAAATATAAAGTTTTTTATTAAATTTAATAAATATAAATTTTATATATAAAAAATAAAGTTTTTTAGTCATATAATTATATTAAAATAAATTTATATATAAGTATTTAAAATAATAGTAATTAAAAATTAATTTATATTTATTAATATTGAAAACGTATAATTATTTTTAAAATTTATTAATTTTTATTAACGATTTTTTAAAAATTATATTAATATTATTAAATATTTTAATAATTTAATAAAGAAAAATACTATTTTTATTTAAAATAAAAAATATAATAAAACGTTTAATAAAATTAAAAATTTATTTATTTTAAAATTAATAATTATAATTCCGGATTTAAAAAAATTATTTAAAATCGAGATCAACGATTTAAATTTTATTATAAAAACTATTTTAAAATAACAAAATTAATAAAAAATATTTTATTTTTATATATTTTATTTTAAAATATTTTATTAAATAGAATTAAATTAATTAATTTATAATAAAAATTAATATTTATAATTAAAATCTTTAAAAAATAGAAATTATAATTTTAAAAAATTATATATAAAATTATTATTTATATATATTATAAAAAGCTTACGAATTTTAAAATAAATAAAATTTTAAATAAATAATAAGTTAAATATAGCGAATTTTCATCTAAATTTAAATTTTAAATTATTTATTAAAAAGGTTTAAAAAATAATAAAATAAACGCTTTTAATAAACGATTTAATTATAAAATTACGATTTTTAAAGAAATATAAGTAATTTTTAAATACGATAATAATAGTAATTTTTATTTATTATAAGACTTTTTATAATAATTAAAAAAGTTAATATTAATTTATTTAGGAAAATAATTCTTAAATTTATTTTAAAAATTTATAATATTTAAATATATAATTATTAAAATATTATAAAAATATAAAAAAGGATTTAATAATATTATAATAAATCTATTATAAAAATAAAAATCGCTAAAATTATTAAAAATTATAATATTAATAATAAAAAATAAAATTAGCTTTTATAAGCTTTATAAAGAGCTATAATTATTATTAATACCATTAAAAATATAATATTTAATTTCTTAAAATTTTATTTTTAAACTATTAAAGTTTGAAAAATTATTAATAAATATATAATACAATAATATTTTAATTATTATCGACCGATTTATTAAGTTTATTTATTTTATATTATATAAAAAAGTAAATAATATTGAAAAATTAATATATACTTTTTTTAAAATAGTTATTATAAATTACAGTTTATTTAAAAAAAGATTTAATAAAAATAATCTATTTATTATTAAGTTTTATAAATCTTTTATTTCGTAACTCGGTATAAATTATAAATTATTCATTTCTTTCTATTTATAAATTAATAAATAAACGAAAGAAATTAATTAAATTTTTAAAATATATTTTTATTATTATATAAATTGTAATTAAAATCATTAGGTATTATTATTTTTAATAGCTTAGTTTATATATAATAGCGTAATTAGTAAAAATATAAAAGAATCCTTTTTATATTTTAATTATAAATTTTAATTAATTATATATATAAAAATACGTAAAGAATTATAAATTATAAAAGCCATAATAAATATCAATAAATTTAAAAAAGTTTAAAAAAAAGCCTTTTTAAACCTCTAGTTTATATAATAGTATATAAAAAAATATATTAATAAAATAAAAATTAATAAATTAATTTTAAAAAAAAGAAATAATTTATATTTTTTTTTACTATAATATTTAAATAAAACGATTAAGTAATAAATTAAATTATAAAAAATTCAGACTTTTTAAATTATAAAAAAAGCTTTATTAATTAATTTTAAATTGAAATTTTTAAATACGATACGATATTATTTACTTTTTTATAATTTATTTTTTAATTTGGTATTTAAAAGCTTATATATAAAAGACCGTATTATTATTAAATTTAACAAGTTAATATATAAAATTAAACGAATTATTAATTATTAAATTAAAAAAAATTAGAAAAAGTATTTTATTAAATATAAAGACTACGTATATAAGGATAATATATAAAAACCCGTTACGAACTTTTAAAATTTTTAATAACTTTTTAAAAAGTATTAAATTAAAATTAAATTCAATATTTTTAGTTATTACGGCGTTTTAATTAATAACGCTAAAAGTATTATTAATTTGTACTTCTTAAGCTATTAAAAAAACGCTTTTAATATCCTTAAGAAAGTCTTTTAATATAATATAACTTTTTAAAATACTATTCGCTTTTAAAAATAAAAACGTTTTAATTTATATAACGATTTATTTAATTTAATTTAAGCTTTTTAATAAGCCTTAGTTTTTTTTCATATTTTTATAACTTTTTTTAAAAACTATAATTTATTTATTTATTTATTTATAATTAAAGCGATCGGACTTTATTATTAAATAATTTATTATATTTATTAATCGAGACCTATAAAAAATAGTCTTTCGAAATTTATAAATATAAATAACGTTAATAAAAATATTATATAAAATATTTAAATAATAATATATTTTATAAACGTTAAAATTAAAAAGAATTAAATAATAAATATTTTAAAATTAATAATTTAAATACGGTATTATTTTTATATTTTTTATTAAAGAAACGAATAAGATATAATTAACGGCGACGAGACGTAGTTATTTATAATTTTAATTTTTTAATTTAAAAATAAATAACTTATTTATAAACTTAACGATTAGAATTTTAAAAAAAAGAGCTAATATTATAATTTAATACGTATTATTAAATTAAGACTTTGCTTTATAAAATTTATAATAGCTATTATATTATATATATAATAATAAAAACTTAAACGGCTCTTTTTAAAACAAAAGAATTATAAATAAATTATATAATTACGATTATATAATAAAATAAAAAATAAACGTTTATAAATAAATAAAATAGACGATAATAAAAATATAAAACGGAAAATTATTTAATAAATGATTAAATAATAATAAATAAAATATTATAAAAAATATATTTATAATGAAGATTTATATATAAAATAGCCCGAGTTAGGCTCGAGGATAGATTTTTATAATCTTTTTAAAAATTAATTTCGTATTAAATTTTATAATTATTCTTAGCTATTTTTATAGAGAATTTATTTAATTAAGATTATAATTAATTATTAAAGCTTTATTTATTTTACGATTTATAGATAACAGTTTTTTTAAAATTATTTTAATAACGATTACCGTGTATAAATATCGTAGCCTTGATTTTTATAAATATAAACCTTATTACGACTAGCCGACCGTAATATTCGTAAATTAATATTCTTATTTAAATCATATAAAACGAAGCAATATACGCTTCGATTTTATAAAGTTTTTATTTCAATAAAGTCCGAAGCTTTATAAAGCTTACTTTTTATAATAATAATTCTTTTCTTTTATAATTTAAAAACTAATTTAAAATCCGCTTTCTTTTTAATTAAATAAAAGATATTAATACAATTATTGATTAATCCGTTATAATTAAAAAGCTTTAAAATTAAGTTCTTTTAAAGCCGGCTTTACCGTTATTGTAACGAATTTAATAATTAATTATTTAATTTATTAATTATAACAATCTTATTAAAAACGATTTTAAATTAATTAATCCGGTCTTTACTTTTTCAATAAAAAATAATTAATCGACTTCCTTTAGTTTTTCTCTTCTTTCTTTATAAATTTTCTTTTTATTTACTTAGCTATATAAACGGATCGCCGTTATTACGACTTTAAATAGTTAGTCTCGATCTTTTATAATAATATAAAAACGCTTATTAAATAAGAATAATTTATATAATCCGGTCTATTTATTATAATATCTTTTTAAACCTATATATTTAAGTTTAATAAAATATTAAAATTTTATAATATATCGGGCTTATTACGTACCGTTAAGGCTTCGCTAACCTACTTTTTTACTTTTAAATCTTATAAAACTTATATTACTTTTTTAATTATTTACGCTTTTTGAATAATATTAAATAACGGCGATAATAAAATAATAATTTTAAAATATAATTTAAATATTAAAAGCGTTAAAATTAAACTTTATAATCTAGTAATATCGCTTTAATATTTTAACGGTATTTATAAGGAATCGTTATTTATAAAATTAAAGCTTTTATTTTTAATAATTTTAAACGCTTTTTTTAACTATTAATAAGCTCGTTTAATTTTATTAATATTATAATAAGCTTTAATTAATATTATTCTTAACTAGATCCTACATAATTTAATGTTTTCTTTAAATTTAATAATTTTAAAACTAATTTTAATATCGGTTTATAAATTATTAAATAAGCTTTAATATATATCGATTTATTACGTTTTTAACACTATTTAAACCGTTTTTATTTAAAAATTAGGAAAAGATTACTTTATTTAAAAAAAAGTAATTAAATTAATTATATAAAAGATTAGCTAGCTATTTAAATAGAAAACGTTTATTATTATTTTTTAATTAAAATTAAACTCGTTATAAATCCTAAATGTAAATTGCTATAGGCTTTATACGTTTATTTAATATCAATAATAAAATTTAATTAAATATTTTACTACTACGATTTTAATATTATTACTTAACTACTTAATAAAATATAAAACTTTTAAACCGATAAATAACCGAGCTTTTAATAAAAGCGCCGTAATTTAGTTTTTATAAAATAATAAATCAATAAAATATTAATCTTAAGCCTTATAAAAATATAGTTTTATTGTTATTTAACGGTTTTAAATATTTTATTTTTAATAATCTTATTTATAAAGTTTTCAAATATAATATTAAAGCGATTTATATTTATTAAATATAAAAAAAAGGCGTATTAATAAGTAATATATAAAAAGTTATAATACCGAATTAAGTTTAAATACTTATTATTTTAACTTTAATAAGCTATTTACTTAATCCGAACGTAATTTTAGTAACACCGGCCTTAATAATATTAGGTTTAATTAAATAAATCTTTTTTAAATTTTAAAACTACTTTTTTCCTTTCATTAATTATTTTAAAACTCTTATATTTAAGATAGTTTTTTAAAAAGTCTTTAATTCGTATCGATTATTAATAAAATAAATTTACGTAATCTTTTCTATTTAGTTAATTAAATTATATAAAAAAAGTTTTAACGTTATTACTAAGCTTATTTTTTTCTTAAAATTACTTCCTTTTTTATTTATTTAAAATTAAAAATAAAAAGTTTTTATTTTAAATTAAATTAAAGAGTTTTAAAATTTAATAATTTTTTATTAATAAATTGTAATTAATTGTAAAAAAAAGTTTATTTATTTAAAACCTTTACTATTTATTTTTTATTAAATATGAAATAGTTAATTATTAATAAAATAAAATAAAATTTCTAAATCTTATCTAAAATATTTAAATTTTTATAGTTATTAATTAAATAAATAGTTAAATATTTAATACTTTTAAACCTTAAAATAAAGTTTATAATTTTAAACGATCTACCTTTATAATTAATAAAGAACTAATTATATTTAGCTAAGTTAGTTTTGCCAGCGGTTCCTTTTGCCCTTTTATATTACTTATATATTTTAGTTTTTTTTTAAATAATTACTAAATTAAAAGCCTTTTTTTTAATATATATAGTATTTTTAAAATCCACGGAACCCTATTATAAAAGGCTTTTAAAAGCTATTCGAAATTATTTTTTTATTTTAGCTTTATAATCGGGCGCCGTATTTAATTTTTCTTTTTTTATTATTATAAGTATAGTTAATTTAACATTATTAATACGGTTTTTTATTGATTTAAAATTATTATTATTTAAGTATCTTAATTTTAATATTTAATCCGGTTTTAAATTAAGTATAAAACGCTCTTTAATCGCTAGGCTAATTTTATAAAATAAATTTTATTTTATTAACCTATTAAACTATAGTTAATAAATAATCGACTTTTTATTTATCGCTTTTTTTTATTAGCTAAGTTTTATTAATCTTATCGATTTATAAGATAAGCTTTTTAAAAATCTTTATCCTTAATTTATTTTTTATTTCTTTTATTATTAATCTAAACGATAAAGTTCTAAGTTTAGTAAAAAGCTTTTATTTTTAATTTTTAATTTTAAAACAATTTTAAAAAGTATTAATAATTATAATAAAATCGTTTTAATCAATTATTATATATATAATTTAATAATAATATTTTATAATTTTTCCAATAAAAACAACAATAATTGTTAAATAATATTAATAATCTTAAATCTTAATTTTTTTATAATTAATATAGAATACAATTAAAAATTTTTATAAAACCTTATATTTTCCTTTTAAATACTTTTTTTTTAAAAAAGATTTTATTTAAATCGGTTAATTACCGTACGTTAGCCGCTTCTAAGCTTAAATTTTTACAGCTTATTTAAAAAAATTTAAAATTATATTAACCGTAATTAATTAATATTTATATTTAATCAAATAAAGCTAAATAACCTTATTTTTATCGACGATCCCTTAGCTATAATAAAAGTTTATAAAAATAATAATAACTTTATTTTTAATAATATTTTTTTAATTAATATAGATTTTAAAGCCGAAATAGCTTTATTTATAATTTTAAATAAAACTTTGAGCTTTTTAGTCCGCTAAGTAAATTATTTAAATTAATCAACTACTTAGTTAATTTATATTTTAAATTAAATTAGAAAATTAATTACTTAAACTATTATTCTAAAAATCTTATAAAGCTATTTCATTAATATTTAGTTTAATAAAACTTTATTATTATAAATAAATCCGTTAAATCTTTAAATATTCCGTTTATTTACGAATTTAAATTAATTATTAGGTAAATAACTTAAGTTATTATTTATATAATAAAATAAAGTTTGCTTAATTAAATTCTATTTACGGTATATTTTTATTATAAATAGTAGCGTTGTATTAATTTAATTATTCTTAAAATTATCCGTATTATTATATAACTAATTTCTTTAATACGCCTAAATATTAATAATAATCTATTAAATTAAAATAAGCATTTTTATTTACGCCTAATTTAACTTATTTAAAGTTATATTATAGCCTATATTAAAACTTAAAACGATCGTCGTATTAATTTTTAATATATTAAAATTTAACTTATTTAAAAATAATAGCGGTAACTTTTAATTATTATTTAACTTATTATTAAAAGTTAAATCAATTCCCGCGCTTTATATTTACTTTATAATATTCTTTATATTTATGCTTTATTTTATAAATAAGCTTTTAATATTATTTTTAACTATTATAAGCTTTTGTTATTTAATTTAAACGGTTTTATTATATTTTATTAAAATAAATTACGATTAATTTAATAATATTTTAAATATATACGTTTCTTTTTAAATAAATACTTAAGAAGCGTACATATTTATTAAGCGAATTATTATTATGTAGTAATTTATTTTTTTTTAAAAAAATATAAAAAACCGTTTTAAATCCGTTTTTAATTTCTTTTAAAAATTACGTAATCTTAGCCTTTTCTTTAATACTTATTACTAAATTGTAAAAGTATTTACTATTTCAATATAATAAATACTTATAATAAACCAATTAAACTTAGAAATTTTATAATAACCTCATTTTTATTCATAAATTATTATTAAAATAATATTCCATTTATTTATTTAAAAAAATAATAAAAAAATTTAAAAAAAAAGGTCAAATTAAATAAGATTTTATAAGGTTTATTTTATATTTTTAACCTCTTTTTTAATTTAATTATCGAATAGTTTAAGTTTATTAAAGCTACTTTTTTATTTTTATTTTTATTAAAAAAGCATATATTTAATTTATTTAAAAAGTCTTTTTATTTTTTAATTATACGGCGCTTAGATATATTTTTATTAAAGGCTCGTTTTTTATATTTATAAAATTAAATAGATTATATAATTTATTATTTACGTTTTTATTTTGCGTTGATATTTTATAAATTATAAAATAAATAAAAATATTATATAATTTAATTATAATTAATATAAATATAAAATAAATAAATTTATGTATTTATTACGAGAAGTAAATAAACAAAAATAAAAAGAAATGTTTTTTAAAATTAAAAAAAATATAAAAAAAAGGATTTTTTTAACGGTTAATAATTAATTTAAACGGTTTTATTAATAGACCGTTTAAAAGCGTTATTAATATAATAAACGCTTTCTTTTTAATAAAAATTGAAAAAATTAAAAAACTTTTATTTTATACGGTATTAAAAAGTCTTTTTTTTTAATCTTTATAAAAAGTTAAAATAGTGCGATTTCTTTATCCCGTACGTATTAAAAAGTCGCCTTTTTTATTTTATAATAGCCTTATTAATTTATAATAATAAATTAAAACTATTAATTAGTATTTATTTACGTAATTATAGGGTGATTTATTTAATCGAACCGTAGTAACGAAAAGTTAATTACTTTTATATTAATTTTTACGTCAAGTAGAAAAGAAAGGTTTTAACTGTTAATTAGATCGCTAGTTAAACGCTAATATAAAGACCCTTAAATAGCCCCTACGCTAGCGCTGACTCGAGGTCGAATTAGGCTTCCAATCCGATATATAATTAAGAGTAATTAAATAATAAGCTTTTTTAAAATTATATAATTTTTATTTAAAATTTATAAAATTATAATATAAATAAGTTATAATATATATTTTTAAAAATTTTAAATAAAATTTTAAATTAAAAAAAAGAATAAAAATAGTTATATTAATATAGTTATTTTTATTATTTTTATAAAAAAGTATTATTTTTTTTAATTAATTAAAAAGCCGAATAATAATATTAATATAAGAGCGACGTCGGTATATTAATTTACGACGCCGGTATATTAATCTTTTAAAAAATATTAAATCGTAATATAAATAATTAAAAAAAAAACGTAAAATTATAAAGTTTTTAAAAAAAAGAAAATATAATTAATTCATAATTTTTTAATTAAAAACGTGCTGTTTTTATATAATTTATATAAAATAGTAAAAGTAAATATTATTAATAAAACTTTAGTTAAAGAGAATCCTAAGGTAGTAAAAGTTTTAAAATAGATTTATAAAAAAAAAATTAAAAAAGAGGCGTCGAGTTCGTTTCTCGAAAGCGATGGGTACGGAAAGGCAATATGCTGTTTATAGAGGTCCTCGCCGATAAGACGAAAGGGGAGAGAGATCGGGACCGAGAGAGCGACGGAGCCAAAGCTCTGGGCAACGTCTAGGCGGTTAATCCGTCCATAGGATACGGTAATGATGAAGGAGAAGCTAATGGAAATGTATTGATGAAGACCGACATTGAGTGTACAATACAAGAGCTATGTAGTGATGTCCAGAATCCGGGAAGAGTTGATGACCCGACTTGGTATCTTCAAGATTGGAACCAGAAGATACCCTACGTTTGCGGCCATTAGGCAACCAAACTAACACCAATACCGAAAACCTACCAAAGAGTCACCTGAGACTGCCAGAAACGTTTAGTTAGCTAGAATTATTAAGGTCGTCAAATTTTACTGAACTAGAATGGAATATCTTACTTCTCTAGCCTAATTTTTCCTCGCCTTGAACAACGAGACTGGGAAGGGAGGCCAAGCCTTGGAATGTGACCCTTTGGATTTGTATAAGGCGGTCTAAGTAGGTCTATTGAGCAGTATACTATATCTTAATTTATAAGTGTGCAGCTCCACCCTCTCGAATCCAAGCTGCAAGTCTACTGGTTGCGGCTTCAGTGCCGGCGGTAATCCGGACAGGTCTTCCGCGTCTGCAGGAACATTGATGTTCTCTGAAATCCAAGAGATTATTAATAAAGGGGGGGCTCAAGTTACAACAGACAAGACAGCCGCCGTCAAGTTTGTCACTTGGGGTGGCAACCAGTGGGTCTCGTATGACGATGAAGAGACGCTCAAGTTGAAGATGGACTATGCAAACGGTAAGTGTCTTGGAGGTGTCATGGTATGGGCTGCATCAACAGACGACGCCAAAGGAACCGCCATCAAGGCCCTCGCTAAAGCGTCAGGGCGAACCGACTTATCGAAATCTCTCTCCGCAAAGGCAGTCAACAGCGACCCTCCGCAATGCGTTTGGGGCGAGTGCGGTGTATCGTGCCCTGCTGGTCTCGTCCCTGTCGAAAGCTCAGGAAGCAACGCGAGCCCCTTGGGCATCGAGCTAGGATGCAACCAGGGCAAGCGTAACTTCTGCTGCCCGTCCAAGAATCCGCCAACCTGCAAATGGAAGGGGAGCCCCAAGTTCTGCGGCGCGCTCGCAAAGAACCGATGCAGCGGCAAAGAAATCGAGATTGCTGCAAGCACAGATGGGTGCTGGACTGGCCACAAGTCGTTGTGTTGCACCAAGACTGATTCGACGAATGCTCTTGACTCTTGCGAATGGCTTGGGGCAGCCCCGTTCTGCTCGGCGGGCGCAACTATCGGATCGATCATCGGATTAGGCACTACACCCGTTGCGGGAGCGTACTCTTTCCTTTCCTATGGATGTCCCAACAAGGACAAGCCGAAGGAACTCACGACAGGAAAGCAGGGGGAGGGTGGACAGCAGACCTGTGCTTACAACGGAGGCTTCAAGAGCTACTGCTGCAAAGACCCTGTGCCCTGGAAAGAGTGTAAACGGTATGTTATCGTCGAACATTGATCCTTCTGCAGAACTCATCATCAAACATTGACTAACGAATTTACAGGAGATCCGGGAACACTGTCTGGGTTCAATGGAAGCAGATTCTATCCGGCCCCCTTGCCAATCTCTTTTTTGACTTTTCGACAGACTGCAAGACAGGTTGCGACAACGGAGAGGTGACGGTAGCAACAGATGGTTTTGGCTGCCGCTCCGGGACATACGCGTACTTCTGTTGTGGCAACCCCAATACCCCAGTTGAGCCTCAGCTACCAGAGATCAGTCTCTGTCCCAGCCCAGCAGGCCTACCGGATTTATCCACAACACCAGAGTCTGATTCAAGCCCCAAGAACGTGTTCAAAGAAGGCGATGTCTTTGATGATAATTGCATACTACCGCCGACCAACAAGAGACGACACATAATCAGGGCTGCTCGTCCGCATCAGCGAGGCTTCGACACCAATGAGACAAGCTCGGAGGAAGCAGAGCATCCGGCGTTCGCTGCTATGGATGCGTCGGACCTCTTTGGCAGATCGCTTGAGAAGCGTGGTGCCAGGGACATTGCTATGAAGCTGTGTGTTTTCAACGAGCAGACCAGCAGCATCTATACCCACAACTACCCTGGTGCGACCAGCGTCATTCGGAGTACCGGGAAGGCGTTCACTGTGGCAAAGCAAGGCGTTTGTGCCGCTGTTGGCATCGCAGCTTTGAACAACCTTGACCCAAATACTAACTGGGTTACGGAGCATGTTTTTGAAAAGCAGGAGTTTCGTGACGCGGTTGAGTGGATGATGGATGGCAACACCCCAAAAGGCGTTGCTCTCATCGCTGGGAAAGCCCCCTTTACTGGGGTTTTTGATCTCAATGGCGTAAGTGACCTACTTATTCTCTCAAGGCTTGTGAATACGGATCAGTATTCAGGTTTTGAATCATTTCGACTTTGGATTGCCTCTAATTGATGGATGATGCAGTTGTTTCAGGACATATGGCCCTCGAAGACATACACCTCCCTTGTCGTTGTCCGCGATTGGGCAGGCAACATCAACGACGCCTTCACAGGTCTGCTTGGTCGTACGTCAGACCAAGGCCTCAACAACGCAAACATTGTCAACCTGCAGGTCTGTGACGCCGATTTCAACCGCTACAAAGAGTTCATCGTTGCAGGGAGCGACTTCATGAGCCAGGCGACTTGGAAGAACTTCAACCCTACGGGCCGTATCGCCATCTTATCCGACGTTATTGACACTTTCGCATACCGAAGTGAGACAAGCGTCGTGAGCTCGTACCAAAAGACCTACTCTGCGCTCAGTACCCTTTGGGGCGACTTTGGTCGTTATGCCCTCAGTAAGGGCGTTAGCTACGACTTTGCTTCCGCGTGGAAGGAAGTTGTTCCCGCCAACCTTGAGAGCCAGGTCTCATCTGCTCGTACGCTTTTTGAGAGTTATGTCAAGAGTGAACTTGCATTCTGGAAATCGACTGCTGCCGCGACAACATACTCGCCAGTAGTCGTCAAGGAGATGACTGACAAATTGACTGACTGGCAAGGGAAAGTGACAACACTTATTTCACTCCCTATCAATAAGATGACAGGGTGATGGAAATTGGAAGTCATTTCTCATGGCTTGTTCAAGTAGGAAGATGCATTTAAAGGCCTTATCGAAGAGGATATGTTCAAGTATCTTACACAAGTACCATAGTAAATTGACACTCTATGAGTTACCTCAATCGTCGAACGTCAAGAAGAATGCGTTGTGAAGATACCAGCGAACTTGATCGAACATTTGAAGTTCATTACGGTAGTGGCCGTGTGTCTCTATGGGTACTGACCACTAATATTTATTTTATCCCATTATGGGCATTGGTCTACGCTGTGCATTTATCGCTGTGCAATCCCCTTTTTCTCAACGCAAACCTGCCATGCCTATGGGGATGTAAATGTGTAAAAAATAGGCCCCATACGCCGGGTATTTAAAACCTCCGATTCCACTGAAAATGGATCTTACTCTGATTCTGTGATTGTTCCCCTGCGTCCTACTGAACCCTTCCGTGCCCATTCCGGAGATCCAGGTTCCGAGAAAGGCGACGCCGTGACTTTTGAGAACCACTCGTCCGGTGACGGGCCTCTTTCCACATCTCCTTGAACGGCCGAGGTACCCCGGCTCATTCTTTCTACAGGAAAGATGGGATCTCTCCGTTCCTGCGCAATGAGTTCTGCAGTGCTTCCAAGTACAGGCCCGGTAGTATTGGCCGCCGTCAAAATTTGTGTCTGTAGCTTGCTGCCCATGAGAAATTTGAGCTCAAAGTACTTTTTGGTGCTCTGGCCGGTGCTCCGATTCGATTGTTGCGAGCCATTGCATCCGTGCATGAACAAAATATTCATGGCTGGGAGACATGCGCAGATCATGCCTATGCTTACTTCAGCAGTCCTAGGAAAGTTGTCGGAATCAGTTACGAATCCATATCAATGGTCGGATATCTATCCTTACCCGAGCAGATTGAAGCGAATAAAGTCCACTGGCTCATCGTCTGACTTTTGTAATTGGAGCACAAGAATCATCCGAACAATGCTTGCTGCTGTAGCGAGGCCCCCGGCGCTGAGCATGAGGATAACCTTGAGCCGTTTCGTCCAGGGCATTCGCAAGCTTAGAGCCACGGGGATCGGCAGACATAAGACGGCAGTGTCCGTGATGGCACTGACGGCTGTGTCAGCTACGAAGATGGCCCGCTGGTTCAAGCAGGTGGCGTTGAGTGTGGAATCCCAATATCCTGCAATCGGATGACAAATGAAGGTTTTAAGAAAGAGGACCGGTACATAATATCCAGTCATGAACATTATGACGGCATATGTGCTGATGATGGTTTTCCTGTTCAGTCTAAAGACCCGGACCACGATGAGTAACAGCGCGAGTTTCGTGAAGTAGGAGTTGGGACCGTATACGAGCGTGTCGGCATACAGCCCCTGCGAAGGGCTTCAGCGAATAATTCAGTGCCATGATGAAAAAAAGGGCATTCACCTTCAAGAAGCCAACGTATTCCTCCTTTGATATCTCCCAAACGTGAAAGCCACCTCCATAGTGTTGCACTGAGGAAAGTGTCAGTCGATAAGCGAGTTCCTACATTGCCCATAGTCACTTACTCACGAGCGCCGTCGCACTGTAGCCGATGGACAATATCTACCCATGTGTCAGCCCATGCATTGACGCTGTTGAGGTGCTCAAGCAGCAAGCTGGCGACTCCGTTACCCAAGCGATGACTGCCATCCCTACTTAGAGTCAGCGTCAAAGCCTCACGTCGGATGAACCCAAGAAGGAATCCCAGTCACAGGTTCTTACAGTCATCCAAATAGAACGGCGGCGCGATCAAAGCTTTCGCATAAATGCGCAGCATCATGAAGATGCTGACAGACACAATTGAAAGAATTTGCGACACCAGATTGATCGTATGCAGTACATCTTGCGGGTGCTGAAAGTCTGGCACTACACCTTTCGGCGGGGGGGCCGCCCCCTCCTGGTCAGACATCTCGCATCGGCGACCGGAGAAGGTGATGATGTGGGCAAACCGGCGGGGCAGGTCGTCGGGGTCGGATCGGTGCGGGGCAAGACATAGTCGTCCTGTAGATGATCAGACGGGTTGTTCGGTGTTCGGAAGTACGCTGCCAACATCGTCTCCGAGTCAACGTGTTGGAGGCGATTTTTATCCCAAGTTCTACAGAGGTTCGTTGGCCAAGTTCGTCAGAGGCCTGGCGTCATCGGAGGTGTCACTGGAAGTATCATTGGAGGGGGGGACTTGTCGTATATAGTTGCCGCAAAACGTTCATGTTCGGATTCGGCCGCCTGTGAAGGTGTGGCCCGGGAGAAACGGTAGTCGAGCCCAGACTTTTTGGGGGGAATCAGCCGAGATCATGCCCAGAAGATCAAACTCTGATAGTAGTGCTACCAAAAACATGCATTAGTGATTGTTTCATGGAACCTTTGACGCCCGCAACCCAGAAACGTTTATGCATGGAAGAAGTGTGTTTTCGATGAAGACGGAAAGCTTTCTCTTTACAGATCATCTACCTTTCTCGGTACATGGAATTCGAAGAAGCTACAAACAGATTACACAGCTATTCGGGTATCGGGGGCGGAAAAAAGATTGGGCAAAAGATTATTTTGCAGCCGTGCCCTCTCGAAAGTTCTGCGCTTCTTTCGGGGCATGCCGGGCATCCTGGTTCAGAAGAGCTGAATGTTTCAATGGATGATCTAATAGTAGTACCTGCATGTACCTTGAAGAGATTTTTAATCTGGCATTGACTCGGGAAAATAGATGTTTCGCAACAGACATGACTCTTCTAGAAAGAAATCAGTGCGCGTTCAGAGTCCTCCGAAGAAATCGCTGTAATTCATCCTTTCTAGACACAGTGATTGATGATCGCGCAATCCAAAAGGGTGTGGTGTCTCGAGTATGACTCGAAAACCGTGCATCGAGAGCTCTGTTATCGAACGGGCAGAATAGGCCAGGTCCAGTGTTTGCAGGGTAGCTGAGAAAGTATGTAGTGAGCACCGAAGCAGTTGGCACCACATCACCAGTTTTGTCTCGCGACACCTGGGTGGATTGGACGCGACATCCTTTCTGTGCGCGATATTCCCCTCGATACCTAAAGAAGCTATGGGAAGACGTAGTCTCAAAACAACCTTCAGTAAAAGGCAAACCATGTCAGCAAACACGCGGCGAAACCGAGTGGATGTCTCTCGGCGCGTGCAGTCGCTTATAGATGCCCTCTCTTATGGCTAGAGAAATCTAATCCTCGACGTTTAGGCTGACAAAGAATTTGCGGATCGAAATGGAGCATTGAATGATTCATGGCAATGATACGTAAGGTAGGCATAGTATGTCAACCTGCAGATGTACGGCGCCGTCGGAGAAGGGAATTACAGGAATAATCCTTGGTGCGCATAACCCGAAGATGAACCTTTATCTCCGGCTTGATAGCAAGGCCTGCACAGTAGAAAATTACCCTGGAGGATCATTGGGCCATTACAATCTTGCACTTGTGTCCCCCAGGACTTGGAAGCAATGAAACAGTTCAGCTGACGTTGGTCACAATTCCCCTCACTCTTGTACCACGTAAGAATGGATGTAATGGCAATGGGTGGCACAGACGGCAGCTTGGCGCTTGCAGATGTCCATCCATAGACGTTGAGTTCGACTTGACCCCGCAAGCAACAGGGAAGGGCATGTGCTGAATTTTGTAGGAATGTCATCAAGCATTTATGGAGTAGGTCCCTGAATTGAATGTCCATGTGGCCACTTGTCAGTTGCTGCAAGTTTACTTCGGCCTTATTCTCTCATAATCTAGTTGATTTCGCCTTGCTGACTCTGCAGCTATGTGCTATGTCTTGGAAATGTCGGCATGTTTTGACACTGTTTACGCATTGACCAAGGTATTTATTTACCTTAGGGTAGGTAAAATTACAACGTTGGCCCTAATACACCCTGACCAGAGAATACTCGGGTCTAATCATTGATGTCTCTTACTCAAAAGGCTGAGGATTTACGCCAGACTTATGCCGAACAATGACTTAGGGACTACGGACTCCCTATGAGAATTCCTATGCTGTTCCGTTTGGAGGACGCAAGGGTCGAGCCTTTGTGGGTACGTCACCGAGCATACGCATGCGGCCCACGGGTTGTCACACCAGCAACCTTTGCAAAACAGCCTCATTTGAGCAACGGTGGCCACGGGACCGGGGACGATGCAGACCCCTCGACCGCCTTGCCACGCCAGCCGCAGCAAAGCTTCCTTTACAGTCTCAGGTGAGGGGAGGGGAAATCTGCACCATGCTGCTTTTGGTAGCTACTAGAAGTGCAGTGAAGCTCAACACCGTGGCAACTGCAGAGTAATTATCAGGTCTTCATTTCCCAACTGCAGCAGCCCCTTTCTGATTCCTAGCCTGCGTCGGAAAGGATTTGTCGGTCCGGTAACAAACGGGAGCAACTGAGGCAACAGATCAAGAACGATTTTGAGACGTTCGAAATTGGCAGTTTGTTGATCGATACCCCATGCTCGTCCCGCGAGGATACGGGTTGTCGCCGTTCGACCCAGAGGGATGGGAGACTGAATCCCCCTTATTGTCCAGGATATATGGAGTATGCGCGAACAGCGACGGACGCGTCTCCACCCAGAATCCGGAGGTTCCATCATTGATCTGTATTCCCCAAGGGTTCCAGAATTCATCAGACTTCGTATGGATATCCGCCTGACGAGGTCCACGTTACTTGTCGCAATAGACATGTCGCCACTTCGGCAAATTGTTGACTGATGGAGACTGGGGAGGGGTTCGTGGATATTCCAGCCCCCGAATGTCGAGAGCGGAGACGAGTCTATCGCCGCCCGCTTTTGAGTATCCCTCCATCTGATAATCCAGACATCAGGAGACGATCACGCTGTTCGACTGATTGCCACTATAGAGTCCACGGATTCAGAGAAAGACACCGTACCTAATAGTGAGCCATCGTTTTAGTTCACATACCCAGCCTCCAAGATGCTTCGTCTTCTCGGAGGCTGAACAAAGGAGCAGTCCTCTGTCGCGAGTATTCGTACCATGAAGTGGGAGGCCCGCGACAGGCCGGCCAGGGTCCGGACTCGACGACATGGCTCGGCCCGCATGCCGGACGAATCATACAATACCACGTCCAAGTCACGACCCCCTGTCGGCTCCGGGAACGTGCAGTCGTCTAGTGGTCATCCCACGTTTGTTGCGTCCCAACCGTCTCGGCCTAGCCCAAGTAAAGCAAAGTGAACGATGCCCAACCCACATCAACATGCGCACAAACGGGAAGCGGAAAAAAAATAGACGGTCGCCAGTCGAATTCATTTCCGCCTGTTTGCCCTGCCCCAATCGACTGGTTGTGAAGCCCATGTCCCCCAAAATTCCTGACTCATCCCAGCCTACAATAGCTTCTCTGATTCGTTTTCTTTTCCCTTTGGTGGCCCGTCCGGCCCCTGCAAAATAGGGCTTCAAGCCTGTTTGGCCCTCGACAGAGCAGGCTAAGGCATGAGAATGGATAGCCGCCGTCAAGTCGTTGGCGGGACTTCTCTGATGATGAGGGGAAGAGTACGAGGATGCCACCAAACATAACAAAGGACCAACGGAAGCAGTTGGCCTCAAAGCTGTACCGCGGCGTCGGGAGACTCAAATCCGTCCAGCAACGGGAGACTTACATATGTTCGTCGCCACTTGGGGATATTACAAAGTGGTATTCTTAGGTTCAGTCCCTTTCATAGCCCAAACCCATTCGCCCAAGCTGCTGGATGGTGGCACCCCCCAGTCTCCCGCATTTTAGGCCCCGGCAGGCGGGAAGCGTGAACGGAGCCTAGACAGGGGCTCAGGAAACCATGGGGGGACGCCGCCGTGGACCGTGGACACGGCCGGTAGACTAATTACCTTTGGAAACAGCAGGGTCTGCTCCTCCTGACAGCGACATGGCCCAATCAGCCAAGCCCTCTCTACCCGAAGGGCGACGGAGTGACGACGTTGCGTTTGCAATATTCGACGCTACTTTGTGTCCCGGATGTAAGCTGGGCATCCCGCCAAACGGTTCCGGGGAGGGCCATTTTGAGGTCCCGCTCTGGTGCCACGCTTCATCCCTGACGCTGGCTCGTCTGGCTCGACCACCCCGTGTCCCGTCGCTCGAGGACGAGGACCAGGACCACCCGAACTTGCTTTGACGTATGTGCCCTATTGGACGGGGGTAAGCGCGCTGGTGGGAGGCCACGGATGAAGGCGGGCAGTGTCGAATATCAGTTTCTGCCGGTTGGGCTCCCGTACGTAGATCACCCTCCGCCTCCCTTTTTTCCTCCTTCTTCCCTCCCACACAACACTATACTCTGGATACTCTGAACAAAACCAACTTGCCTCCACATCCAGACTTCCTCTTTCGATCTCATCATTATTTGATTGTAGATCCGAGCAGACCCGATATGCAACTTTACCCCTCATCAACTTACCAATACACTTTCAATGTCACTCGAAGAGTCCACCAGCCCCAGATCAGACGTCCAGCTTGGCACATAACTTGAGAAATCCCACAAAAAAAAGAACATCATCCTTTACCAGAGCTATTTTGCTCTTGAGCGAACCTCCCTTTCAACCATCCCACTACCGTCCTCATGGCTCCCACCCGTGACCCGGTGCTCGCAAAGGGCCGCAGTCGCTTCAGCAGACTCAGGCGGCCCTCAGTCTCCATCCCAGACAGCACTCCTCTTGACAGCCTCGACCTTTCTAACGCCAACGTCTCCGAGATCTCACTTGCTCCCATGGATCGCTCGGTCGACAGCGGATCCGACTTGAGCGTCAGCTCATCCGGAAACTGGCGGAACAAGAACGGCGCCGCAAGGCCTCCCTTGAAGTTCAAGCCCCCCATGCTTCGCACCCGTCCTTCTCGTCCAGAGCTCCGCCCAGAAATCAGCCGACCATGGAGGCGTTCCACCGAGAACTTGTACACGACAGCTGATGAGACCAATGATTCGGATGCCGAGTCAAAGTACAGCTTCGATTCTCGCTCGTCCCTCACAACCGCGACGAGCGTTGAGGACTTTGACTCTTATCCCTCCAAATCCGACTCATACAGCTCAGCCGTGCGTACTCGGCCGTTCACCACCGAGAAGCAGGTTGCCAGGACTAACACAGTTCCACCCGCCCCGGCCAAGCCCGCCAATCTCAAGGGCACACGCGTTGACGTCGTCGCCCCCAAGAGACAAACCATCCACATCGAGGTGGCCCCAGTAGCCCCTGCCCCTCCTGTGGTCCAGCACATTACCTCACATGACCTCATTGAACGTGAGAAGGCTCAGGATTTGCTCAACAAGGAGATTGAGCGCATGAAGGAGGAGGCCCTCAGCCTCGTCAGCAAGCAGTCCGACACAGATAGAAGACTCGGAGATGCCCTTGACCGACTTTCAGTACTCTCAGCCGATAAGGAGAAGACTGAGAAGCGACGACGTGAAGAGAAGAGCCTCAAGGACAAGATCGCCCGCGAATTTGATGTACAGAGCCGCCTCCTCGATGACGTAAGGAGCTCTCTCAGTGAGCACGAGAAGAAGCTGGAGGATGCCGAGCGTGAACGAGACCAGCTCAAGGGGATCAAAGAACAACTCGAAGTCAACGCCGTCAAGCTTGAGTTGGAAATCGCCCAAGAGAGGGGCGCAAAGACAGATGTCGCGACCAAGAACGCCGTCCTCGAGAAGGACCTTATCGAGCAGGAGAAGCTCACCAAACGATTCGAGGCCCAATGTCATGACCTGGAGAGAAGCGTCGGTGATAATCACTTCGTCACCAAAGAGACTGAGCGCGCTCTCATCAAGAGAATCGCTGCGCTCGAGCTGACCAAGAACACCCTAGAGCTCCGCGTCACCGGACTTGAGACGGAGCTTGTCCGCAAGGGGACTGAGATTGGCGATCTCACTGCCGAGCGAGATCTACTGCACATGGATGTCGACAAGTACAAGCCGCAAGTTGATGAGCTCAACAGGGAGAATGGCGCCCTGACAGAGGCCAACAAGAACCTCCAGGCACGCATCGACGACCTCGACCAACAGAAGCAGGGTCTCGAGGCAAACATGAAGAAACTGGAGACTGAGAAGAAGGACGCCCTGGCTAGCTTCGATGCCCTTGAAGCCGAGAAGAAGGGCCTCAAAGCCGACATTGAGAAGCTGAGCACCGAGAAGAACGATATCCAGACCCGCTTCGGCACGCTGGAAGTGGAGAAGCAGGAGGTCGAGGTCCGTCTCACCCAGCTCGAGACCACCAACACCGACATCCAGACCCGCTTCGAGAGCCTCGAGGCCACCAAGGGCGAGCTTGAACTCAGCAAGGGTGAGCTCGAGACTCAAGTCAAGGACCTCGAGGGCTTCAAGACCAAGTACGACAAGCTCAAGAGCCGGATCGAAGGGCTCAAGGGTAAGAACACGACACTCCAAGGCAAGGTCAGCGAGCTTCTCAAGGACCAAGACGACAAGGTATCTCAGATCTCGAGTCTCGCAGAGGAACGCGACATCCTTCGCTCGGAGAACGAATCGCTCAAGGACGAGAACGAGTCTGTCACGAGCGAGCTCCGACGTACCGAGTCACTCATGGGGTCTATCGCCGGTTCTCTCCCCGGCTCAGTCGCGGCATCGGTCGTCGGCTCTGTGGCTCCGTCCGTCATCAGCTCCGCAGATGAAAGTGATACGGACACTGTCAAGGGCGAGGACGACGAAGCCCCGCCGGCGCCCGAAGATGCTCCCCCTCCGGTACCTGAGGAGGCACCCCCTTCGGTTCCAGTGATTGAAGTCGTTGAAGAGGCCGAGGTCGTTGAAGAGACACCGGCACCCGAGGAAGTCAAGGACGACGCCGCCAGCGTCACATCGGCAGCGCCCTCCGAGCTCTCCAAGGCCGCACCCGAGCCCGAACCCGCCGCGGCTCCCGAGCCCGAGGCAGCGCCCGTCAAAGACGACATCGTCATAGAGAAGGCCGAGTCCGTGTCCGCTGAATCCATCGCGCCCTCCGAGCCCGCCGTCATGGAAGAGCTCCGCCAGCGTATCGCCGAGCTCACGGATCGTAACGATCAGCTCCAATCCGAGACAGTCAAGCTGGGTTCCCTCACCGCCGAGAGAGACGACCTCGTCACCCGCGTAGCAACCCTGGAGCCGGAAGCCGGCCAGGCGCCTCAGCTGCGCCAGGAAAACGCAACCTTGACGTCGCAGCTGTCTCTCGTCAACGCCCAGCTCGATGGCATGCGTGCTTCCTACGACGCGTCGGTCGCCGAGGTCAACAGCCTGAAGGACCAGATCGGCCAGCTGCGAGGCCGTCTTTCTACGCCTTCGGTGCAGTCGCGCTCCCGGGAGTCGTCTCACGCGAGGGCACCGACGAAGACGAAGAAGGATAATGATAAGAAGAAGGAGCAGTTGGTGGTCGTGCGGAACCCCAACGAGCGAGGCGGAATGTAAGTCGAATCCTCACACTTTCACCCGGAACCATCATTCTCTCCGTCTCTCTATCCTGTGGAACATTATGCTGACTTTCATGTTTCCTTAGCCAAATCGTACGACGATGCGATCTACGGGGTATGAAGCGGTCCTCATCTCAGCACTCTCACTCCGAGGGCGACAAGAGCGACTAAAATCCTCACATATTATTTGGGAGTATGGGCATGGGAATAGCGAGGGAATAGCAGGGTATTTAGCGTGGCGACGGGCGGACGGACGGACTAGTAGTTCGAGGATAGCGTTTCCTTTGTGTGGTTTTGTTCTCTTTCATCCCTCGTGTTGGGGCAACATGGGACGCGATGAGTCGGTCATCGCTCGGGTCCTTCATTGATACTTTACTCTTCTCCTTTGTCACCGTGGAATTCGGAATGGGCATGGAACGGGACGGACTGGACATGTAACGGATTGCATGGGCGGATTCGGCAAGACGGGGTGCCCTCAAGGGCGCGAAACACATGCATCTTGTAGACTTCTTGTGTCGTATAGTTACTGGTACTTGGTCCTGTAGTTAGATAGCGCCAGCGTATGTAGTCAGGTAATTTCTATTGCCATCTGTTGGATCCCCCTGACGCCGTGCTCGTGTGCTAGCTCGCAGCTCTGGACCTGTCAAGCTGCCACAACCCATCACGCCCTCGCAGCGGCCTCGACTAGCTCAACAACGTGGCCCGCTGGGGATATTAGACTAACAACTTCACCTCAGCCAACATGAACCGACTCGTTGGCGCTGGCAGCGCAAGCCGGTGCCGCCGTCAGCAAGCTTACTGGACCTGGGTCATGTCCGCCAAGAAAGGCACCAACCGATTGGCCAACGCCATGCGGCCCAAGCCTTGTGGAGATTCAGCTTCAATAGTTCACGACAAGCGGCGTTTGGGTGTTCTGACAAGCAACCACACATGACCTTCGGCTTTACGAATAGACCTCGCCTTTTCTTAACACCGCGATCAGAAGTAATTATCAGGCATACTGCAACAGTTTCACCTATTTGTATTTGACTCCTTTCCTCATGGGTCCCAGAATGTTCAGCTTTATTATTGTCTTACCTTAAGTACCGTATCCAGCCCACAACCTTGTGGGTAACTTTGACGGGAGCACAATGCCTGAGGTAATAAAAAGAACGCCATGAAATATGCTTCCCTAAATTTCATATCAGTCCTTGTGAGGTCATGATCTACTCATCTTTCCATCGACCTCAGGGCTCCTGAAGGTGGATCGATGACGCAGTACCAATGATATCCCCTCCTGGGCAGCTGTCTTTAATCATCCCGCCCCAAACGAAACAGGCACAAGAGGCAAAGGAATTCCAAGATCAGCCCAGCACCAAACATGTGAACGTTCTCGGCGGCGGGCTTTCAGAGCATGCTCTGGAATGTTGTGGCCAGTGTTTGCAGCCACACACGTTCCCACATCCGTCCCTGAGACAGTCGGGGCTAGTCGGGGCATCCAATTTGTCTTCTTCAACTCCAAGGTTCCTGTGGCGTCTAGACTAGACCGCAGCTTGTTGAGGTGTGTGCCTGGCCGGGGGGGGGGGGCAAGCCGGATCCAGCAGCTTATGGGGACATCTTGATACTTACGAGAACAGCTCAGTCTCATTTTAACCTTAGCCAAAGCTGTCTGGACCAAGCTAGGAGTCGCCCGGTCTAACCCCGCAGATGTCTATTTCGGTGACTCCAAGGTAGGAGGAATCCGGGGTGTATATGAAAGGCAAGTGTTTCCACCCCTGCGAGCCCGCCACTTCTCTCCCTCTGGTCTCTCTCTCATCAGCTCAGTCAACTCTCGCTTTACTCGGTATAACCAACACTCTCGTTGTCGTACAACTCTCCATCTCACTTGATCATTCAACCTTCAATCAAGCCACTCGACACCGCCCAGCCGCCAACATGAAGTTCTCCGCCGCCATGATCGCCTTCGCCGGCCTCGCCGCTGCCCAGTCCCTCGCTGATATTCCCACATGTGCCCAGAAGTGCTTGGCCGACGCCGTCACGGCCAACGGCAAGTGCACCGTCGGCGACGCTGTCTGCCTGTGCAGCCCTGCCAACTACCAGGCTATTGTCACCGCCGGTACTCCTTGCGTCCTCGCTACCTGTGGTGCCGACGTTGCCGTCAGTAAGTCATTACCAAATCTCTCCTCCGGCGTCTGGAGGTACTAACATTACCCCCCAAAGACCAGGTCCTCCCCGCCGCTGGCAAGATCTGCGCCGCCGTTGCCGGAGGTGGTGGCCCGGCCTCTGCGGCTTCTTCTGTCGTCGCCTCAGCCTCTGCCGCCGCTTCCTCCGTCGTGGTCTCCGCCTCCTCGGCCGCCTCCTCAATTGCCTCCGTGGTCAACAGCATAGCCTCTTCCGCCGCCGCATCTGCATCCGCCGCCGTCACGAGCGCTGCCTCATCCGCAGCCGCCGGTACTACCCGCACCGCTGTTGTCACAAGCTCCGTCACCACCCGCAACGGCACCTCTACTGCCACCACTACCGCTACCGCTTCTGCTGTCACCGCCAACGGTGCCGCTGCTCAGGGCCCCATTGGAGCTATGGCTGCTCTCGCTCTCGGTGCTCTTGCCTACTTGTAATCGAGTTAGCAAGTCTAGCAGGGCTCAATCTATGGGAAACTTTTCTGCCATGGGTAAGGCCCATAGCCTCGTCCCATGCTTAGTGTCAAGGAATGGGGCGCTCAAAAGGTAGATGGGTAATAGTAATAAATTTTATGCACATTCGCAATGGATTCAATGATAATTTGACCATCAAAGCTTGAGCATTGGCAGCCCAGATAACCCGTGAAATGAGTAGAGAGAGGCTTACAGAAAGTCACTCTCAAGTCTTCCTCCTGATGTGCTGTGCTATGAGCGATAGCGTGGACGGAGGAAGCAGCCGGCGGTGAAAGCCGATCAACAAGGTTCTTGAGGTTGTTCATTGTGTCTATGGGCTATGGCTACTAATCATGCTGACCGTCCTCTCATCCGAGTGTTTTCATAGCCTTTCAACTTCCATGCCCAGCAGCTCATCATTCTGATCTTATAACCACATCATCTCATACCGTGCCGTCACCCTATGCCTGTCGTCTCATGTATACCTACATCTTTTCGATGATGAAAAGCGATATCGTGGTCGGTGATCTATTGCAAGAGCAGTTGCATCAGCCACATTCAGATGACTATCCATCGATTCCCAGCGGGGCTTCCTTGGTGGCCCACTCGATGAGATGGCCAATTCCCAGATGATGATAGTCCAAGTAGTGGAAATTGATCAAGTGATTTCGCAGAGCGTCTCCGTGCGGGAATCTCAGCGTGCAACGAGGACAACCAAGCTTCGTCAGCCAATGATCCTGAGGTCTCTGGGCTCCCATGTTGTCGACTGGGGCGATACCCGGGAACAAGGGGCGGTACGGAATGCTTGGACTGTAGACGCCGACGCGTTCGCGGTGGAGTCCACGGGGAGGGCCAGTCGCAGGCAGCGAGGGTGCCATATTGGCGCCGGGCTGATTCTCGACGAATTGTTGATGCTGAGGCTGACTGTGGGACTGATGGCCGTTCTGGGATATGTTGGAGGGCGCAGCAAGCTGCTGTGCTTGGGCCAGAGACGGGATGTACTGCTGAGGCTGGGCGATGTTGTTGAATGGGTTGATGTAGCTGGGATTGATCTTGTTGCCAAGGTTGTCTTGACCATAAGGCTTAGTGTAAGCGTAGCTGGGGCCGGGGCGGTCCTGCTGCTGAGGGCCGTTGTGGGAGTTGAGGGAACCTCGGACAACCGGCTGCCAGGGAGGGTTGCTTTGAGGGCGAGGAGGATCGGGGAGAATCTGCTGCTGCTGCTCAGGATTGATGTTGCCCTTGGTAGCCATCAAGACATCTTGACATTGAAAGACATCTGGGTGCTGAACGTTGTAGGCATTCTGAGGAGGGTTGGTAGCCAGCCAGAGCATGTGGTTTCTCACTTCACTGGGATCGAGAGAAGGTTTATACTCTTCCTCCTCCTCGTCATCGAAGAGACTTGGATGGCGATGAAGGCCTTGGCCGGCTCCGGAGTAATTGCCAGCGTTTCCAGCTCCCTCACTAGGTTGTTTGCTCTGGCAGCCCTGGTTCGGGAAACCGAAATTCTGTTGCTCATGGTGGATGTCGAAATCCAGAGTGTCAACCGACTCATTCTTCTCGCCTTCCTGGCCTGAAAAGAAGGAAGGGTGGTACTCTTCCTCCTCCTCCTCCTCGTCCTCCTCCGCCTTCGCCAAGCCGGCGTAGAACTCTCTAAAGTCTCTGTCGATATGGAACTGATCACCCTCCTCGTAATTGGGGTCCAGAGAAGCTTCACGCTGCCACTGAAGCATATTAGCTTCGAAATCAAATTGGTTTTCCGACTCAGGCTTCGGGTCACCAACCGCAGATTGTCTGATTCCCGGACCTGGCTCCAAGATGGGACTAGCCTTCTCAATGACTACATCGCCAAAGTTGGCCTTGGAGAGGTTTTTCGCGATCCACCATTTGCCATTCAGGACAATGTATTGCCTAAATTTTCAATGGTCAGATCGTGGAGGAGAGTCCAAGGTATTGAATACGTACACGCCAGGGGTTGGATGCTCTGCCATCTTGCTCTGATGGAATTCTTTGCTGGCGATGCAAAGCTCTTTGTAGGTGACTGCCTTTGAGGTGCTTGGAGAAGAGAAAGAGAGCCCTTGTAAAAACCATATTTTTGTTCTGACTTTTCAAAGCAGACCGGTGACGGTTTCACGAAGTAGCTGTTCCACTTCATGGACGTAGGGCCTTTTCCACAGCCCTAACCGGTAGCTGTCATGGTTAATTTGACAATGGTTGATCACATTTGACGCTCTGTAGTGGGATATTTCCTCCACTAATGAAGTCTTCACTTGATGGTTCTTTCCTCGATTCATTCCTACTAATTGGTCCTTGCATGATCTAGGTGGTTCAGTGGCCGTTTATGTGCCTTCAAGATAGATTCCATAACGGAGGCTTCAACTTGTGGTTGATACCAATAATGTCCTATCTGGATCTTATGGGAGTCAAAATGACCTATTGCCATAATCCTCCTCGTTCTGTGTACATGTGATGTTCCAGATAGCTGTCTTGCAACTTTGCGCATCCATGAGCCCACATTTGCAGAAGGATTTTGATTTTGAGATTCAGTTGATGCTTCAAAGCCTTGCAATATTTGTGACGTTGACTGCTTGAATTCCGACCTACATTATCTAGTACCCATTCACCATTTCATCCAATGATTGATGATGAAAGTTGGCAAAAAGCTATGCCTTTCATCCGTTACTACATCATCAGACAGGAAATACCTACGGCCTGATTCAATGAGATACCACTCGCTCTTTCTCGGAATCATTCGAGGTCGAGTAATTAGGTGGTTTAGTTACGGGTTGATAGAGAGTCCCAGACGTGTTAAATGTTCTCGGATCCTGTTCATACGCCATGCGCCAGATGGAACCACTTCACAGGTGTCTATTATTCTCGCTACTTAAGGCCGAACATTCTTGGCTTTTTCTGGAGCGTACCTGTATTTTGAAAGACTTTAGTCTATGTACGTGAAGTCACAGCCAAGCGAGAGAACGTGACCGAGCAAATGGTCTTGTCCTTGGAGGAAATTTCATATGTATCCAGCGGTGTATACAAAGCGGAACATCTTTTGTACGACGCGCCATTATTTTGATGCAAAAGTAATATTTTCCCTACCTACATGGACGTGGCTAAGGTACTCACTCCAGCTGCCACTCGCCCTTCGCATTTCACCCCCCTTCAGATTTGTTGCAGAGCCCGCCAAGCTTACCAGCTCCTGCTCAGTGCCGCCCAACGTGCCAAAGGACCGGCCCAGGTCACTACTATCTCGCAGTGGCCTCCAATCATTTACCGCCTACAGGGGGGTCAAGAGCTTGGGGTACAGGGGGCGTGGACAACGCCGATTAACCCAGCGTACCCCGCAGCATCGACAGCTCGCGCGCTCGGTCAAGCTTCAGTCCTCACAATTATCGACAGCTCCTCGACCCATGGGATGCGGAGATGCGTCGGCATTCACTCGGAGGCAGGCTTCCTGTGGTCTACCGTCTACCGAAGCTCAGTATAGCCTCCGATAGCAGTGTAACTGGTCGAGACAGTTTACCAGGGGTTCGAAATCGTGTGATAATTGGTCAATCAGGAACGTCTCCGAGTCTTCAGCTCCCGAAATCTTCCCACTCCAAGACCGAGGATCCTCGCGTCTTGGCTAGAAAGCGTGAGATATAAAAGCCAGCGCGGCCGATTTTCCTTTCTCATTGTGAAAGCCAAATTTACCTGTAGCTCCTTCTTCCTGGCCATCCTTTCTTACACGCTTCTCAAAACCAAGATGCATCTACCGCTGCTCCTCTCCGGAGCTGTCTTGAGCTTCATCGCTCCGACCCTCGCCGTCCCCGTCCAGGACAGTCCTCGCCAGCGCCTTCTTGACGGCAAAGGTCTTCCAACAAAGTACCGCAGTGGCTCGCCTCCCTACACCCCCGGCCACAAGGACAAGTTCGATGGTCCCATTGACTCCATTGGCGACGAGCTCGATCCGTTGCCTTACCGCAATGGCCTCGGGGCTTCTGTCCTCGGTCCATGGAACGAAGCTCGATCTAGACAGAACCCAGATCTTGTTCGACCCCCAGGCACTGATCATGGCAATCTTGCCAACATGCGTTGGAGTTTTGCTGATTCTCACATCCGCATCGAGGTACATTCGTTCACTCGGCAGTCCTTGGAGGCGATGATTGCTGATTGTCTGTAGGAGGGTGGGTGGACTCGACAGACTACGATTCGCGAGCTTCCCACCAGCATCGAGCTGGCTGGCGTCAACATGCGCCTAGATGAGGGAGTCGTCCGTGAACTCCACTGGCACAAGGAAGCTGAATGGGCCTACGTTCTTGATGGAAGCTGCCGTATCACAGCCATTGACTATGAGGGAGGCAACTTCATTGATGACGTCCAAAAGGGCGACCTCTGGTTTGTTCTCACTCCTTCCCTAGTCTCTTGATCTGTATGTCATACTAAATAGCTACTTCCAGGTATTTCCCCTCTGGTGTGCCTCATTCACTCCAGGGTCTAGGCGAGAACGGAACCGAATTCCTTCTGATTTTCGACGACGGGCATTTTTCCGAGGAGTCTACATTCATCCTTACAGACTGGCTTGGTACGTTGCTATTTGCGAGAGACGACAAGCCTTGACTTTGGCTGACGATGCAATAGCCCACACCCCCAAATCCGTCATCTCAAAGAACTTCAAGCTGGCCACCGAGGTCTTTGCAAACATTCCCGATGGAGAAAAGTACATTTTCCAAGGAACCACGCCCGGCTCCATCAGCCACGAGGCCCCCGACGGAAAGGGCGTCAAGAAGTCAAAGCACAAGTTCACGCACAAGATGCTCGCGCAAGAACCCAAAAAGACGTCTGGCGGCGAAGTCAGGGTGACCGACTCCAAGAACTTCCCCATCTCAAAGACCATCGCCGCCGCGCACGCCATCATCGAGCCCGGCGCCCTCCGAGAAATGCACTGGCACCCCAACGCCGACGAGTGGTCCTTCTTCATCAAGGGGCGCGCCAGAGTCACGATTTTCGCCTCGGAAGGCAGCGCCAGGACGTTTGACTACGTGCCGGGCGACGTCGGCATCGTCCCAAAGAACATGGGTCACTTTGTGGAGAATATTGGCGACGAACCCCTCGAAATGCTCGAAATCTTCCGCGCCGACGAGTTTAGAGACTTTTCCCTGTTCCAGTGGATGGGCGAGACGCCCAAGAAGCTGGTCGTCGACCACCTCTTCGCCAACGACCCCGACGCCGGAGAGAAGTTCTGGGACAAGGTCAAGAGCGCTGAGAAGGACGAGATCACCAAGGACACGACTGCCACCGCCAACGATGTTCAGACCGAAACGGAGGAGCTCTGATGGGCGAACAATATGGAATCATGGAAACATTGGAAATATTGGAAACGCCAACGGGGTGGCTGAGTCTTGCACTCGGTCATCGTCTGTGCTCTGGCGGCGATGTGTTTCGTTGGGCGATGAAACGTCTATAGCAAGGGGAAAACATCATCTCATTTGTCGACAGAAATTGTTGATCAGTCAATAATACCATTTCATTATTCTTAGCAATAAAGTCTATGATGCCTAGAACCAATCCCATCTTCTCGTGCCTCCGCCGCGTTGTTCAACGCTGTTTCCCCTTGATCTTGTGAGTCCCATACTGCCATCAGACGATAGTCTTTTTTGGGGCTCAGAGTCTATGAAGGCGACGTAACGTATTCTGAGTTTATTGATAGAACTGGGCTTGCGTAGGGTATCCATGCAGGCCACTCTGAGAGTTTCGTCCAAACACGATCGGATTACTCAGTTCCCGCTGCCAAGTCCAGCCCCTCGTATCACCATCGAGTAAGCCGCGCATAGATCGCCTCCTTCGCTTCTCAAACTGGAACTAGAACCAGCGACGCCCACTTATACTACTCTCTCACCATCCTCATCCATCACGGACAGATCATTCACGACTACCTCTTTCTCTTACCGACAGGTCCCCGAAAGATGCCCGTGGCGAAGAAATCAGTCTAGCCAGATACCGTACCTCAAATAGATTCAATGAAGAGGGGTGCCATGTAAGTGATTGCAGCTTGCTCTCTCGGTGTGGGAGAAGATGAGTGCAATAGGCTGTAGCGGCCAGGTTCGCATTGCCTCCGTGACCTGCGACCAGGCTCTCGTTGCATGCGAGAAGGAAGCATCTCTGGACACTCCCCCTCCCATCCAACCCCGTGCCCGGTTTAGGCTTATCGCAGGGTGTGAGCCGGCGGTATGGACGCAAAAGAAAGATGACGGAAAAGTCATTCACCAGGGTGTCGTGGTAAGCTTAAGATGGATCAAGAAGGTGGTGACCAGTGACCGGAGCGTCGAGCGCGAACAAGAGAGAAACGCAATCCATAATAGAATGAACCCCGCAGGACGATGACACCATCAATCCGGGCCAATAGTTCCGTTTCAGCAAAGTTGAAGCAGGCATCAGAGGTGGTGGTGGTGCAGGGGAAAGCTGACAAGGCCGTTTCCGCTGCCCGCATCGTCCAATGTTTCTTTCGCTTGTCTGCGGTCCATTTCCCGGCAGGCCTGTAGGGGCCTGCTGTCGCGTAGGAACTTCTGTGTGTGGGTGTGAACGTTGCGGTTGATGACACCCATTGCTATTCTTGAAAGAAGTTGGAGACACACACAGAGAGAAAGAGAGAGAGACATGGCAAAGAGGGGTAAATGCGACCACGAAGGGGAATGAGGGATGAGGGGGATTGGACTCGCACCGACTTGGGCAAGTTGGAGGGCGCGAAGGAGCAGAATCCCCCTGGTGTTGACGATGAAAAGCTATTCCCATCCCAACGGCAACGTGAGCTGATTCGTTGGAGTTGCAGGAAAAGGGCACACTGGCAGAAACACATGTAGACATTGCCGGGATTCGACCAGTAAGCATGAATCTAATACGACCCTCGTCAGTGTGACTGCAGCATCTTAATCGAAGAAACATGTACGTCCAGTTAGGGATGCTACATAATTATAGCAAGTCACAAATTCCACCTCGGCTTTTGTCGCCCTTGTCTGAGTCTCTGGCCCACAATGCACTTGCCGCTCGCCGCCCGCCGAACGCTTCACATCTCCATGGATTCTCGCAGTGGGCCTGATCTCCTCTCTTTTGCGTGCGAGTCACTCCAGTTAGGCTAGCACTGGGCCGTGGAGGCCTGACCCCCGGTCAAACCCGTAGAGAGTGCTTCACCTCGGTCTGCATGGCCGGAATACGGCACCTGATTCGCGGGCTTGGCATACCACCTCAGCCGGGGAAATCAAAAGCTTGTCCCGTCGTATCGAAGGCTACTTACAGGGGGCGCAAGGGAGAACGGAGAGGGTGTGGTTGTTCGGTGGAGACGCCCACACCACCCGGCCTGCCGCCCACGACATCTCGCCTCGTCATTGCGTTCGTCTATCCAAGATGGCCCTGCTAGAGCCGATGGCCGCGACGGGAGCGCTATTGGACGGGTATGTACCCCACGTCCTGGTCTTTAGTGACGGGAAGGGGAAGTGGACAACGGAGGGGGGGCTCTCGCGGGAATTCCGGTCTTGCGTCAAAACTAACGTACCTCGGATTGTTGAAGGCAGGTCGAGAGAGGGATAGATACCTTACTGACTGGTAATAGGGCCGCAAAACAAAACACACTTCCCCCATTCGGGTGCACGACTAAGCGCGTATCTCGCTCGCATTCTAAAGAATGGGGCTCTGTGTTGCGTCTTCGTCACCTCGATATGGATACCGTATAGAATCACAACCCTTCGAGTTCAGTCAACTGCAGTCTGCGAGATCTGAGACGGAAAAGTTGCACGCGTGTGTGGGAGAGGGGATCAGAGGAAGCCAAGTCTTCTGTGTCTTGGATGGGAGAGCCTGTTATCTCTTGTTACCAATCCGGATGAGGAAATTAGATATGTCTTGCCGCCAAGCTTCCCGTGTAGACTACCTGCCAATGCATGCAACCCAAGGCATACTTGGATACCAAGTGTCGACGTCGCTCAAAAGGACTTGCCTATTCCTTGGCTCGACGTTTTTGACTACCTCGGTGCCAGCACATACGCACGTACACACACAAAGTCCTGCTCTGACTGCCCATGAGGTCGGCCCGTTTAGTCTGCCGGTGGCGAGCGTCCGCACTTCCAACGACCTCAGTGTTCTACTGTCTCACAAGATTCATTGTGCAACCGCCAAGACTGGATCGTGCTTCGGTAAGTCGTCGGGGCCACGAGGTGGCCAAGGGACCGGCACTTGGCAGTCGACTTAGCATTGCGGCTCTCGAGCGCCAAGTCATGCCTGGATGGAATCTCATTCCCATAAAGTAGTCTTGAAAGTATAAACTTTAAAAAGTACTCAGCGAACATGATGGTTAGAAAGATGCGATGCTCATGGTTTCCCGGTCTTGTGAAATGACGAATGAGAGCGCGCGGACCTTCATCTCAGCTGACGTGACTCCAAATCTGGCCGCCGTGCCCAGCTGCATTTGTACTTATCAGTAAACTACTATGTAGTGTGCGCTATGTGGTTGTCTGTTACTCCAAAATCCAACTGATCCTATTCTCGTCTCGTCCAGTAGCCATTGACTTTGGTTCCCCCCAACCCTGGCGGGCATGTGATTAGCGTTGCGTTTATTGCCACGCCACGCCAGGTACTATTCGCAAGTCCCCTTCCTGGCAGCTCGCGCTGGATAGATACCAAACAGTTTCACTTTGAGTTGGACGGACGTCTGCAGCCTATCCAGGGACCAGACAGCCTGTCTTGGCTTGTCCATGTAGCTCCTCATGTTCCTTTATTGGAGAAAAGTTGGAGTCATTGCAGAGTCGTTTCCCTTGCCCAAACTAGCTGGCGTTCTCTCGTGGGACGACCTCCGCGCGAGGGGCTGGCCTTCCTTCCAAACTCCCACCAATCTGAGCCTCTCGACGCCTACATGGCTGAATAGTGATCAAAGTGCATTAGATCCGGTGTCTTCGGCATGTGAGGGGATACCGAGTGTCATCCGAAGGAGGGTATGGCAGGTCCTTACCCAGATTGGGCCAAGATGTGTGCAAACAAGGCGGTCCATGATATCTCTGTGGTAGTGTTTTCTTGGCTCACGCCTCCCCCTCTTTCTTCTCTCGCTTTCTTTCCTCGGCACGTATTGGATGGTATAGTCGTCCGCACTTTCCTATGTAGTTTCTGCATTGTACTGGGATGGGCTACTTGCGCAAGCGGGCAAGCTGCAATGCGCGGAACAGATGCGATGCAGCAAGCATAAAGAACGCCTCCATCAGCGCGTAGGAGGGGTCTGGCTGAACTAATGTTATCTCTGGGAATAAGTCAAAGAGTAATCACAGTTGAGACCGGATGAAGTGATGACTTGAGTTCCTTGAACGCACCTCCTCCTCTCTGAGCAGATATAATCATCCCAACTGCTCTGAAACCATTCTGTCTGTTCCCATCTCAGCCACCGAAGGACCCGGACACCTTTTTCCCCCTTTTCCCTTTCTCATCTCTTTCCAACAACGACACTTCAGACCCTCTGTTGTCAAGATGGAGAAGATCACCCGAAAGGTCGAAAAGGTGAGGGACGAGTTCGCCACAGATGCCAGTATTGCACGAGCTCGCGACTTCATCGTCCAAGGCGCCCCAAAGCTGCCGTCCGCTGCGGGAGTCTACCTCCTCGAAAAGGTCCCCATTGTCCAATGGCTCCCTCGTTACAATCCGAAATGGCTCATCACCGACTTCATTGCCGGTCTGACTGTGGGCGTCATGCTCATCCCACAGTCCTTGGCCTACGCAAAGATTGCAACTATTCCCATCGCCAACGGCTTATACTCAAGTTGGCTGCCAGCTGCGTTTGCGGTCTTCATGGGAACTTCAAAAGGTTTGTTTGAAGACTTTTTCCAACTAGTTTCTGGGACTCAAGATTTCTTACTATTCTTTTGATATACAGATCTCTCCACCGGACCGACTTCCATCTTGGGCCTTCTAACGGCTGAGATCGTTCGTGACCTGAGTGAAGAAGGATTCGATATCTCAGCAATTGCCTCATCCGTTGCCCTCATGGTCGGAGTTTACTCACTCGTCATCGGCCTCTTCGGCTTGGGCTTCCTCCTGGACTACGTCTCATTCCCAGTCCTCACTGGATTCATCTCAGCCGCAGCTCTCGTCATCGCCTTCGGTCAAGTTGGATCTCTCGTCGGGTTGTCAAACGTGCCATCCGGTGTTTTCAACGTCATTGGCGATGTCCTTCGTCGTCTACCAAAGTGGGACGGGGCAACTTGCGGAATCGGATTCGGAACCCTGCTCATCCTCGTCATCCTCGAGAAAGTTGGCAAGAAATACGGCAAGAGACACTTTGCTATCAAGCTCCTCGCCAACTCCAGGGCCGTCATTGTCTTGGTCGTCTTCACCCTGATCAGCTACCTCGTCAACCGCAATCGCGAAAAAGCAGACTACGCTTGGAAGGTCAGCCAAGTCAGTACACACGGCATCACCCATCCCATCGTACCCGCCTCGAACTTGGTCCAGAAAGTCGCTACCAGGGCCGTTGCCCCTCTTGTTGCCAGCACCCTCGAGCACTTGGCTGTCGGTAAGGCCTTTGGAAAGAAGAACAACTACCAGATCGACCAGAGCCAGGAGTTCAACTACTTAGGTGTCGTCAACATTGTCAATAGTTTCTTCAGCACAATGCCCGTCGGTGGTGCCATGTCTCGAACTGCCGTTGCTTCCGAGTGCGGCGTGAAGAGCCCTCTGACCGGTGCGGTTACTGCTGCCTTCATTCTCTTGACGCTATATGTATTGTCTCCGGCCCTCTATTGGCTTCCATCTGCAACTTTATCTGCCATCATTGTGGGTTTTCTTCAGACAACTCATCAAACCCGATACTAACCAACAGTACAGATCATGGCTGTTGTCCACCTCTTCGGTCCTTTGTCTCTGTTTTACAAGTTCTGGCGCATCTCATTCCCCGATTTTGTTGCCTCGATGGTCTCTTTCTGGGTTACCATCTTTGTTTCGGCTGAGATTGGTATCGGTGTTGCTGTATGTACCCTTCGTATCGGATTATTCTCCTTTTTCAGCCATAACTAATAAACTCCTACAACCAAGGTCGCATGGAGTATTGTCTGGACTCTGCTCCGCTCCACCTTTGTCAAACCCGAAATCCACTCGAGCAGCGCAGAAACCGCCACCTCCATCCCGCAGCCCATCACTCGCATCACCAGCGCTGGCGGCCGCCAAGTCACCGATGAACGCATGGAAAATGCGCGCATCTCCATCCCGGGCGACACCATCGTCGTCGCTTTTAATGACGCCATCTTCTTCCCCAACGCCGAGCGCGCAAAGACCTCGACGCTCACGGCTATCAAGCTGGTGTACCCGCGCGTCGAGAGCAGTCTGAGTCAAGATGACAGAGAACGACACTGGAGTGTTGCTGCGGAGAAACGTTTGGAGAGATTGAGAGCGCAGAAGCAGATTTGTCTCAAGGAGACACCGCTTACCGTCGTTGTGTGGGATTTCACCATGGTGCCGTTTATCGATACGTCTGGTATTTTGACGCTGAAGGAGCTCAAGGATGAGATCAAGCTGCATTCTGGCAAGGGCGTGCAGATTCGAATGGTTGGCATGTCAGACAAGGTTCGGAGTCGATTCGTAAGAGCCAATTGGCATTTGGTCAATCTCGAAGAATGGCGAGAGGAGGACGCAGACCTGGTGTACCCCACTATGGAGACTGCAATCTGGGATCGTGATGATGGCTCTGGAGCGGATGTGTTTAGTGAGAAGCAAGATTAAGAATTCCCCGAGTTAAAGCTTCGAAGGCCATCTCGTTGGTGCAAGCTTAACATTGGTTTGGTCACTGAGAGATGAGAGGATCACGATTCATGAGCAACATATATATTTCAAGTCTATCAGATACCTTTTTCTACAACGCATCCCGATTTTCATACCGAGAAATGTTGTTCCTATCAGTAAAATCCCTCAATGCTTGTCGCCGCGATTTCGGACCAAAAAGCCCATACCAATGGCAATTATCACACCAACGATGGTAATTACCACACTTAAGATCGCTAGGAATCTCTCGTGGACTCTTCTTTCGCGGTCCCGCTCATTGGAGGCGAGTCTCTCGCGAGCGTGCGAGTCACGGCGGTTGATGTCGTGGAAAGCACGCATCTCTCGTTGGACTTGATCATGGCGCTTGTCCATGCCCTCGATGATTCCGAATAAAGCCTTGACGATTCCATCAGTTTCGTACTGATGTTTGTCATTTCGTTCTTGGTGCTCCTTGCCAAATTTCACGCCAGTGAGAGCCTCTAGGGCCCGCTGATTCTAGCCACATTCTGGCCATGTCTGTTCTCCTCGATTTGCTTTGCCTGCCGCCACAGGGTCTTCTTCATCTTCTGCTGTTTCTTTAGAAGTTTCTTCAGAAATTTAGCAGGGCCAACTACGTTCTCAAGTTCAACCTGTCCGGGTTCCATGTTGCAGGCCGCGTCATCCTTATATGTAATCCATTAGAAGCGTTGCCCAAAGATGTGTTCCAGAAAAGAGGACCAGTAATTACCTGAAGATGCGCCATTAGTTGAATAATGTCTTTGATGCTCTGAGAGTCAGAGCTCCTGCCCATGGCCGAGGTATGACTATTCTGTATCTTCGCCCAGTCAGCTGCCTGCAAAGAGATATGCTGGTACGCCACACTCGAAGTTCTCAATGATGCGTCTTGCGGCCATCCTGAACCCTTATCATCTCCGCCAATCCAGGCAGAACCTCGTTAAGCGCACGGAGCTCCCAAAGTCCTTGGGGGCATGCAATTTGAAAGCCATTCGAACCAATCACCATAACGTATTAGGAAGATGGTTATGATCGGCCGAGTGTGACTGCAAATAGATGCCATTCGATCCAATCACCATAACGGGTTATGAAGATGGTATTGATTGGCCAAGTGTGGCTGCAAGCTGATTCCCAGACACACCAAAGTGATTCCATCAGGGCCGTCCCACAAGATCACCCTGAAAACGAGAGAGTAAGGAATGATCCCGAGCCGCATCTCGAGGGATGTGGCGGAGACAAACCTGAACCCTCACGAGTCGTCCCAAGTCTCGCAGACTGAGGTTAACGCCATCTCCCGCACTTGATATCCCTCACCCGAAGGGCGATGCCCCAACTCAAAGTAGAGCGGCTGACCGATCCAAATGGTCCTGGCAAACACACATGCCTCGAGCTCAAGATATCGCAGCGGACTCCCGATATGTCGTTTTCTTAGGACTCGGAGGGCAGGGCGAAAACAGGAAGGTGGCAAAACGCAAAGAAAAACGAGGCTGGGATACAAAGTGAATTGTGGACGTACCTCATCGCCAAAGTCGACCTGTCGCAGAGTTGTTAGCACGAGAGGCCGTGTGAAAAGCGTACCATTCAAGATTCAACTCACCAAAGTGTCCACAAAAGCGTTCTGATTCTGTGTTTCATCAAATGAATTGTCCTGTTTCTTCACCCAATCAGCAAGGAAAACCTTACTGGTAAGCGCAACGCGTCATTCTCTGTTGTGTCTCGCCGTTAAGATGCTGCATCTTTGCTGCTGCCACCAACTAGGGGACCTCGCCAAGGTTGGTACTTCTTAACATCCATGGAGAAACACTCGGCTTGCGAGACCGAGCTGCCCCGCGGTCACGACTTTTGACAGAAGCGACGTTGCGGCTACTCGAGAATGCGACGGTGAGGAAGCGCTCTCGAGCACCCAGACATCGATGGGGACCCAGAATGTCACCTGGAAGAAGATCCAGATGTCGCGAGACTAGTCCTGAAAGATGGCTGGGACTGGCCCCATGAACCCACCCGAGGGTGGAAGTTATAAGGGGGCACCGCTCACAGCCACACCCGGAAACGAGAGAGTAGGGTGTGTCTCCGAGGCTCGCTACCCTGCTTGCCCAGCAGGACGAATCAATGGCAGCAAGTAACCGACTGGACCATCCCGGGACTTCCACGAGGGAAGTCCGAGGTGGTTGAGACCATACCGCCCGAAGGCAGAACCGGTCTGAAGAGGTGAAATGCCCCGACTGCCCACAGAAGGGTGACTGACCTGTCCAAATGGCCCTGCCACCCTGGCATTCACCTCTCCAGTTCCGAGCTCTCGACGTCTCACCGAGAAAGAATTCTCGGCCCGCTTAGGGTCCAAATCGGCAAGATTGGCAGGTGGGAGAGACACGAGAAAACGAGTCTGGGACACAAATGAAAAGATTGTGGGCTTACCTTGTTCTCGACGTTGTGGCAGCGCTTCATGCCGGAAACTGCGGCCTCAGACGTAGGAGATGACTTCACTGTGATGAGATCGATCTGGATGTAACATTTGTCAGAAGGTGATGGATTGAGAGAGAAAACCGCGTGTGGAATGGAAACTTGCGCTGAGGTGGTACACACTATAGGTAGCCAACGTGGAGGATGGCGAATTGATGATGAGAAGGGTGAGATGGGATAGGATGGAGAGAAAGGGAGAAAGTTGAGTTGAGAGGAAGAAGAATAGAGAGAGAAAAGAAGTAGGATGAAAAAAGAAGGCCTGTGGATGGCAGACCTCGCGAAGTGGGAGGTGGAGGGCAGTGGTGATGAGGATGTGAAGGAAGAAGAGAGAAAAGAATCAGGTGCGCCTGGCCGGCCACCCTCACGTGAGAGCGGTCTGGTTGTTTTGGTTTCGTGAACAAAAGACGCGCGGGAGATGGAAATAAGAAGGAGGAAGGAAGGGTGTGCGAGCTGAGAAGGAAGGAGCCCGAAAATTGGTCTCAACTGCCCAGATCAATGAGGTCTTGAGTGAGAAAGGGGATGAAGCAGGAATATTTTGCGCAGGGAGGGAAAAAAAGAACGGATCTCGTATCTTTGGATAAAGACAGTGAGCAGATCGTATTGTGGGATGAGGCGGTTGTCGATGAGAAGATGTATTGGTAATGATGTGAGGGTAGTGATGCTGTGAGGGTGATGATGATGTGAAGGAAGAAAAGAAGGAGTCCCTCAGTGAGGCAAGGAGAAGTTGGGGATGAGGGATGTGGATGGAAGAGAGAGCAATTTTCCGGCGGAAAAGGAGGATGAGAAATAGATCAGGGGCATACGCTTGCTGCCTCGCATGCGAGACTGAGGCAGCTTTTTGCGCGAGGTCTGGGGAGAAGAGTATTTTCCGACGCGTAGAGGAAGGGGGTGAGGAAAACAAAAGAGGCTTCGGTCTTCAGTCGAGGAAGGAGCAGGCCTGAGGGGGGGTAAAGTGCAGTATCTGGGGTCACAAATTGCACGCTACCTTATACAAAATGGGAGATGATGGAGGAAACAGCACAGCGCGATTGGGGATTCGATGAGAAAAGAGAGGTTCAATCACTAACCTCGTGAGAGTAAAATCGCGCTCGCAGTCGTGGTTAAGCTGAGCAGTTGGATGTGTTCAAGATGAGATTCGTCGTTGTCGAATGACAACAGTCCGAGGCACAATAATCAGATCCGATTTGCTCTCCGTGGAATGAAGGACCCAGGCAAGCGGCGTATAGCCCTAATGATCGTAACTTGTCATATTCGCCGTTCTTTCATGGTGCCTGAAGGATAGGGGAAGGAGTATCCCCGAAGGGGCGAAGAAAAGAAATCGGATATATCCTCAGCTTGCGCACGCCACACTGAGAAGCATCTCAGAAAAGAGCTCTCTCCCATAATGATCTCACACATTCCGGCGGCTTGTTCACTGACGATGTCCTGACGAGGATTCTACTATTACGACGTGTCGTGGCTCTCCTTCAAGGGAATGGGCATTTCCCCGTGTCCTGATGCTCGCGGTCCTTGAGTGTATTGCCGCTGGATCGAATCAGCACATACAGCCAATGTTTTCCTCGTTTTCCCTGATTCCCCTCAGTCTTGCTGCTAAGTGGGAGGTGGCTTTTGACTTGACGATTCTGGCTTTGTAGGGATACTCGGCATCGGCAACTGCCTTCGAGAAATATTATGCTGGCATAAGTCTGCGTCTTCATCCAGTCAGTAGAAGTTTCTACCATTGAGCCGCCTAAGCCCAGGTAGGTACTCAATAAACCTGAATGAAGGACTTACTGGGGCTCAAAAAAGACTATGTCGAGCCAAATTACTTCTTGTGCGGCTCGGGGGTAGTAAACAGGTCAGCGGCGGTTGCGTCTGGCGGGCACCAGGTGTTCATTACCTACATCATTTCTTTGGCTTATTTCTATACTCATATTTTGTTCAGTTGCAGATTGCGTTGTTGTGATAGAACAAGGGGGGGATTTCAGTCGCGTTGGGTGATCGCGTGGGCGTGTGGCAGAAGGAGCCCTCGGTTTGGAAAGCCGCCCCTTCCTTCTCCGTCGATTTCAACTTCACCTTCAGACTGAGAAATATACGCCTTGTAAAACCTTTTCCTGCTTTGACTTTGAATAATCTTCAAACTACTCATTTCAAGCCTCTACTGGTACCGAGTCTAGAGTGGTGCCGAATCTCTCTTAGGTATGCATTCCGGGATCGACCTATTCCTTGATAAACAGCGGCTTGTCCGGAGGAAAAACCCAAGGCCTCCTAGGTTTTGCTTTCAACGGCATGCTCAGATGAAAGCTTTGGATGTTGATCCCCGTACTTATCTTCCGGAGTCTCTGCCTAGCTTATTGTGTGGCTGCATGTGTGTTCCTGTGCCTAGAGGCAAGATATTTGGCGCCATCGTGATCGTTATTGTCAATCAGGCTCTTACTGCACTAAGAAAAGCATATCAGCTTTAGAAATGATTACCAAAAGGCGTTAAATGCTTGACGTTCGCTTCTACCGCCTGTCGTCGGAGACATTCAGCCGTCGCCCCCTATCCTGATATCTTGTGAAGTTGTGATCCGGAAGTGTATATATAAGAATGGTCTGGGTGAGAGCCTACTTCAGAAATCCAACAAAGACCTAACCGTACTTCCTGGTTTTGGATTCTTTTCGATTTGGCCGCTAGACAAATAGTTGGTATGGGCATTGGATATTCTGAAGGAAGCACAAAGAATCGCCTTTGACGAAGGCAAGACTGTTCTGAGAATGTCACAGCATTGAGCCAAGCAAGAACTACTCCAGTACGCCAAGCCAGACCAGCCAATCATTTCACACACCTGCTTGATGAACAACAAACGAACCCGCAGCCAAACACTTATTCCAGTCACACAAAACAAAGCACACGGCATCACCAGTTGAAGCACCTCAGAGTACCTGCAGCATTGATCATCAGTGAAACATGACGTGTACTAGTTTTGTATCGGTCTGGCGGGGTTTATTTAATTGACTCTATCTACTCTGGCCATTGGAATGAGGCTGCACGTTAGAGATTGTCAGACCCGTCGTTCACATTAGCGGGCACCCTCTATAATGTAAATACCTCCAGTCCCAGGGGCTTTGGTCGATCGACTTTGCCTATCCCTACTAGCAATGTTGTGAAACATCATTACAACTGGTTCTTTTGTTACAATTGTACCGCCCTACTGTTTTGCTGGAGCCTGGTTGAAGCCTGAGTTGTGCCGATTATCGAAAAAGTCCCACACAACAGATGTCTTTAGCCTTTTGAAGAAAATATACGTATCACTATACGCCCTGGGAGAATTGTGATTCACCTAGGTTCTCTTATCCGAAATGCTTGGACACTCTCACTGCTGTCTCCTAATTGGGAAACTGGACAGACCTTTCCTTTCACTGCTATCTCCCAAACAGGCAATCGTTGGAGGCGGGTTCTTCGTCCTCCCAAATATCCCCATCCCCAACTTCACCTTGCAACAGATATAAAGGCTCCCTACCCCGGGCTCTTTTCTTCCAAACAACATCATTGTGTACCACTCTATCGCTTCCTAGATTCTCTACCTACATCTCTCAATTCCACCTTTTCGGTCATTCGACAGCAAGTCGCCACGACAGCATTCCTTATTCTTCTCGCCGTCGTCTCCATCCTGAAAGCACCTCTCAGCACAGGTATGTTCATGTACAGCTATTCTCTCTAGACTTTTGTTAGGAGTAATCTCAAAATCATAATCAGCGTCGATCAGTCATTTGGGCACAAGAAACAACCTCACCAGGATGTCTCAGAACAGCAGCATGGTGGTGATGGTAAGGCCGGCTTGCTTTGATATCGACACCTGCAGGTCAGTGCTAATAAAGACCATAGAAGTCTGATTCTGAAGACGATTTCGTCATTATCGACTCTGAGCACACCGGTATCGTGGAAAAGCTCGGGCAGGAGCACAAAAGAGTCATAAAGGCTTTGATCGACAAGCACGTGGGGGAGCTTGCTATGCTGAGAGATAGCTGCAACAGACGGGCTCAGGACGACGCCAGAACTGCCAGTCTATCAGTCAATCGACACAATGAGCGCTACCAGGAGGAGATCAGGGACCTGAAAGACGCTCTTGCTGCCGAGAAGGACAAAGTGGCTAGGCTCCAAGCCTCTTGCCCGCCTCACCTTCCATGCAAAAATTTGGGCCGATCTGAGTAGAGACGGAGTCTGCATGAGTCTCCCAGGAATATAAATACCACTGTCCAATATCTGAGAAGGTTGCAAGTTCACCTGAGTAGGAGGGGCTCATGGGTGTCTTGGGGCACAATTGCTAAAAGTACTTCAGGCTGCTGCAGACGGTAGTACCTTCCCTAAAATATCTTTGAAAATTCGGATACAGTGATCCAATCATATGAATGAATTCGTTTCAAGGAGCCCATGCCTCACCTAAGGCTTGATTGCAAATCCTACCTACTAAATCCATCTGGGATTCACACCATTTTATTCTACTATCAACTCACCGTCTCTGTGCTATGCCCTGCTTCCGTATTGGTCTAGGTTTCGGCAATTTTGCACTGAAGAGTAGGCAATAGCTCGAAATGAATATGGCCTGCATTCCAAGGCATCTCGCCGCGTGATTTGGCCGCACTTGCCTTCACACCACACTACATCACCAGCTTTGCAACAGCTTCCTATGCCCATCTCTAATATCAACGGCCCGCAAGCAGCATCGCTCTTATATCCACAGGCTTTAATCTCCAGCATCAGCTTCGTTGTTTGACCAGCAGCAGAAATATTTGAACAACATTCACTTCAGGGCTCTTTTGGGTGAGGGATATCACGGCCAAGCCGAGCACGACCAAGACTCCTTGTCACCCACATTATTGCTAATGATGGACTTCATTCAGACAGCTCTCACGGGCAAGTCTAGCTACAGAATGTCCGACAACAATCAGATGTCCTACAAAAATCAGAGGGTCAGTCTCTTCTGTTATTTTGCCCTCTTTGACTCACTTTTTGGAGTCTCACCATTACGCCAATCCCTTTGCCTACACTTTCCATTCAATCTTTTCCTTGAAATATTAACGGCACCAGCAGGTGATCAAATACACTGAGCAAGAACTCCAAGCTGCCTTGAACAAGATCACCAAAGATAACAATACCAAGGCGCAGGAGCGCATCAATGAAGGAAAAACCATGCTCGGGGCCCTCATCGTCGCCCACAACGAAGCCCTCTCCGACCTCGCTCACCAGAAGCTTCGCATCGGCAAAGTGATCACCGCTCACAAGTACGAAGTGGCCCAGCTCCGTATCCAAGCCTCTGAAGCAGGAGATGAGGCCTTCCGGTGCTATCACCAGGCCCAGTCCTACTACGCCGATGCACAGGGAGCTAGAGACGAGGCAGCTCACAAAGACCAAATCATCCAGGTCTCACAGCAGCAGCTACAGAGTTTACAAGCGCAGCTCTATGAGAAGACGCAAGAGGCTGTGAAATTTCAGAGCCAGCTTGATGCTTCTGCTGCCAAGAACAATGAACTTGTGACCCAGCTTGACGCAATCCGCAAGATCGACAATACCATGAGCACCTCCGAGGCTCCTTCTAACACTCACACTTGACCATCGACGTGGCTATACTTTGCTCTTCCAATAGAGCTCGACGATATTTTTGTGGATGAAAACATGGGAGTATAAGGACGTTGGACATATTTCGGCTTGGGGGACTTGGCTTGGGCTGCTGTTTCTGCAATGAGGCTTAACCCTTCTGATAATTAGATACTGTACCTGCTGGAAATGAGGTTCTCACAAAGCTTTGAAAGTACAATTTTTGATTTTCTGAGATGCCACATCCGGTGACCAGTTTCAGCATCCCTGTGTTACAACCAATCTACCCTATTCCTTCGCTAAGTATGTTGCGTTCATCGTGATTACTTCATTATGCACTACTCAATTTTAAAGCTGTGATGGGATTTCTTTGTCACTCTCAGCTTTCTATCCCGCCCTGGACATCCAGTCGCTTGGTGAGGAGGGAAGGAGAAGAGTCCTACATAGGTAACTGACCTCTCCCGTCAGGAAGGCACCGTAGTACCCAAGACCTCCATACGGAAGATTTAAGCACCATTCAGCTTCACTATGAATTGAAAAATAATCAGTGATTAACCAGAAAGTCGGTGAGTGTAATATCCACCCTAAGTACCTTAGCCTCTAGCAATTTGTAGGTAGGGAGGTACCTAGGTAGTCACTTCTCAGGGTCCAATAGCGCCAAGCCGGCTCCGAAGTAGACAAAACCACAGCCACACCACCGAACAGACCAAGCCACGCGCCACACCTTCTCCAGCATCCCAGCGGACCCCCCTTCCTCAAAGGCGGTCACCCGATCGGGTTACCCCGGGACCCTCCCACACCGAGGATCGGCGGGGCAGTTTTCTCGGTGAACAACAATTTTATTTTCGGGTATCCCACCCTGCTGCGAGTCCCATCGCCGACGGTGCATAGAGCGACTCCCTCTTCCCGGTGCCACCTCTAGGAAACACGGCACTTTCAATTGAGCTACCTACCTGCTCAGCCACCAGAAAACACCATTCAAGATGGCGTCTCAAGAGCAGAACATGCCCTTTATCAGGAACCTGGCTTCCAGCGGTTCGTCTCCCCCCGTCGCATCGCAACCCGAAAGCCTCGCCCGAAAAAATGCCCCTCCGTCGCAATCCTCGAGAACAGACTCCAGCTAACGTCTCTCCCCGTGATGACAGACCGCAAACTCCGAACCCAAGCCCTGACCTCCCTCCAAACCTTCCTCGGCTCCCACCGCTCCCTCTCCCACCTCGAAGCCCTCAAGCTCTGGAAGGGCCTCTTCTACGCAATGTGGATGTGCGACCGCCCCATTCCCCAGCAGAACCTCGCCTCCGAGCTCGCCTCCCTGACAGCCTGCCTCCGCAACGACGACGTCCCCACCTGGCTCGCCGCCTTTTGGGAAATTCTCTCCAAGCAGTGGACAGACATTGACGTTCTTCGCATGGAAAAGTTCCTCCTCCTCGTCAGACGCACTTTTACGTCCGGACTGCAGTGGGTCAAGGAGGGAAACTACGACGCGGGACGGGTCGACGCGCTGATCAAGGTGTACGGCGAGTGGCCGTTTGAGCTCGAGGGCGATTTGCGAAAGGTGCCCATCGGGCTAAGGCTCCACGGCCTCGACATCTGGGTCGACGAGCTCGACAGGTTGGAAATGCTGGAGGAGAAGGATGCCAAGGCGGTAGACTTTGCGAGAAAGCTCAGCCAGCTCGTCGAGCCGCTCAAGAAGTCGCCCGTCAAGACCGTGCGGGCCAAGGCTGCGGCTGTGGTCGAGGACGAGAGGTTGCCGTGGACGGAGAGCAAACCTACTGAGGAGGAGGAAGCGGCGGACGGGGATGATGATGAATGGGGTGGCATTGACGATAAATAGAGGGGACAATACTTCATCTCTTCATATGTCTTTTACATGGGATGGTGAACACGGCGTTTGTTGGCTTTTTTTTCTTCAAAAAAATGGGAGGCATGACTTTATCGATACATAGTTCCCAAAGGGTCTGATCCATGGGCGGGCGGTGATGGAAACCAACAACAAAATTCAATTATTATGCGCAAAGCTGTGTTCTGTAGTATTTATATAGTGATATCCAATGGCTGTCCCTTTTGCCAACCTGGCCTGCACTTCAGCCCGGCCTGACGACGGCTACACTCTCCCCGTCTTGGTCTATCTGGGTATCTCGATTTTTGAAAAAAATAAAAAAAAAGCATCTTACTACCCCAATCTGCTGCCCCCGCTACTTTCCGTTCGTAGGCGGAGAGACAACCAGGCCGTATTTCTGATGGTTGTCCCTGGCCTCTGGTCCTGGCCGGTACTGTCCTAGAGGAGAATGACTCTAACAATATATCCCGTCCCGTTTTTGTCTATTGTGATCCGCTGGCGCGGTCTCGGCGATCTGGGCGTTGTTTCTGATGGTGGACAGGAGGCAAACTGATGATTCTTGTGATAGAGTAGAGCATCAGCTGTGTTAGCCTCAGTCTCATAGGCCCAGCTCCGCCGACCAAGACCACGTCTTGGTCTAGAGCACCAAAGCATCACATTGGGAAACTGGGACCGTTCCCCGCTACATTGCAGCTCGTGCCGTCAACATTCGCTTTGAGCCAGGTTTCACAAAGATTGCGGTCTGCCTGGCAGACGTCCGCCTGAAGCTGAGTGTGACCTCTTAGGCCAAAGACATCTTCTCCCAGCCCAAAGGACCGGGGGCCTCGTACTTGCCGCGCTTCGAAATGACCTTGCCGAGACCGCGGTGGACTTCAGCCTGAAAGGGCTCAAACGGCACTTTCTCACCGTCGATGCTGATGTACCCGGATTTTTGATTCCGTGGAATAATGCGGTAGGCGGAGATCTTGCGGTACGACGCCACAGGGTTGTCGAAGAATTTTCCGCTCTCCACGGACGTGAGCAGACTCACCTGGGCACCGATTGAGACGTCTCCATCGACGCAGACGAGGTCCATGAGACCGTCGTTGGGGAGCGCTGCAGCGAAAAAGTTGGCGTTAGGAGCCATGTATCCCATCTATGTTTGTCAGCATACGGTCTAGTGACGTCGTCATCAAGAGCAGGGGGGTTTTCTCGCGATGCTAGTGTTTGAGACAGTATACTTACGTTCCCGCAGTAAAAGTTACCCATCTTCTGATAGGGAATAAGCTCCCATCCATCAGGGAGATCATCATTGATGGTGCCATATCTCAGAGGCGGCAGTCCTTCCTGGTCACCAGATGGGCTCGAGGCGCCATCGGCATTCTCAGCCCTCGGGGGTTCGCCGGCACCCGTATGTGTTGCCAACGCCCTGCGCGTGTGCTCCTTGTAGTGTCTCTTGACACCAGCCTTGTCCCCAATCTCAACCTTGACGGCCAAGTCGCACGGGTAGCACTTTTTCTCGAATATCCTAGTCAGGAAGCCCCAGGTGAAGCGCGCGCCGCCCATCCATCGAAGATGCTCAGTAGCTAGATCACTCTCAGCCACAACGCCAAGAGCCTGACTCAAGAAACTGAGGGTGCGTCGGTTGCCCTGTGTGATGCTGATCAGATCCACAGGGGTTTCGACTCCCTTGATGATGGCGAGAGCACAAATTGACGGCCGATGCGAGTCGTACAGGTTGCAGCTCATCGCATTACCCGAGCCGCAGGGGATGTGCGAAATGGCAATCTTTTGCAATGCTCGCGACGCATCAGGCCGCTGGCCAAGACCGTTGAATGCCTCGTGAGCAAGGCCGTCGCCTGAGCAGGTGACGATGGTGTCGAACGCGTCCACGTCCACGTCCCGCGAGACCGCAAGAGCCTGACCTGAAAACGTAGTGAGGTCAACGTCCATGGGCATGCGCGCCGCCTTGAACAGAGGCTCGACGTCAACGCGCCACTTCTTTTCCGCGCCTCCCGGTCCAGCGTGCGGGTTGACCAGGACCTTGGCTCTCTTGCATCGCTTCGCCGGCCCGTATGCCCTTGTCATGAGGGTGTCGATCCAGGACCTGACGTCCGGGCCGTCCGCGTCGTTGACGGTAAAAGTCCATTTTGCGGCCTGTACTCGTTGCGTGCTGACCTGTTTCGCATAGTCGATCGTGAGTGTCTTCCCCGTCTGTTCGGCCCAGAGGACATTGTATAAGGGGACGCTTTGCATTGCCGGCGCTGTATGGTGTGGACCGTTGTTAGCAAGCTGGGCAGGGGGCGACGGAGGCCGTGGCAACGGACCTGATGCGCCAAACCCAGCAAAACCGCAAGTCCGTTTGGATTTGTTCGCTGTTGGGTCTTGAAAAGGGGGTCAGCTACCCGAGCGCATCGCATGAGGTAGAGGTTGCAGGTTCCAACACACCATTCAAAATGAGGTTCTCCGAAGCTAGGGTCAGAGACTTATTGCCGTCGACCTTGACCGTCTCGGGCGAGCCGTGTCTGGAGGCAGGCTTGCCGTAGGATTGGGAGGACTCAGAGATGGACTCAGTCACAGTCGGGGCCGTGTTGTGTTCCCCTGCGAGGTTCGCCATGGTGAGTTGTACGAGGGTGGAATAAGCGACAGGTGAGTACGAGGGGGATACAAGTCGTCAACGTCGAGAGACTGATGGGTGAGCAGAGGTGGAGAGGACAAGAAGGGAACCGGTCAGTGCTAGCAGAAGTCGCGACGAGACATTGTTGTCAGTTGTCAATTGTGAAGGGAGGAAGTGACGCCGTGCCGGTTGGAACTGATGGGTGGTCACGAGCTCCTTAAAGTTGAAAAAGGGAAGAGAAGAGAAGAAGCGAGACTGCGCCGTTGCACCAAGCCAGACGAGGATGGAGGGCGCAGGCGCAAACAGGATAGGAATAGTCGGGGGTAAGTTGGTTGGTTAGTACGAGAGGAGTAGGTCCCGAGGCCCGTCGTCGTCGAGGGAAGATTGGAATTCAGGAGGGGGAAAACGACCTGGAGAATTCGATGCTAGGGGGTCTCGGGAGCAACACGAAAGTAAGTTATAATGTGAACATCCAGGTCGACGCAGTTCTGCTGCAGGAGGGATGGCACGGTCACCCAGCGCAGCACGGATGAATCGGAGATTGAACCTCAGGTTGCACTAGCTGAAAATAGGGGGCTACTTTTACGATCAGTGTATAACTGCTGGGAAGACCGTGTACCTTGTTAATGGGGGGGCACCGATAAGGTAAGCACCCGGGATGCCAACCTGGAAAGGCACGGATGCGCGCTGCAGCCGCCCCACCGAACCCCCTCACCCCGCCGATGCCCCGAGGTAATGCGAGGAGCCCGCGGCGCCCGTAGCGGCCGCCTGACCACGGCAGAGGTGTTTCCCCGGACGCACCTCACACTCTTGATGTAACCGTAGATGCAGCTATTCTAGCGCGGTAGAAGCAGTCGGTGGAAGCCGAGATATTCGGCTCGGGGAGGTAAGGATGAGCCTTTTTGGCGTGGATGCGTGGAACTCCAAGCCAGGCCGGATAGCAGACGGGACGTGACTTATCTACCTCAGACTAAGGCAGTAGACATCCCCATCGAGGTAGGAACATCAGGCCAGGACCGGGGGAATACCTTATCTTGGAGTGGCTGAGGGGAAGTGGACACGGGGAAGGCGATACGTCTGGTTCAGAGGTGGTGATTTGCTGGCCGCCGATCCGACTTGGTGGTGCGAGTAAGCCGGTCAGGCACCGGCCGACTTCGGGACACCGGCGACAGGAAATGTGCGATGCCCGACTCTCCCGCCTTGGCTGCGCCTCCTTTCCTCGGTTTATTCCAACCTGCAAGAGGGAGGAGGTCTTAGGTGTTTAGTTTGGAACTGCCGGTGCCACGTTCTCCTCAACTCAGGGCAAAGGCAGTGGTCGTGCGTGCAAGAGAAAGTCGTATGCCTTGATGAGCCAATCTTCAGACGATGGGCGAGCGGCTGCGAATTCTTCATGCTGCGAGTCCAACCGCCGCTTCGCATTGCGTTTGCCAAAAGTAATTCGATAAGAAGGAGAGAGAGACGCGGGCCTGTGCCGGGTACACAAAGGCAAAAGGCACAATTGCTTTGTTGGCTTTGGTCATAAGTACGTCAGATACTGTTTGAGGGAGAAATAGCAACCCTCAACATAAGGTAGATAGGGCAAGCATCAAGAAACCTGCGCGCATAATTTAGGTTGCTTGTAAACTCACACGCGTAGCTTTTCGATATAAAGAATGCCATTTGGCGTCTCGCATCACCAAAGTCCATAAAAAAAAGGTACGGATACGGATAATACAAATTCCCCCACCTTACCTAATCTCTTACTTTACCCACGCTCATGCATGCTCAGTTCCGAGCGGAGATTCCCTAATTGGCGAATGCACCTGAGGACGACAGGCTGTGTCTCACTGGTTCGCACCCAATGAGCTTACCCCGTGCCGTCTAAATCAGGCAATAACCAACCAATCAGCTGTGGGCCGCGACCTCTTTCGCTCATTTGGCAATACGTACCGCTCCAGATAGCGGATTGCTCCCAGCGGCTTCTCACATTAAACAATCCCTCATTGTTCAAGGCTTCGGCTTGACTCACATCTTATTGTTCTCAGTGACTCAATTCAACATCTCGAAACCCCTTTTCCGTTCAATTGATCTTCTTACAGCAATACTTCACCTATCCACCCATCTCGATTCACCCAAATCCAAAAGAACCAAAGCCACAGAAACCACCCCGCCATGGCCTCACAAGCTCCGGTTGCGGGGTCCGACGCCGCCCTCCCGCTCATTGACATCAAACCGCTCCTCAAGAAACTCTGGCCCGTCCCGGATGCCGGCCTCGCCGTGAGCGCCGACGAGATCGCCGAGGCCATCTCCCACTTCTTCACACACCAGGTCTCCGACGCCCAGGCCGCCTCCCTGCTCATCGCCCTGCACTTCACCAACCTCGACCGCCGCGCCGATGTCATGGCCCGCTCCGCTCACTACATGCGCCAGGCCGCCGCCAAGGTCGACTTTGACGACCTCAGCAAGGTAGTAGAGCAAAAGGCCCTCGCAGCGGGCGCCTACGCCGGCGGGCTGTGTGACATCGTCGGCACGGGCGGTGACTCTCATAACACCTTCAACATCAGCACCACGGCCAGCATCCTCGCCTCCTCCCTCCTGCTGGTCGCCAAGCATGGCAACCGCGCCAGCACCTCCAAATCCGGGTCCGCCGACCTCGTCAACAACATGCAGCCCCGCCCGCCCGTCCTCATGGCCGTGTCCCCCACCACAATCTCAAAGGTCTACTCGGCAACGAACTACGGCTTCCTCTTCGCCCCCGTGTTCCACCCGGGTATGCGCTACGTGGCGCCCATCCGCAAAGAGCTCCCCTGGAGGACAATCTTCAACCTCCTCGGGCCCTTGGCGAACCCTGTCGAGGATATCCTCGAGGCACGCGTCATCGGCGTTGCGAGGAAGGAACTCGGCCCCGTTTTCCTTGAGGCCCTCAAGATCAGCGGTTCGAAAAAAGCCATGATCATCTGCGGGGAGGAGGAGCTGGATGAAGTCAGCTGCGCCGGACCGACACTGGTGTGGAAGCTCAGCGAAGGGGCCAGCGGGGAGGTGGTGGCGGATCACTTCAAGGTGCAGCCGAGCGACTTTGGCCTCGGGACGCATCCCCTGAACACCGTATCACCTGGTAAAGAGCCGGCCGAGAACGCTGAGATCCTGAGAAGGATACTCCAGGGCGAGATGGCCGACAATGACCCGATCCTTGAGTTCGTTTTGATGAACGCGGCGACGCTGTTTGTGACGTCGGGCATCTGCGAAGCCGAGACGAGCGATATGGGTCCTGGTGATGACGGCCAGGTCATTACCGAAAGGGGACCTGGTGGAGGACGCTGGAAGGAGGGTGTGCGGAGGGCGCGTTGGGCTGTCAAGAGCGGTGAGGCCTGGAAACAGTGGAATGCATTCGTCGACGTTACGAATAGCTTCAATCAATAAATGAAGTGTGACTAGGGGAAAATCGAACCATGAAAAGATGAAACCGATGTTAGCCAAGGTAAGGTAGCGTGGGTGGAAAGGAAAGCAAGGAATGGATATCACGGCCTTGGACGAATACATCACGAAACAAAAGCTGCTCTGAAGGAATCTTGACTTGCGGTCTCTTGTTAGCTTTTTTATAGCCTTCTTCTATCACAACTTTTGATGATGCACTATATCCTTGATTTGACACATGCCGTAACAGCACGTATCTGTAGCCCCGACCTTTACCAAACCTTGGCTTTCCCGCTCACCGAGGAAACATATCCGCCCATGGCCGTCTGGAAACGCTTCCACCGTTCGGGTATCTGACTGCACAAATCGCAACACTGAAACCGGCAACCGCCTCATTTCCGCCTGAGCTGGTTCCAAATCCTCCGAATTGGCGACAGGGATGGGGGCCGGCGCTCCTAGGCGAAGAGGCTTACTTCCGGCCACCTCCCGTGCGCCTCCTTCTTGAGCGTCTCAGCCTCGCTGCTCCTCCACCCCTTCAGGAGGTTGTACACCTCGGTAGCAAGCTCGAAAGTGGCATCGGGAGCCTTGACGACATTCACAAGGTCGGCATCGGCCTTGGCGCTATCCTCCCCAAGCACTCTTCGCGTCTTCAGAGCAGCGACGACGTGAGTGGGCTTGGTCTTGTTGTTCGTGAGGAACTCCTCGTTGTACTTCTTCAGGTCACCAGCAGGAGGTGTGAATTCGGACTTGATGAGTTCTTGCACCTTCGCTGGCAGACTCTCGAGTGCCGGGCGCACGACATGAGCGAACTCAACAACACGTTCGTGAACTCCAGGGTGCGATTGGTCGAGTTCGCGGGCGGCATTGAGGCAACGCAGCGCTAGAACGTACTTCTCTGTAGAGATGTCAGTACTGTCAAAGGTGTCAAGGGTGGCATAGTCAAACTCACTTCGGCGCACGTAAACATCGAAGCCGGCGAATTGGGCATCGATGTTTTGCGGGCTGAATTGCAGGAGGGGAGTGATAAATCGCATGGCCGCGCTCAGGGGTTCGGCCTCCAGAAGCTTCAGGCCGAGGGGATCTTCGTCCTTCTTCTTGGGCTCTTCGCTAGTAGGCTTGCCCTTGTTCGGATCCTGCTTCGCCGCACGATCAGCCGCCTCCCGCTCCAAGCGCTGCTGCTCCTTCTTGGCCTTCTTCGCAGCCTTCTTTCTCTCGGAAGCGTCGTCGCCATTGGCGTCACCATTGACTCCGTTCGCCGAGGGACGATCGGCTCTCTTGAGATAGATCGCAACGGCATCCAAAGCGGCTCTTGAGTAGAAGGGGTGGTCCCGAAGGTGGTCCTCCCACCGGACCATATCTACGTAGGCACGAATTTGGCCCTTTCTGAGAGAAAAGCTGTGGAAATCGAATTGATCTTCTTGCCAGACGTCGAAAATGTTGTGAACCGTGTGGAGGCGCTTGAGAGCCAATGCATCATCACCCTGACGAGCGTACGCCTCACCATCCTCGGTCAAGAACCAGACGCATTGCATGTCCAGAAGATCCGCGAGGGGGCCGCCGATAGTGTCCGCCCTGGTGAAGAGACCCACAGTCTTCAAAGCCTTCTCCGTCTCGTTGTTTCGGAGCTGATACTTGGCGGCTTTGGTGTTAATGTAACGATCACGGGTATCCAAAGTGCGGGCCTTGTCCATGGTCTCGGATGCCTTTTGTAAGTTGCCCTGGTGCTTCCATATCCTCGCCTTGGTCATGGTGAAGTCAACGCTGTCGGGGACCTTCTCGATGGCCTTGTCGACATACTCGTGAGCCTTGGTAAGGTCGCGACTGAGGTGGTAGTTGTAGTGTTGGGCAAGGAAGTAGAGAGCCGCGGCCTCGCCCTTTGAGCGATCACCGTTGGTTGCTTCCGAGCTTGAGCTCTGCGACTTGAGGTACTCCTGAGCGAGAGCTTCGAGGGCCTCCTTCTTGGCAGAGTCAGAGTACAGGTGCTTCAGGTTGGCGAAGGTCGACGGGACGCCCTTGTTGAACATGAGTGTCAAGTACTCTTTTGCTGCAGCACTGAAGTCGTCACCTGTTCATGTTAGCAGATGTGCGTGTGCAGAAGTGCAACACACTTACCAGACAGGAAGTTCAGGGGGAGGCGGCGAGGAGCATCTGAACGGGGAAACTGCTTAGCATATTTGTCGTAGATCTGCTTCCTCGCAACCTCGTCGCTGTCGGAAAAGGCGTGAGCGCTTTCCAGGCCCTCAAAGTAAGCAGGGCGGTCGGCGTTGCGCTCAACAAGGGCCTCCCAGGCGGCGATGGCCTCCTCCTTCTTGCCCAACTTGACCAAGTACTTGGCGCGCAGCTCCAAAAACTCAAGCCTGTCGAGGTTGTGCTTTGCGGCATTCTCGAGATGCTCGAGGGCTCTTTGATAGTCGCCCTGCTCGGCAATGATGGTGTTCTTGTACATGACGGCTTCGGAGTTCTCGTAATCGCTCCGGGAGGGCGTGGACTTCAACGTGCCCTCGTAAGTGGTGAGGACGTTCTCGGCGGCGGACAGGTCACCTGACAAGTGGTGAGCGATAGCCAGCGCAGTCCAGCTCTGGCGCAGCTGGGGACGCGCCTGCAGCATGGCGGTGCGGCTTGAGATGTATCCGGCATAATCGCGCATCTGCACCTGAAGAATGGCAAGATCGCGCTGGATCTGCGTTGACTCGGGCTCGAGCTTCAGAGCGAATTTGTAAGCCTTGATAGCCTCCTCGAAGTTCTTGTTGGCGCGGTACAGCAAGCCGTAGACGTGCCAGCAGATGTGCGACTTCATGTCCACCGTCAAAGCCTCCTTGCCTAGTGCGAAAGCCTCCTCGGTCTTACCCTGCGCGTTCATGATCAGGGCCTTCATGGCCATGGTGTCGCCATGTTTGGGGTTCTTCTTGAGGATGAGGTCGGCGGACTTGAGACCACGCTTGTACTGCTTGTCCTCATAAGCGCGGATTACGGCGCGAAAGAGGGAAGCCTCTTTCGAATTCAGAGGTTGCGGCATCGGATCGGTATTGAGCCGGAGATCGAACAGCCAGTACAGCCAAGTATGCGAGACCGAGTCGTCGAGGAGGAAGCGAGTTCGGCAAGGTTGAGACTATCCCAAGGGTCGCGAGAAACGCAAACTCTTCGGAGGGCTGATCCGCAGCACTTTGTCTGGAGGGGTCCTCGGAGGTCAAGGAGGGGTAGCGAGTTACAGTGGTGTGACTGAACCGAGCCACTGACTGTGAAGAAAAGTAGGAGATGGACGAAATGTAAAGAGTAGAGGTCGGTTGTGTCGGGGACCGAGACTCGTACCTTTTCGAGAGCGTGAGGTGGGAAGTCAAAGGTTGGCTGTGTGCGAGTCCACGAACGGAGCTGCAAGTGTTCAGAACGGTTCTACGTAAACAGGTGGGATGGAAGTCCCATCTGTGGAAAGACTTCGGCTACACAGATGTTCCAAGGCTAAGCTGGCTGGGGCTTAGTGCGCCGTCTTCTTCGCCCTGCACTACATGATACAGCGACCGCCACGCAGAGAAGTAGGTACCTAACCGTTTGGCGGGACGGCGGGATTTTTGGCGGGGCAAACTGAGCCCGGGCCCATCCGTTTTCACCGCATCCAAATCGCACCACCAATGGCCGCATGTTTCGCGCACGTCTCGCTCAGTAACGCCGACGGGCCGTTTTGGTGGGGGACTCTTGGCCTTCAACACCGCCCTCCATTGCGCGTCAACTATAACGATCTCAAAATGATCTCAAGACGAATGTAAATGGGTTCTGGAAGCTGAAACTGAAGTCCTCGGAAATAATCCATAGATGCTGAGGACTTTCGTGCACATTTCTCACGAGAACACCTTTTTTTTGAACCAGCACCTGACGCTTGTTGTTGGAGTTACACCTTTGAAGTGAGGTGCCCTGATAGGTCTTCCTCATGTTTCCACCAAGCGGGGATATAAAGCCAAAGCAAGGCTCTGGTGCCTTGCAACTTTGGAGACTGATCAAGTGCATTGAAGCCACAATATCCATCAGGTCTCTTATACTTGAGTGGGAGTGCATACACTTCCTTCGCCCAGGATTACTAAACCGAACATGGGCAAAGCCATAATAGTGCCTATCCGAAGACTATACTTTTTATCACGATTGATATTTTCGCAGGTTGAAATGAGTCCTGGGTCATTTTTGTGTGTGTCTATCGTCAATCATCTGGTGTTGTGTTACACGGTTGGTACAAGATGTCCTTTTATACAATGTTGGTACAGCTGCCGAGGACGATGAAGTCCTTGTCCTCATCGGCCATCGCTTTTGGCGGCAGCTCTTGATCGCCAACCTGCGAGAGCCTGCTCCCACGTGTTGACCGACTCGCCGCATCTTTGCTTCACCATATCCCACGTTCTCGTTCGCACAATGTTCTCCACCCCCTTCTCTTGCCGGATAAGCATCGCGAGCTGCTCCGTCCGAGGCTCTCGAGGGAAGAATCTTCCAGAATATGGATCCAACCGTTCGTCGACAACTCGCTCCTTGTCTTTCGCCGCCTCAATCTGCTGAACCAGGGCCTCCGGATCGTCGGGGTCCGGGCTCGTGGCAACTACTCCGCAGTAGTGCAAAACTTCAGCTCGCGCATGCCATGTCGGGAAGAGCACCTGGTCCTTGAAGTTTTGACATGCTTGCGGATCTATCTGTCGAGGAAAGGAACGCGGTGTTCGCTGTGAGGTCGACGAAGGGTCGAAACCGGCTCGCGCGGGTGTCACCAGGGCGTTGAGATTCTGGGTGATCGAGTCGTCGACGGTCGCGCGAGAAAGTCGTAGAAAATCTTAGGCAGCATGTTAGTGCCATTTAAACATAAGGTCAATGGTGCAGGTCAGCGCACCTCTCAGAGCTCCTGTCGAGAAGCAGAATTGTGGTGTAAGATGCGGTTGGGCCGGCGGTTGGGTCATGATGTCGTTAGGCGGAGGATTTGAGGGGGCTACGCCGGTCGCCGCGGATGACGACTCTTTCTTCCAAAGTATGTTCGCCAGGATGGATGTTGATGAGCCCGACCGTTTGTTTGGTAAATGGCGACTTCGTCTGCTCTTGTTCAAAACGTATCAAAGTCACAAGCTCGAGGATTGAGGTATTGATGTGATGACCACTGCAAACTCGATTACGTCGACGGCAGCTGCAGGTACCTAGGGTTCCTAGCACCTAGGCACCTAGTAAGCTGGAGAGCTCGGGGACATCCAGCGGTACGTATCCTGGAGGAACATTCAAAGAGCTCCCGACTGGTGCCGTTTAGGTTGTCCCCGCCTGACCAATCACTTTCACATCCATCGCCCACCTCGAATGGTCGAATCAGGTCACTCGGGCACCGGCGGAACCACGGCGGAAGATCCTCGGCGCGGAACGGATGGCCTGTGCTAAGTGGATGTGGTCCACAGCTCAATATGGTCCAAGCTTCGCCGTGGGAACTTACCTTCGGGTACCTTGTTAGGGATGAACTTTCTTCGTCGTTTCCGCCCATGTGTGCCCGCTCAGACCCAACACCACATTCCATTCTACCTCAAAGCCACGCAGACATTGCTTTTAGCGCCCTGTCAGATTTCGATAGTTCGAGAAGCCACACAAAGAATGGCAATCGTCAACCCCGCGAGATCGGTTTTGGATTTGCCAAGGATGGTGCTGACAAGCGTCAACCACGTCTTCGGGCTTCAAGTTGAATCAACCCGCGAATGCCATCCGGACCCCTGGGAAACACACGGACGACGATACTCTATCCCTACCCTACCCTCGACTAGTGTCCTTCAAGGTTTGTCCTTTGCGACCCTCCCAAATGGAGACCTGGGAATCAAGTGGGTGTCCATGACAAGCCGGCCATCATCTCCTGGCTAATCTTAATATACCGCCTGAAGCATCGAGCCTGGCGTGTCTCGACTTTCGTTTCTTTCGTTTCTTTCATTCTTGCAACCAAGCGACGTTCTATCCGTAGATACGATTTCTGGACAACTCTCAAGGGCCTCTGTCCTGGCTCGACCACTCTACTCCGACAGGCACCCGGATTTCTGGGCTCGGCTGTTCTTCATCTCGCCAAATTGCACTCAATAGTCTCCCCTGGCTAGCATCGCCCCAACTACCATATCGGGAGCAAACCGTTTCGTGCTGGTTTATGGTAGGAATGGGTCGTTGCCAGATTTGGCTCCTTGGCCCCGCGACAAGTTTCCCCGTTACCCGTCTTCTGATCCAACCTAAAAGACGGTGCTTCCTCCTGACTTCGTTGGGTGAAGAGTCTGTCCTCCGATCTTGATGGAATTCCGTATGGATCTGTCCACCTGCTAAGGTGACCGGTCATGGACTCCCCGGGGCGTCAGCCCGGCGTCAGCCTAGGCGACCTAATACGCACATCCCAGCTTCTTACTGAAAGATACAGCACGATGGCCAACAGCCTCAACACCGCACCGGTTACGCTGGCTGCCCTCGCCAAGGAATGTCGCGCTGTTACGGATACCCTACGGCGATTCAAGTATCTGCGCGAGACCATCCCGGAAACGCTCGTTTTTGACCCCGTCCTTCTCGATAAATCCTGCCACGATGCTTTAGACTCGATTACTACAGACCTGTCGTCTCTCGACATTTACAGTACAAGAATTCGCCCTGCGACGAGCGATAGTGCCGTTGACATGTCCTCGGGCCAGATCACCATCATTTGGAACGAAGATTCTCTCAGCCGAATCCAACGTCAACTCAAAACCAACCGTCAATCTCTTACATTTCTTCTTAATTGCGTTCCGAGGTAGGTCAAGCTCAGCTCAAATGTGTCGATTTTACTCACCAACGTAGCGAACATGTCACATCAAAAAACCACTCTACCTTTATGCACTCATCCCGCCTGGTGTCATGGGATTGTGCGATCAGCCCGGCAGTACTGAACAAAGGCAGTCGACTGCGTCTGTCAACTATTGGGCCCCGACCAAGGCCAGAGGCAGAGGCTTCCCCCATCAACGATCTCTTCGAAGTTCGTTCGGCTTTGAAGAGACTCAAACCGCCGCCGGGCACACTATACAAGCAAAGCATGCGAACAACCAAGGACCTGCACGACGCCATCGATCGTGGAGACGAAGCCGCCGTGGTGAAGCTCCTCTTGCAACGCATTGACCCAAATGCGCCTCGCTTCGGCTCGAAACTCTGCCCTCTTCGCCGAGCCCTCAATCGCCAAATTCCATCTCTTGTGACGTTCCTAGCTATTGCTGGAGCAAATCTCGAGAGCCGAGGTGACGAGGGCGACACAATCCTAATCACGGCGGTTAAGTACGCGTACTCCGATAAGGTCGTCGCGCTTTTGTGTGAGCTTGGTGCAGATGTCAATGCTGTCGACACATTAGGATGCTCGGCAATACACTACGCCGCAACGTCGGCCAAAGATGACGATACTTTACAAGTGCTCATACGTGCTGGGGGTGAAGTTGACCGCAGGGATCTAGGAACTCGTACGCCTCTGATAGCAGCCGTCCAGAATTATCGTTTCAACGCTATCGAAAAATTACTTGAATACGGTGCGGATTTGGAAGCCCGACTGCAAAATGGTAGAACGGCGCTACATGTCGCCATATCCATGAGAAGCAGCCCTATGACGGAATTCTTGTCAGATCAGGGCGCCTACCTTGATCGACGAGTCAACGAGCACACCGCTTTGACGTACGCAATAGCTACCGCTTGTCCGGACATTGCCGAGGTGCTCATCGAGGCCGGGGCCGACGTCAACCTGCCGAGCTCGAAGGGCAACTTTCCATTGCTCGCGGCTGCCTCGGCAGGCGACTTGCGGACCATGAAGCTCCTCCTCTCTCGGGGTGCCAAATTCGATGCTGCTGGTAGCGAGGGATACTTGCCCATTCACATGGCAGCCCACAAGAACCGAATTGAGGTGCTGCAGCTTCTGTTCAAGGCCGGATCGCCGATTGATCCAACGACCGAACATGGAGAGACTCCGCTCACAATCGCAATGCATTTGGGATGCTTTGAGGCTGCTCAATACCTGATTGAAGTCGGCGCCGACGTAGACCACTCCGCTCCTGGGGCAGAGAGAATCATATGCCAGGCGCTCAAGGCCGGCAACACGCGGATTGCAATGGCTCTTATCCGAGGTGGAGCAGACCTCACAACCCCATTATTGCGAAATGCTAGCATGACGCCGCTGCATCTTGCAGCCCACTACGGACAAAATGATGTCCTCGCAACAATGATCAATACGGGCGTCGACCTCGACACCAGGACCTGGCCAGGTTTCACACCACTCTTTTCTGCCGTAAAGGCAGGGCACCTCGCCACCGTACGACTTCTTATAACCGCTGGAGCTTATTCCAGAGCTCGTTCAATGTCAGGGGCAAACCTGATGTTCTTTGGCACGGCTGATCCCGCAATGATGAAGCTTCTGATGGAGCTTGGACTGGATGTTCGTGAACGCGATCATCATGGCGCAACACCGCTGCATTACGCGGCTGTCAAGGGTCATTTTGCGACGGTTAAGCTGCTGTTACAGCGAGGGGCGAAAGTGGTTCATGCCAGCGCCGTCTTCGAAACACTACAAGACTATAAAACAAAAGAAAAGTATCGCCAAGGTACTGCTGCAGGCCTCGCCAGGCAGAAAGGTCATCTGAAGATTGCCCGACTCATCGAGGGGTGGAGATTTAAATCCTGACACGCGGGTGCCGCATCCATGTCATCTCACTTTCACTTACTTTCATTTTTTCTTCACACTAGCAGTAACTTTCCTTTGTTGATCGAAGATCTACATCGATATCAGAAGATACCCAAAAATTACCCGTAGGCGTTTTCTCAATGCGACGTGGTTATCACCACAGGCCTATCATACGCCATCCTCCTATTCAAATACAATATTTACTCTCTCTCCGTCTCTCTGTCTCTCTCTCCCCCTCCATGCTGTCCAATACATGTCGTTTGCTCCTCAATTGGACAGCAACACCGTCACCAAAATTCCCAGTTTCTGAGGAACTACAACCCCATATCACTAGAAATGCGGGAGGAAATCAGACCAATCCGGGGTCTGATATAATGATGCGGGAGCCTCGCGAAGGTTGATAAAAGCCTCGATGACCAGAAAAACTCTGGCCACAACAAACAACAGCAGGACAAGGCAAAGAACAAACGACTTGCATCTCTTCATCCACGGTTTCTGGTAAGTCATTCCCGCTAGTTGCGCCCCGGGCGCCGCGCCAGAAATGAATACGTCGAACCGCGGCCAAACCTGACGAGCGAGGAAGAAAATCCAAAGAGCCACACCTGAGGATGTGATTACTAGTGATGCGGCTAACCAGAGTGTCCGCTCGACAGCCGTCGGAAAGTGGTCAAACCAGCCCGAGAGGTGGAGGCCACCGTACGCTGCAGCTGTCAAGGCGAGGACTGACCGCAGGACATCACGGTGGATGTTGACCTGACCTAGCCCGAGATTCGACATGGACGGGAAGTTGACAATATGAGGAACAAGATAATCCGTCTCACCAAGGAACACACCAACGGTCGGTACGGAAGTGAAGTAAAATTGAGCGTACGCCGGGCGGGAAGCGCATTCGGTCCACAGCGAGTCTGCAGCTGTTGCGGCTTGAGCCAAGCGTGCGAGATTGACGGGCATGTGAGGTTTCTCGTCTCTTTGAACATCGGCGAAGAGTCTTCGGCGATAGAAATTGCCATGCCGGAGACTGAGCTCGGTGTAAGGTGAAGTAAAGTATGTCTGCAGGCATTCCGGGGCCACCGTCGGTTTGGCCTGGTCGATATGGTACATGTATGCGCTTCGGGATACTCTGCTTCGTTGGATATCGACGGTAGCTGGCGATGCATAGGGGCGAAGGTCGCTAACGTCGAAGCCAAGAAACCTAGAGGGCTCCCGGGTGCCAGGTGAGCCGATGGACAAGTGAGTTGTGATGAGGATCTTGTCCTTGTTCTCCTTTCGGATCCCTTTCATGTCTACATTGTCGGGCGGCATGTACATGAAGCACCGGATATCAGTGACGCCGTTGATGGCGCTCATTGACGAGCATAGCGTCATCAACGCCATGGCGTTCTCATTGTCCTCGTCCAAGATGGTGGGATCGAGCACGTCCAGGGGCTTGCTCCACCAAAGCAGATACAGCAGAGCAGCGCAAGCAACGTGTCCGCAGGTGTTGATCCCGAGGAGCGAAACAGGCAGGCGCTTTATGAGTCGACCGATGACTTGTGCGACCATCCACCCAGCCTGTATGCAGACGAGCGACTTGGCCATCCAATCCGCCTTGCTCTTGTCCTGGATCTGCGACTCGTGGATCTGCGGCAGCTTACCGATGAAAGATAGGAGTCGGATACCCTCAGGTGTGACCGTCACTCTTCTGACCGCCGTCTCGTTCTCGGCAGACGGCACCTCAACGACAAACCCTCCCATAACAGCGTAGAAACACTGCGTCATATCCCACGTGTGGCTCGAAAGCACCTCAGTCCCATCTGCGCCACCTCTCCGACTCACGGCATCCTTCTCAATCTCCCGCTTGAGCCACCTCGCGACGATGTACTGCGCTGCCGCGGTCGCGACCACGAGCTCCGGCGCGAAGATGCCGTAGAGGACCCATTTTGTCCGCTCCAGCATTCGGCTCCGGAAGGTGGAGTGCGCTGCGGGGACGTTGAGGTGGAGGGCCGTCCAGACGCATATCGTTAGTGTGACGACGCAGGAGCAGATGAGGCCAAAAGTACCACGACCATTTGGTTCGGGACCCAGCTGGTGGTGGCTGGGGGAGAGGCCTCTGCGATGGGAGGTGAGAGGAGAAGGTAGATTGCGACGAAGGAGATCATGAGGACGGCTGGATGGAATTTTGCTGCATGATTGCTGGCTTTTGCTCAGACTTGATTTGCCAAGCCTGGAATTGGTTAGCAATTCTATTCTCGAGACAACCGGAGACACACCAGTCACCTATTATAGTCGACAGGCCATCATGGGGAAACCTACGAAAGCAACTGGGGAGTGCAGGAGCTGACCCTATGGTGACCGCAATCGCCCGATACGCCTTACCGGCGGTGCATGCAGCTAGAAGCTGAAGCAGGGCATTGCCACAACCAATCGGGGTACAGAGCCAACGAGGACGGATCTCTCTGCATCGCGATAAGGCTGCGACGGTATTCATTGGACCTGGAAATGGATATTTGCAGCTGGTGGCGTTCTACCTATGCATTATTGACAGCCTTCACCAAGTGCTTCACCAGAAACTCTATTTATTCCACCGGGTGCCTCTTTGATTGGGACTCGGAGACAGGACACATCAAGAGTGATGTTGCAGTGTCCGAAGAAGCTTATGGCATAGCGGCCCTTAGCTTGAAGCATGCCTTCGGTGGCCGTGTCTGCCTGATATAGGCACTAGGTATGTTGAGGTAGCGTAACTGTATCGAATAATATTGGACAGAAACAAAAAGATATCGAAGTAGAAGAATGAAATGTAATAGAAAATAATTGCCTTGTAGAAAACCCCCGAGGAAATGTGTCTATATAATATCGGGGTTCATAGAAATCTGCTCTTGCGCCATTGAATAAGTTCCTGTGAGAGAGTGTGCTCGCACCTAGCGAAGCTTTAGTCCTCCCACAGAAGACTGATACTCTCCATACAATCTAGTGCAACATGTAAACTATACCGGCAATTAGCAGATTATCCAAGCGAAACCTAAAGGGCCACTCGCCTCGAGTGTTGTTGTGCAGATGCCTTTCTCGTGCCGAACATTCCTAGCAATGTATTCTCCAAACTGCTAGCCTAGGTCACACCCCGCAGAGGGCTCAAAGAAAATGGTAGGCCTGTCACGGTGCTGGAAGTCGGGCGTCATGACGCGGGCGTCGGAGCGGCATCGACGGTCAAAATTATGGTGGTAAGGACGGCCAAAGAAGAATGCAAGGATGGAAACGTGGTAGCGAAGTGACGAACATAAGTGTGCTAGGTATTCTGGATTTCGTTGAAGGATGCAAGAAACTTGACCAGCTGAGTGAGAAAGTTTGCTGCTTTCTGAACATACGTCAGGTACACATTTGAAGTAGCATCTTAGTCCAAAGCACCAGGAATAGAGGCCTGCAGAAGAACCCAGTCTTGGTTCTAATGAAACGCCCTTACCAAACCAAGCTCGCAAATGAGAACGTGCCGGGAATATGAAGGATCGTATGTGTTCTCGTGCATTCAAATGGAAGCCGAACTCCGGATGAGCTTGATTCATGACGATCAACGATTGCAAGGCTCAAGAATTTTTTTGGGAATCTCTGATCTATGCACCAGATCCGTCTGCCTCTCGGTCATCAAAGGCTGTAGACTCCTTTGATGAAATATGGGACTGATGTGCCTAAACGGGCCTTATCTGGCGTCGTGTGCATTGGCATTCGACAGGGCTTAAAGTAAAATTGAGAGAAGAGGCTACCAGTAATTATGAATTGGAGATTGAATCGTATATCAATGATGGGATTTGACAGTTTTCCGGAAGTTGTCTGTTTAGTAATCTGAAATATAGTGTTCTTTCCAAGGACTCGGACACAAGGCAGGATATGAGCGCTTATACATATGTCTCTTGTCATTTGCAAGATGACAACATCTAGTGCTCAATTTGATTAGTACACGAGCTAAGCCCTTGGTGAAAGACTGCCACACTCTTCAAATCGCAGCTATTTGTGAATTGCTAAAAGTCGCAAGAGCGAACAATCTATAACCTACCTCAGGTGACATCACAGCTTTCCATGCTAGATACTAGATAGTGCTCAAGCTCACAAGCAAGTCCAATTCTCCACAAATAGGGTACCTAAGATAGGATCAGGCTTACAGTATAGGAATTACACAGTTTAAACTCTTCAACTGTACTGCATAAGGTATTAGACACAACAGCTACTCAAAACTGACTTGCGTAGTGAGAGTTCCAAGGTGACCGTAGTAGGATGCGCTGACGCTTGGTCACTCTGGTACTTCGCGAGAATTGGAAGTCCCGAACTGAGATAGGGGTTCCGATCTTCACATCATCTATCACTACTACGTATTGCCCATCATCTTTTAGACAGACTTGAGCCTCCCAGTAGACACTGGACTTAAGAAGCACCACAGTCAGCAATCCACTTCGGAAGCCTGCGGCACTTATGCCCAAAATGGCCGCATACCCACCATCGCCATCCGGCTGTGTGTTCTAGTGGATTATGATTTCTCGTTCACAAGTATGTGTACTTGATCCCGAGAAGGTCGCAGGTTCGAGCCCTGCCACGGTCATAGCATTGTTTTTGTAGCTGACGATGAACTCTTTTGCTCTGTTGATAGATTCCCCTTTGAACTCCGCTATTTGGTTGGCTTATAATGCATTAGTCTTGCTTGCACCTCGTCTAGGTAGGGTTATGTAGATCTAAGGTGCCCTGCTCTAAATTTTGTGTAGGTACCCGTGGCAGCTGTCAATTGTCTTTGCCTCGATCATTCTCCAGGATGCGACACTGAAGGGCGGTGTAATTAAGAACTTATATGCATGGTCTCTTTGAGCGCGATTTGATTGCCACATGTGCAGCTTCATTCTCAGACCACCAGTCAACTGTACTCGTATTTATACACGTACACAAAATACATTTACACAAAACAATTAAGTCCTGGGATGAGACGGACTCATCGATACGGCGAAACGCTCTCCGCCCACCAAAATAACCTATACAGTCCGAAGGTCGTGTGCTAAGTGGCTGCCGCGGCTGCTTCCCGAGTAGTGGTTCGTTTTGTCCTGACTTCAGGAGCTGCGCTGCGCTTCTCGCTTAACTCGATCGCAGTCTCACCACCGTATCCAGGCTCTTCGAAGATTGATCTTCTCTTCTTGCGCCCTAAGTATACTAAAGCTAGTACTAGAACAACGGCTGCAACCACTGCAACTGCAATCCCTGTTATGGCTCCAGTCGAGATGCCGCCTCTTGCTGACACTGTCTCACCAAGCTGGTCTCGTCGGCGTACAGCAGCATGCCTTGCCAAAGGAGTCTTCCCAACTACATTTTCAATAGTTCTTGGCACGCTGGAGGTGGATAGGAGTCGTGTGGTTGAAGCTCTCCCACTCCAGCTAGTACTGGCTACCTGAGCAGAGTCCGATGACACGGAATTTTGAGCTCCTATCGGAATCGGAATGTCAGAGAGTACGAAAAATGGCTGGTGTACATGCGATGAATAGATACGATGCCACGCCCAATGCCATGGCCTCCCGTCTGCCTGTGTCACAAAGACAGTGCAAGCATTCGAGTCCACACCCAATTCTCGTAATACCGTCCTTGATGCAATATAAGGTAGGGAACAACTTGGCTGGTATCCGAAGTCCCCCGAATTTGTCGCTGAGAAGAATTAGTAGACAGATTCGCGAACAGGTAGCTTCATGCTTGGATGAAAATTAATCTCGAATAAGAGAGTGGCTAGCAGAGGAGAAGATGCATCACGGGAAGAGGGTAACACTTAAAGGATAATCGGAAGCATCCAATAGTATCCTATACTGGTTGCTGTTCTACGAAGCTGAGCACCTGGGGATTGGAGCGCCACGATCATTGGAGACGATGCTACGCCGCGACGACGATCTTTGAATCTAAACAAGCCACAGGTTTCTGGTTTCCCCTCCTTTGTCCAGGCGAGGGACCAATCAATACCCTTTCACCAGCATCGAGAGAAGCAAGCGTATTCCGCAATTAGAATCGCGGGTATGCGGGTTCAACTAGGTAGTAGTATCTCTATGAAACTGTTGGTTTACGTAATCACAGGGTGATTTGTTCGATCGAACCGTGGTGACGAAGGGTCAATTACTCTTGTATTGATCTCTACGTGAAGTAGAAAAGAGAGGTTTTAACCGTAGGTTAAATCGCCGGTCAAACGCTGATATAGAGACCCTTAGATGGCCCCTGCGCTAGCGCTGACTCGAGGTCGAATTAGGCTTCTAATCCGATACTAACTATCTCTTTTTTATTATTAATCTCGTACGATTAAAAAGGTAATTTAACGATCTCGTAATAGCGTATAATATGTTAATAAAAATAGTATTTATAATTCTTTTTCCGCTTTTTTTTTAAACCTTTTTTATATAACCTATTTTTTTATATATACCGTAGTCGTTCTATTATTAATAAATTATTTTAAACTTAGGTTTAGGTTTTATTTAATAAAAGCGTTTATTAAATTATTTTTATTATTAATTTAACGGATTTTAAAAATTTTATATTATTTATATAATTACCGTAAGGTTATAATATTTATTATTAGCTTTTTTTTTTTAATAATACTTAATTTAATAAAGTATTTATATAGTAAATAAGAATTTATATAAACGATCGTTAGTATTATAAATAAAATTAATCGATCTATAATTTATTTAAACGTAGTAAAGATCGCGTAAGTAAAATCGACGCCGTTAATTATCTTATAAACTTTTAAAATTAAAACGCTTTTAGTTATTTTTTTATTTTTAACTAATAAATAATAAACGATATTACCGTAAATCGTAAATTAGTCGTTTCTTATAGCCTTATTTATTAAAATAATAATATATCTAAATTAAAAAGTTAGATTTATATTATTTATAAACGATTTATTAATAAAAACGTAGAGCTTAGTAAAAGTTAAATTTAGCAAATAATAAATTAATTTGCGATTTAGGTTTATTATTTATTAGCTTAGCCGTTTATTTAGTATAGTAACGTTTTTTTTAATTAAATTTATAACTTATACTATTTTTATAATATTAAACGTTATTTTTAATTAGTAAATATTAATAATATACGATCCTTTTGCTTATTTTATTTAATATTTTTTTTATTAGTTATATAATATAGAGTTAATAAAGGTAATTTTTTTTTTATTTTTTTTAATAAAAAACGATAATATCGCTTTTAATTATAAAAATCCCGCTATTAAATATTAATAAGTAATTAACGGTAAAGATCTCTTTTAGTTTAGTAATAAATCCGGCTTTTTTAAACTTTTTATTTTCTTTTTATATAAATTTAATATTAAATACGCTTAGTATATCGTCGGTTTATATATTAATAATTTTATAAAGTCCTTTTAAATAATTAAAAATTAATAAGTATAGATCGTAAGTTAACGTGATTATACTTAGCTATTTAATATAGAAATCGTAGTAGGTCGCTTATTAATAAGTTCTCGATTTTGTTAATTTATATAGTAGTTTAAGTATTTCGATAATCGTGCCTTTTAAATACTTATTAATTATTTTTTTTAGGAAGTAAGTAAGGATTTTTTATATTAAATTAATAGCGGATTATATATATATTTATATAATATCTTTATTTTATATATAATATTCGTTTTTAATAAAGAAAAGGATTAAAACTAATATTAACCGTTAATTATTTTTTTAAATCGTTAGCGATTACGTAAATAATTTTACTTTTTTAACGTCGTTATATCCTTAGATTATATAACGAGATTTTTTATACGGCGTGTTAGTTTTTTTACTTTTAATTTTTTAAATTATATGTAATTTAAAAATTCATAAATTAATATATTTATTTAGATCGTATAAAACGAAGCGATATACGCTTCGATTTTATAAAATTTTTATTTTAATAATATTTAAAGCCTCGTAAAGCTTACCCTCTACGGTAATAATCCCTTTCTTTTATAATTTAAAAATTAATTCGAAGTCTATTTTCTCTTTAACTAAATAAAAGATATTAATATAATTATTAATTAATCCGTTATAATTAAAAAGCTACGGAATTAGGTTTTTTTAAGGCCGACTTCGCTGCCGTCGCGGCGGATTTAGTAATTAATTATTTAATTTATTAATTACGACGATTTTATTAAGAACGATTTTTAATTAATCGATCTAGTCTTTACTTTTTTAAATAAGAGGTAATTATTCAATTTCCCTTAGCTTTTTTTTTTTTTTCTATAAATTATTTCTTTATTTATTTAGTTATATAGTTAGATTATCGTTATTATAACTTTAAATAATTAGTTTTAATCTCTTATAATTATATAAGAGCGCTCGTTAATAAAAATTAGTTTATATAGTTTAGTTTATTTATTTATAGTATTCTTTTAAACCTATATATTTAAATTTAATAAAATATTAAGATTTTATAATATATCGGGCTTATTATATATTACTAAGGCTTTATTAACTTACTTTTTTACCTTTAGGTCTTATAAAACTTATATTATTTTCTTAATTATTTATACTTTTTAAACAATATTAGGCGACGGCGGCGACGAAATAGTAATTTTAAAATACGATCTAAATATTAATAACGTTAAAATTAAACCTTATAATTTAGTAATATCGTTATAATATTTTAATATTACCTATAAATAATCGTTATTTATAAAATTAAGGTTTTTATTTTTAATAATTTTAAACGCTCTTTTTAATTATTAATAAGCTCGTTCGATCTTATCGATATTATAATAGGCTTTAATTAGTATTATTTTTAATTTAATCCTATACGATTTAGCGTTTTTTTTAAATTCAATAGATTTAAAATTAGTTTCGGTATTAGTTCGTATACCGTTAAGTAGGCTTTAATATATATCGATTTATTACGTTTTTAATATTATTTAAACCGTTTTTATTTAGAAATTAATAAAGAATTATTTTATTTAAAAAGAGGTAGTTAAATCGATTATATAAAGAATTAGCCGGCTATTTAAATAGAAAACGTTTATTATTATTTTTTAATTAAAGTTAAGCTCGTCGTAGATTTTAAATTTAAATTACCATAGGTTTTATATATTTATTTAATATTAATAATAGAACTTAGTTAAATATTTTATTACCGCGATTTTAATATCGTTATTTAACTATTTAAATAAGGTATAAAGTTTTTAAATCGATAAGTGATCGAACTTTTAATAAAAGCGTTTTAATTCGGTCTTTATAAAATAATAAATTAATAAAATACCGGTCTCGAGCTTTATAAAAGCGTGGCCTTATTATCGTTCGACGGTTTTAAACGCTTTATTATTAATAATCCTATTTATAAGGTTTTTAAATATAATATTAAAGCGATTTATATTTACTAAATATAAGAGAAAGGGCGTATTAACGGGTAATATATAAAAAGTTATAATACCGAATTAGGTTTAAATATTAACTATTTCGATTTTAATAAGCTATTTATTTAATTTAAACGTAATCTTAACAATACTAGCCTTAGTGGTATTAAGTTTAATTAAATAGATTTTTTTTAAAATTTAAAACTACCCTTTTCCCCCTATTAACTATTTTAAAACTCTCGTATTTAAAATAATATTTTAAAAAGTTTTTAATTTATATCGATTATTAATAAAATAAGTTTATATAATCCTTTCCGTTTAGTTAATTAAATTATATAAAAAAGGTCTTAGCGCTATTATTAAGCTTATTTTTTTCTTAAAATTACTTTTTTTTTTATTTATTTAAAATTAAAAATAAAAGGTTTTTACCCCGGATTAGACTAAAGATTTTTAAAATTAAATAATTTTTTTATTAATAGATCGTAACTAGCCGTAAAAAAAAGCCTATTTATTTAAAACTTTTACGGCTTATTTTTCGTTAAGCGTTAAATAGTTAATTATTGATAAAGTAAAATAAAACTATTAAGTTTTATTTAAAACGTTGAGATCCTCGTCGTTATTAATTAAATAAACGGTTAGATTTTTTATATTTTTAAACTTTATAATAAGTTTTATAATTTTAAACGATCTATTTTTATAATTAATAAAGAACTAATTATACTTAGTTAAGTTAGTTTTATTAGCGGTTCCCTTTACCTTTTTATATTATTTATATATTTCGGTTTTTTCCTTTTTTAAATAATTACTAAACTAATAACCTTTTTTTTAATATATATAATATTTTTAAAGTTTATAAAACCCTATTATAAAAGGCTTTTAAAAGCCGTTTAAAACTATTTTTCCGTTTTAATTTTACGATTAAGCGCCGTATTTAGTTTTTTTTCTTTTACCGTTATAAATACGGTTAATTTAATATTATTAATACGGTTTTTTATTAATTAAAAATTATTATTATTTAAGTATCCTAGTTTCGATATTAAACTTAGTTTAAATTAAGCGTAAAGCGTTTTATATTTATTAAGCTAGCTTTATAAAGCAAATTTTATTTTATTAATTTATTAAACTATAATTAATAAATAATCGACCTTCCGTTCGTCGGTTCTTTTTATTAATAAGGTTTTATTAATCTTATCGATCTATAAAATAAGCTTTTTAAAAATCTTTATTTTCGGTTTACTTTTTATTTTTTTTATTATCGATCCAAACAATAAAGCTTTAAATTTAATAAAAAGCCTTTTTTTTTAATCGTTAATTTTAAAGCGGTTTTAAAAAGCGTTAACGATCGTAATAAAGTTATTTTAATTAATTATTATATATACGACTTAATAATAATATTCCTTAGCTTTTTTAATAAAAACGATAATAATTGTTAAATAATATTAATAATTTTAAATCTTAGTTTTTTTATAATTAGCGTAAAATATAATTAAAGTTTTTTATAAAACCTTATACTTTCTTTTTAAATATTTCTTTTTTTTAAAAAAGATTTTATATAAATCGATTAGTTATCGTACGCTAGCCGTTTCTAAGCTTAGATTTTTATAAACTATTTAGAAAAAAGAATTAAAGCCGCGTTAATTATAATTAATTAATCGCGATTTAATATTTATATTTAATTAAATAGGGCTAAATAGCTTCGTTTTTATTAACGATTTATTAGTTATAATAAAAGTTTATAAAGGTAGTAATAACTTTATTTTTAATAATATCTTTTTAATTAGCGTAAATCTTAAAGCCGAGATAGCTCTATTTATAATTTTAAATAAGAATTCGGGCTTTTTAATTCGCTAAGTAAATTATTCAAATTAATTAACTACTTAATTAACTTACGTTTTAAACTAAATTAGGAAATTAATTACTTAAACCGTTATTATAAAGGTCTTATAAGGCTACCTTATTAACGTTTAATTTAATAAGACCTTATTATTATAAATAAATCCGCTAAATTCCTTAATAATCTATTAGTTCGTAAGTTTAAACTAATCGTTAGGCTAATAACTTAAGTTATTAATTATATAATAAAATAAGGTTCGCTTAACTAAGTTTTATTTATAATATATTTTAATTATAAATAATAGCACCGTATTAATTTAATTATTATTAAAATCGTCTATATCGTCGTATAGTTAATTTCTTTAATACGTTTAAATATTAATAGTAATTTATTAATTTAAAATAAGTATTTTTATTTATACCCGGCTTAACTTACTTAAGGTCGTATTACGGCCTATATTAAAATTTAAAACGATCGTTATATTAATTTTTAATACGTTAAGGTTTAATCGGCTTAGAAGTAGCGGCGGCAGCTTCTTATCGTCGCTCGACTGATTATTAAAAATTAAATTAATTCCTACGCTTTAGGTTTATTTTATAATATTTTTTATATTTATCTTTTACTTTATAAATAAGCTTTTAATACTATTTTTAACTATCATAAGCTCTTTTTATTTAATCTAAATAATTTTATTATATTTTATTAAAATAGATTATAATTAATTTAATAATGTTTTAAATACGTACGTTTCTCTTTAAGTAAATACCTAAAAAACGTATACGTTTATTAAATAAATTATTATTATTTAGTAATTTATTTCTTTTTAAAAAAATATAAAAAAAACTATTTTAAATCCGTTTTTAATCTTTTTTTTTTAAAATTATTTTAGCCTTAGCCTTTTTTTTTAACGCCCGTTATTAAATTATAAAGATATTTATTATTTTCGTACGGTAAATACTTATAATAAGTTAATTAAGTTTAGAAATTTTATAATAGCCTCGTTTTTATTTATAAATCGTTATTAAAATAATATTCTATTCGTTTATTTAAAAAAATAATAAAAAAATTAAAAAAAAAGTTAAATTAAATAAGATCTTATAAGGTTTATTTTATATTTTTAATTTTTTTTTAATTAAATCGTTATATAATTTAAGTTTATTAAAGCTACTTTTTTTACTTTTATTTTTATTAAAAAAACGTAAATACGATTTATTTAAAAAATCTTTTTAATTTTTAATCGCGCGGCGTTTTAATATATTCTTATTAAAAGCTCGTTTTTTATATTTATAAAATTAAATAAATTACGTAATTTATTTTTTACGTTTTTTTTTTATATTTATATTTCGTAAGTTATAAAATAAGTATAAATATTACATAATCCGGTCGCGGTTAATATAAATATAAAATAAATAGATTTATATATTTATTATGAAAAGTAAATAAAAAAAAAAGGTAAAAAAAAAGGTTTTTTAAAGTTAAAAAAAGTATAAAAAAGAAGGATTTTTTTAATAGTTAACGGTTAATTTAAATAGTTCCGTTAATAAACTATTTAAAAATATTACTAACGTAATAAACGCTTCTTTTTTAATAAAAATCTAAAAGATCGGAAATTTTTTATTCTGTATAATATTAAAAAGTCGTTTCTTTTAGTTTTTATAAAAGGTTAAGATAATACGATTCTTTTATCCCGTATAGTATTAAAAAGTCGCTTTTTTTATTTTATAATAGCCTTATTAATTTACGATAGTAGTTAAACTATTAATTAGTATTAATTTATATAATTATAGGGTAATTTATTTAATCGAACTGTAGTGACAAAGGGTTAATTACTCTTGTATTAATCTTTACGTGAAGTAGAAAAGAGAGGTTCCAACCGTAGGTTAGATCGCCGGTTAAACGCTAATATAGAGACCCTCAGATGGCCCTTGCGCTGGCGCTGACTCGAGGTCGAATTGGGCTTCCAATCCGACAGAAACCTAGCAGCTGGGATGCAACTCCCTTTTACGCAGACCGCCTTAGACCCTTGCCTTGATGCATCATCTTACATGCAAACCTAGAAGACAGTGCCATCACTCTTAATGAGGATAGGGCTCGACTTCGTACGTGGCCGGAACTTTGCTGCCGTCTCGCGCCCGGATTTCCATGTTCCCGCCTCGAGCAGTTGTGCCATGCTCAGCTGCACACCCTCTCCCATCCGAGACTGAATTTTGCCGTATAGAATATCGATCAACACCAACGTCAAGGCCCTCCACTCCACTATAACATCGTCACCGGCCTCAAACATTGGCAGCTCGCTGCCTGACGCTTTCAAGCCTCGCTCCAACGTCTCTTTCTTCAGGGACAGAACACCCATATCAACGAACAGGCCGCCATTGCGATACTCCGGCAAGGCGGTGAGAGAGTCGGCATTAACCCAGTCTATACCGAGTACCCGTTGAAATGGGACCATCAGAGAATATGTGAGCCATTGCGTCAGCTTGTGGAAGGGCTGGATGCCAGCGGCAGGGGAGTCGGAATTATCGACGCCTTTTCCCTTGCGTAGAGTGCTCAACGGCCACGCGTCACCAATGGGCGTTCCGCCAATGGTCGTCCGATCCTTGGGCCAAGCAGGAATCAAAAGGGTCTGTAGGATGTCCCAGAGATAGAGTACGTCGATTTTGGAGGATCCCTTTGCAGATTCAACCAGATAATCTACTCGTCATTAGCAAGCTGTTTAGCCTCCAGAAGCAAAAATAATAATCGTACCAACGAGGTTACCTGGGCGGCCTTCAGCTCCGAATACTTCCGGGTGAGCCAGAAGTGACTGTCCCAGGCTCCTGAGGAGACCGGCGCGAGAGTCAACTCCCAGCATGGGGTTACTGTCTGAAACTTGGAAGCCATCTGCAAGTGCACTTGTCTCCAAACGTTCCAAGCCCTTTCCTGTGAGTTAAAATATCAGTAGATGCCTTGATTCAGGAGTGGTAAATTTTACCGTCAACTATGGGGTTGGCTTTGTCAGTTGACGTCGTGAAGGCCAGGGAGTTGAACATGTGGAGACTGGCCACGGCGATACCCTCACTCCTCTCGTAAACTTGATCGGTGTTGGGCTCCTTGTATCGCCAATGATCACCTGCACCGGCGTCCAATAACACAGAGACGAAAAACAGGTCAATGAGGCGACGAGTAACCTCGGTCTCATCGCTCCCACTTGCCTGCCACTCTTCTATAACGTTGGTGATGCGCGGCACATTGCCGACTTCAAAGTGCTGCCAACGCCCATGGGGAGGAATTGTGTGAAACTTGTCTGGGCCATAGTCGCGCTGAATAGGTCATGTTAGATTTTGGGAAAGGGTATAAAATGAAAGAAGAACGAGCCCGGACCTTGATAACTGAAGCCACGAAATCAACGACCTCGTCCAGCTTGTCTTCCCGAACCTCAAAGTGGCTCAAGTCCCCGGCTTTAGCGACATCCCCAACAATCTTGGCACGCTCCCGGATGGCACGCAGGGAGAGAAGGTACTTGACTTCGGAGTCCATTTCGAATGATGTTTTTAGATAAATGTTTATGGAGAGAGGTCTGAATGGTTTGAGGAATCCTCGTGAGCGATGAATGCACGACGACAAAGGACGGGCAGGGCTACTCCGCACTTATCTAATATGAGTCGCGGGGAGCTCCGACGATGTCCTGGGGAGGCGGTGGGCGCCTGCGACGGCGCCCGGAGGCAGCGCCTTATCGGCCTGGCCAACGCTGAGACACTAACACCATATCGGGCGGTGGCGGGTGCTTACGGCCCCCGACTCGCCCTCAGCCACTGCTTGCCTGCCAACTGGTTCCTGATATTGTAAGGTAAGACATTTGGATGATCCCAGTTCCTATCTCATAGCATAGCCTCCATATTTGGCTCGGTTGTTATCTGTGAAATGTTCTATTGAGTTCCTGATGTCTTGATCATGCACTTCGAGTGGCCGAGGATAGAGTTAAGCCATCACCCAAGTGGGGCACAATGAAGTCATTCAGGGACTCTTTTGCCCAGATCAACCATCAACACAGGACATCTTGAAATATGCCAGCACAGATTTTCTGGCTTCAGTAAAGAAATTGTCTGAATTGTACGGATCTTCTTGCAGACATGGACATTGCCAGCGACAAAATTTTCAGAACAAGGATATTTCAGCTGCTTATGCCACAGAGTTATTGAACCTCCTCACGGATGTGGCAGAGTATTGACGTGATGATAAGCCGCATTCTAAGTCACTTCACAAACGGAATGATGATTGTTTATGATCAAAATGTAGTGACAGTGAGATCAAGTTGAACAGTAGCACACATGCTCTTATCTCTTGCACTACAAACGCCACTTGCCGAGCTCGTGCCCAATTCGCAAATTGCCATCCTTTTGCGCGTCTAGTTGCTACATGTAGAATTAATAACTTGGGCAACTGAAAAATTGCCTCAAAATAGCATGCCAACCCTGATTTGGGTAGCCAATAACATATTTAACTTAGTCTCAGATTAAGTTTCATGTCCCTCGGAAGTTCAAGTGTTTTGAGAAAGAGGAAGCGATTCCTTGCTTGGACCATCGTGACACAGCTTTCGAGATGCAATGAGGCGTCGCTTTTCATTTCCCAGGCCTGTTGCGGTACATGTGATTATGCTTGAGCAGACTGTAGACGTAAGGAATGGGAAAGCAGCCTACCGAGATAGAGACGGCACACCTTCATCTTAATTTCATAGTACTAAATCCATCAAAAAGAAATATTGGCTACGATGTTTTCACTCTGTGAGGTGAGAGCTTTCCTGCGCGCTGCTTTTTGCGATGTCCGTAAATCATTCACGGCCCAGTATGCAGAATCACGTGTCTGGCGGCCTCCAAATGGCCACATTCAGCCCAACTTCGATCAGGCAGCCGGGGCTGCATAATTTCTCCCGTCTTGAAAATCCAAAGAAGTCCGGCACATTCTGAGAAATTCAGGCAAAGCCCAGATTGACTGTGCAGTCAGCGGGAAGAAACCCTTGCATCTCGCAAGGTCAAGCTACCATTGGTTCTACTCACGCTACGGAATGTATAGATACTACGCCCAACGTCACTTTTCACCCCCGGGGCGTAGCGAAGCTCCACAACCCGTTGATTCGCCATCATTTTCGACCGCAAGTCACACATGCGAGCATTGTTCTACCGCTGTTATATCAACATCGAGCGTGGACCCCGAGAGAATCAGCAGATGGGTGTCGCTTCACAGCGACCCCTTGAAAACGCGTCAAAGGGGTAGCCTCAAATGGCGGAACATCTTGTCTCATTCCATGAGCCAGGTTGCCGCTGCCGATGCTGCAGGATGTCCGTTCTTTGTATGGATATGGCGTCAGGTTCAAGGGTCAGGGACGCCACTAGAACAGCTTTTGCGGACGAGAGTCTGCTTGGTTATCGAATCAGTCAATGGCTTGGTTGCTGATGCCATCAAATGCTCGATTCTCTTGTCGACGGGTGACTACTCTTGGAACCCATCGGGTGGGCTTTTCGACATTGAGTCTGACGCATGTAAGTTGAGCCTGACCTCGTGCTGGCACCACCGTCAACAAGACATCTCGCTAAGATAGTTGTAGATGACCCCAGCGCAAATGATGCCGTCGGGCGAACAATAGACGGCGGCACCTTTTCAGAAACCGGCATCTCGCAAATTCGTCGTCGGCTCCAGGTGTGCCTGGAAACACACCAGTCCTGCCGACAAGGGACGGATGTTCGGCCTCTGCGGTTCATTGTCGTGTCTCCTGAAGACAAGGAGATTGTTCGCATCACACAAATCAACCGCACAAGAACCGATCCTTACGTCGCCCTCTCCTACTGCTGGGGTCTAGATCAGACCACCAAGACCACCACATTCAACTTGTCTCGACATGAGAGAGGCATTAGAGTGAAGAACTTGCCCAAAACCATCCAGGACGCGATCCATGTCACTCGAAAACTGGGTATCAGGCTTCTCTGGGTTGACAGCCTCTGCATTGTGCAAAATGATCCCGCACTTTTAGCCAAAGAGGTCGGTGACATGGCGCATTACTACGCCAACTCTATAGTCACAATCTCCGCAGCAGTAGCAAAAAGCTGTGCTGATGGTTTCTTGAACACCTGTGACTCAGCTGGGTCGGGTGGCTATGTAGGATTCTATTTCCCTTTTGACGACACATCTGGCCTTGATAATTCGTCGAAAGGCCGCCGCTTGAAGCTCTTCCGTGACGATTCTCAAGACCAAGTTGACCATATAGACACCCGGGCATGGACATTGCAAGAGTCTTTGCTGGCCACTCGGTTGGTTTCGTTTGGTACTCGCCGAATCTCCTGGGCTTGCATGACCACCAGGTTCGGTCCCAGCTCAGGTGCTGCATCACTTCGAGACAACATGTTCAAGACTCGACACTGGGTGGGATACGGAGAAAGGATCACTCGCAAAACTAGCTATGGCTACTCAAGCGAATCCCAAGATCCCATCTCAGATCTTCATGATGTTCTGTATCCTCCTCCCGAAGCAATCTTCCAGCTGTGGTCAAAGATTGTGGAGGACTATACGCAGCGGAGTCTCTCGATTCCTGGAGATCGGCTGTTGGCTATCTCAGGAGTCGCTCAAACACTCGGAACCCTGGTTAATCCATCAGACGATATCGACGCATCGCCATACGCCGCAGGCCTCTGGAGGACGCCTCTACTTCCACTGCAGCTCTTATGGAAGCCAAAAAATCCCATCGCGCCGCAGCTTTCTTCCTCTTACATAGCGCCCTCTTGGTCCTGGGCATGCTTCCCGGGAGCCGTCGTCTGGCACCTGCCTGACTTGACCCATCTGGAATCTTATGCACATCCATATTCTTTCCAGGAAAGGGAAGTGCTCTCACTTATTGATAGCGGCGACTATATTGACTACGAAAAGCTGACAATAAGGTCTTGGGCCAAGGGCGTGGGCCTCGCGCCATTGCCGCAGGTGGTCGCCGTCTCAGCCGAGCCTCTCAATGACATTGCACCATACGGGGCCGTCACGGCAGGGCACATAACCTTACGAGGTAAAGCTTTTGACCAGAGAGACCAGGTCATTACGCCCTGGGATGTACAAATAAGGTTTGACTCTGGGGCAGAACTGATTTCTTTAAGAGACTTGGATCTGGACTTCATTTGTTTTCATATACTGGGCTACGTAGTGGAAGACGACACTTCGCCAGCGTATCTCGGGACGCTTTCAGGAACAAATTCACTAGGTCTTACTCTTGGAAGGGCGCAAGACGGAACGTACCGCCGTGTTGGAGTCTACGCAGGCCGGGATATAGGTGATCGCCTGCGCATGATATCAACTCTAACAGAGGTGACAATTTTCTAGGTCATTGTCGATGACTCAAGCTTTTTATTGGCAGTCAAAGTATTTTATGGAGCTCGTAACTGCTTTTGAAGAGCATTCCAAGGAATTATCACTCGAAACTGCGCCGCGTAAAAGACAAGCATAGTAGCCAATGCACTTACGTATAAAACACTGGACATCATCCTTACAGGTCTGACCGTAGCCTCTAATCATCGAAGTAATTTTTACAGTCATGATTATCATTTGCACGAGAGCTAGTCTGTTTTTCATCTGGATCCATGACTGCTCTAGATCATATCCTCCAAACGATACTATCCAGTGGAAAACTGGACAATGCAGGGGCTCAAGACTAGGATGAATGGCCCGCGTGGCATTGGTCTTTCGAACAGTAATATACCTCTAATCGAACGGAACCTAGCCATCGTTGACCAACCGGGCATGTAAAACGACAAGGCTTGGCTGGCGAACACCCCGAGAGGAAAAGCTGTGCCAAGGACGTTGAGATGGAGAGCAGAACGGTGTAACACATTTCCGCCTATCAGTTGAATGCCTATGACGTGGTTTGCAGGGCATCTGCAGCTTCATTCAAGGTGGGATCTGGCCCCCGATCAGACAGCATCTACAAATGTGCTTTTACCCGGCCAGTCTCCCATGCTGTGTTGTACCCCGCGTTGCGCATACCACCACCGCGCGCGCATTGGGGGTTCGTCCGGACAGGCCCGAAGGCCGGGTGTGAGCTTGGCAGACAGGGGTACTTTGGCTAGGTAAAGTGTGGAGAGATGAAAGACCCCGTCGGTGGCTTGTATAAGTGAGATCGATCTCCATGAACGAACGTGGTAAGTCTTCGGGATGTCGGCTGCGAATCGGAAGCATGCGAACTTCGTTTCTAAGTTGACACGATGAAGCTCCTTGCAAGTGCGGCGCTGCTTCTAGCAGCTGGCATCTCAGCCATCAAGAACCCAGTTCTTCCAGGGTCGAGCCTGCCATTATCTCCCCCCCCAGCTTGGACGAACTTACTGACACTTCAATAGATGGAACCCCGACCCAGCCATCCTCCGCGTGGAAGATACCTACTACATGGCCGTTTCCTCTTTCACCTACTACCCGGGCATCCCAATCTACAAATCCAAAGACCTCGCAAACTGGGACCTCATCTCCCACGCCCTCAAAGACCCCTCCGTCCTCGCTCTATACGGCGTCTCCGCTGGTGAAGGGGTCTGGGCACCCTCCTTCTCCCACCACAACGGCCTCTTCTACATAACCTCAATGACAAGATGGGGCTCCGACCCCGACTCCCGCTCCTGGCCGCGGATATGGTACATCTCCTCCCCGGACCTCGTCACCTGGTCCGGCCTAACCTGGGCGGAGCCCTACGGCATCGACCCGGACCTCTTCCATGACGCCGCCACAGAAAAGTCCTACCTGAACCTCATGGGGCCCAACAACAACTACGACCGCCTCTGGGGCATAACACAGTGCGAAATCGACCTCGCGACGGGGAAGTGCGTCGGCCCGTATCGCAACATCTGGAACGGCACCCTCCCGCAACTCTCCAGCGCCAGACCAGAGGGTCCCAAGATGTTTAGGCGCGGCGAGTGGTACTACCTCCTCCTGGCGGAAGGCGGCACGAGCACCGGTCACCGCGCGACGATAGGTCGATCAAAGTCCCCCCAGGGGCCGTGGGAATCCTCGCCGACGAACCCGCTCATCTACAACGGCGCCGATCCGAAGCTTACAGTCCAGTCGACCGGCCACGCGACGTTTACTGACACGCCCGGGGGAGAGTGGTACGCCTCCCTCCTTGCGCGGCGAAATGTAAAGGGTGCGTCGCCGCTCGGTCGCGAGGCGTTTCTGGTAAAGGTTGACTGGGAGGACGGGTGGCCGACGATGAACGGCAGCGGGCCTCTGCTATTGAGCCAGAGCGTCGAGGGGCCCGATCAGGAATATCCCAAGGCCAAATGGATTGACGAATTTGTGGGCTCAGAATTGGGGATTGGTTGGTACCAGCAGCGGACGCCTTACACGGAGAACTTTCGGCTCAGAGGTGTGGTGGCGGTCGGGGAGGCGACGGCGGGTGGGCTCGAGAAGAGAATTTTTGCCAACGACTCGGGAATTGAGTTTAATCCCAACGTCTTTACGCTGGGGGACCGAGATACAGCGGCTGCTGTGCTTCGGAAACAGACATCGTTGAACATGACTTTCTCAGCCAGACTGTTGTCGACATCTGCCGGGTTGGGACCTAGGCAGTCGATCGGAATATCGGCGTATCTCAGTGAGGTCAACCACCAAGATATCGGCGTCAGAGGATGCTGGGACACGACCGGGTTGTGTTTGTACGTCGACCTCTTACCAACTTCCACCGGGCCAACAACGCGACCCAACGTAGGCTTTTCCACATTTTCAAGAGATCAATGGTATGCTGATTCTCCTATCCTGTCCATAGTCAACCGAATACCCTCTGCAAGAGTCAACGATTCCCGGAGACCTAACACTTCTCATCCGCGCCTCGCCACTAGAGTATTCTCTCGGATACTCCCGTAACAACGCGACTTCACTCACATGGTTGAAGAGATTTAGCTCCAAACAGATGGGCTCGAACCCCGGATACCCCAACTTTGAAGGCTCCATGTTCGCTCTCTTCGCCAGCGGGAACGGAGAACCGTGGCCGAACGATGCCCCCAAGCTGGGCTTCCATCGTGTCGAGGAGGTATACTACGACGAGTACCTCCCGGATCATGACAACTAGAGCTGGGAAGAACGATAAAGGTAATTATTATGATATGTCCTTAGAAATATTACTGACGGTATACTCGAGACCGTTATGAAAGAGGACTGGGTGTTTTATTGACGCCATCATTTCCCGAATTCAGATCCATTTAGCGCGAAGGTCACATTAAATAATACAATCGTGCGGTAAATAAGGGCATGGAACGGGGGGGAGGTAAGCAATTAGGGGCCCGATCGTCGCGCTGTGGTTCTTACCCTACGGACCGCTATCGAATTCTTGTTGTTCGTCAGTAACTAGGTGGCACTAATTCGAACCTGGCGACATCCAGGCTTCTTCTCATAGGCCAAATAGCATGAGCCCATTCTCAGGGCTTTGCAAGTGGTCGAGGGCAGAATTGGCGGGCCCGAAGAAGGTGGTGGCGATCAACTCCCCTACGTTGTGCTTAACTACGTAGGTAGCCAAGGCATCATCTTAGAAGCCATGCGTAAAAGCACAGTAAAGAGTTTTAAAACGCACTTCAATAGTGAGCAGAGTCCATCTACAAAGGAGTATACGATGAGGAATACCTCCCGGATAATGATAATGGCCACTAGATCTGGCTACTATCCTATCTTGAGACGCCGTGTTTATAAGATGGAAGATAATAAGCATGACCGCGCTTGGCTTGGCGAGGCGAAATGACCCAAACTCTTTGGGCTAGCCCAGGCAACTATCTGTCAAAGTCGATTATTGTGTGGGCAAACAAGCGGGCTATTTGAGGAGGAGGAGGAGAAGGACGATATTTAAAGCCTAAATGTATCTTTCCCAATCAACGGAATCTCCTTCAAACAGGATGGTGAAGGTGGCGTCACCACTTGATCCGGAAGGCAGACGGAAAGTCAATAACGCGCTTCTAGCCTTTGGACTGATGGATTTGCCGGTTGACGGATGTAAACGCTCGGAATTGCCGGGAGTAGACAAGAAGCTCCCGCCGGTCCCGCGCTGCGCAACAACATACCGCCTTTGGCTTGATATCGCGCTTGGCTGACTTGGGCAAAGGTTGAACCCCGAAGTATACATCCTACAAAACAGCTAGGAGATAAGGGTATCCGTACAACTCATGGCCAGGCGAACACGGAAAGGATCTTCAGGTACGAACACTGGGACCATGGTACAACAGTAACGTGGTAGCCCCTCGCAAGGTCCACCCGCGTTGAGGTTATCTGTGTATCAGTGATGGTTCTTCATCTGAAGTAGGATGGGTAGAAAGGGGGACGAGTGGTGTGTAGCTTGTGTCTGGCGATCGGGCCTTTTGCGTAAACGGAAGTCAGGCCGAATACAATACATAGTAATGCCGATTACAAGACCCAGGAACTCCTCGAGATACAACCTGGATGTGTTGGATGTGATGATGGTGTTGCCAGGCCGATACGGCGAGTGGAACACCCGGTTCGGCTGGTAATAATTGCCTTCGAAGTCTGCACTAACCTCGTGAGGAAAACCTGTAGAAGCTCCAGACATGCGGGGAAATCAAAAGGTAAAAAGGACGGTTGCAACGGTGGGCGATTAACGAAGCGAGGCGAAATGACATGGTGCAGGCATCGATACCGGGCTGTGCCATACCAATACCAATGTGGGGACTATACGCCATGGATATTTTGATGATATTTGGGTAACAGACGTAGCAAGGTGTGTGGCCAGAGATTGCGAAATGAGATTGACGAAGCATTGCGTGCATTGGCTCGATTCCCCAAAGAAGAAGAAGAAGAAGCTTGTGAATTCAATAGTTCTCGAAGCCCTGGGGTCTACGCATGAAGAAGCACGGACGATTGGAGATGAGTGTTGGAAACCCCCATTATTGGGTACGAGATGGAGGCTGCAAAGGAGATGCCGGTCATTGTGTGGATGCGAGCATGGATGATGCTGGGCAGGCAGGACAGAAGTCGGGATGAAAAAGAGGTGTTCGTTTACAGTGATGAGATGGCGGAACAAGCTAGCCGTAGCCATCGTCGTTGGTGGTGGTCTTATTACTACAGGCGAAGTACGATGGCTGAGAAGATAGATGCTCAAGGAGATCCCATGGGGATTGGCGGGAATCCATTGACAGATAATCTCCTCGGGCGTTCTTCTTACCGGGACTTGTTGTGCTCGCAGCGCAACAGCTCGGAGTGCTGTCAAATGTGCTCCTCGGGTGTGGGGGAGCGGTATGCCTCGACTAGAGATCTCCGAGTCCCATCTTGACAGGTGCCCAGATCCTTGCATATGCTGTGCAGACTTGGACCTGTGATGAAAGTAATGTTAGCCGGTGACACCGAGCAGAGACTCAAAGAGCAACCCTATGGTTTGGCCGAGGTAACTGGATATATTGGCAATTTGTTTCCGTAGCTCTCACTCGAACAGGACACCGGCGTGGTTCACCGCACCTCGAGAACTCTACTTGGAGCATGGGCGCGTGAGGGTGGCAAGGGGCCAACGGGGAGCTGCAAAGTCAACGAACACAAAGGGGGGAGAAGAGGGGATATGATAGGAGGGGGCTCGCCGGGAGCAGAGCAAACAGGACAAGGTAGCACACGAGAGACCGGGGTAGGGGAGAGCTGAGAGTAGGATAGATTGAGGAGGTTGGGCCGAGAGGATGACGATGCAGAGCAGCAGAGGCCAGAGGGTATCCGTAGCATGGACGGGACCTGAGAAGGAAACGTGGAGGTTATTTCGATGTCGACGACGATGATGATGATGATGATGATGATGTCGTCGGTCAATGTTCTGCAGGTCAAGAGAGCAGGAGAGCCCAGGAAAGTGCAGGGCTGAAATTGAAGATGAGGTCAGTTCAAGGTAGCGCCTCAATGATCTGCTGCGAGTGTGGCTTCGGTGGAATTGCAACTTCATGCGATGAGGTGCGGTACGAGGCGTCGCTGCATGGGGGGTGGGCTTGGCTGGGAGGAGGTGAAATTGCATCGAGTTTGCGAGAGTACGGGGAGGGGACGCAGGCAGACCAACCGGCGGGACATGCGGCTTCAGTATCCTGTTACGTAATTCAATTGTGAGACGAAGCTACTGCACGCACATTAATGGCTGGAGCAGGAGATGGCGGGACTCGGAACAGAAGTACCTCGGAGCCTCGAGGAGCTGGCAAGACAAGTCTCCTTTCGGTACCCAATAGACCTCATCGTGTGCGCAGGGAATTGCAACGATAACGTTGGAGTCTTTTCTTCTCTCTTGGGACGAAAATTATGAATGACCATGGAAGGCAATTATATAGTCGTATTTCGATGAGATTCCTAAAGACGTCGCCTTTCTGAAGTTGATCCGGCGCGACTGTATGAACGAGGGTTGCACAAGTGGTTGAGTGGGTTGTGCAACCTCATGGATGCGGCGTGCAATGCATCTGTACCTACCTTACGTAGTAGGAACTCTGTGCTCTGAACTTCGTACTCTGCATAAGATAGGGTAGGTACATAGTAGAGTAAGGTAGTCAGTCGTACCTGCCTTGTGGGTGCCACTGGATGGAAGCAGATGGTGGAAAAGGCCTTTGACTAAGACTGTCCCGTCGGCTGGGGATTGGACGGGCCGGGATGTTTGAAGGAGGGGAGGGGGAGGGGGCGGTACTGGGCGAATCGTTCGATATTCACTTCGCAGCGAGCTTCCAGCCACAGAAACGGGTCTGCCGTTTGCCTGGTCAAGGCTCGGGAGGGGGGGGCAACACGGGGAACGGGGCCGGCAGGAGTTGGTGAGACCCTCTTCCGAGTCACAGAATGAGTGGTTTTCGTCTTGATCGCGTCTAGGCAGGTAAGAGGATATGAAGAGTCGACCGGTGACTCGTGAGTCCTACTGCTGCGTAACCCGTGTCAATTTGGAGGTATGAAGCTTTGAAAGGGACTTGACCTGTACCCCCCTCTCGTAGGGCGAAGAGAAAGAGAGAGAGAAACAAAGGGATGCCTCCGTGCCTCCGTATGCATGACATGTCCCGGGCATCGGTCCAAACAAGGCTTGAAGTGGCCCGGTTGAATCTACGGTCGAAGCAAGCTAGAGGCGTGTTCCGGGTAGAGGGACGATTCGGGAAGTTATCCACGGTTCAGTGGTCACTGGTCACTGGTCCACGACTACCAAGGTGCCAGGTGAGGTGAGGTGGCTTTTGCGGCTTGCCTGACATAAGGTAAGGGAAGGTAGGTAAGAGTGGTAAGGTATTCGGACCTACCCAAGGTCATGTACATAAAGAGGCACATGGGGTACATTAGACACAACCTGGGAATATCGAAGGTGGCTTGCCTCAGTGGAAATGTCGGGACGAAGGGACGAATTCCACAGAGCTAAAATCCGCTAGTGGTGTAGCAGACTGTACAGAGCCCAAACCAGATGCTGTCAAAATCCACCCTTTGGCAGGCACTAAGGTAATTAAGGTAGGTAGCAGGTAGTGTGTAGTATGTAGCAGGTAGCAGGCAGGTCGACTTGTCGGTGGGGTGCCATTGTCAACGAAGGGATACGTACCCTTTCTCGTGATTTTTGGCCAATCACGTCGATGGAAAGGTGGAAGGAGCAACCTGAGATGGGAGTTATACTACTACGTAAGGTAAGGTAGGGGTTTGTCCTGTTCGTCGCCTGTGCCTTTCCCCAATAGAGACCAAGGTTACAAGGCGCCATGGACGAGGACATGCCTCTTCAAATCGATTCGGTGCGAATTTCGCGGGTATTGGCGCCGTCTTGTCTTTAGACTTTGCTTTCCACGCGGCTGCCCTGGTCCTTTCCTCTTTCTGCAAGTTCACTTACCACCGTCCTCTACGTACCTGGACATGCCTACATTACCTAAGGCGAGGTAACTTTCCTGCCTACCTACGCAAGACAGGTAGCGTGTGCAGGGACAAGAGAAGAATCTGAAAAAGTCAATTCATCCTATTGGCCACCACATCTCGACATTACTGAGGAAGGTAGCAAAGGTTCCTTAGCATTAGCTTCCTTCCCGCTAACCTTTCCTCACCTTGAGCTTGGCCTATTTCACCGAAGTCTTTTTTTTCCCTCCTTCCTTCCTCCCCTTGGGCCTTCCCGCTCTTTTCCCGCCCACTTGCTCCGTGACCGTCCGCCTCTTTTTGCGACGTGCGGCGACCACAATTGATTCTCGAACGGTCCTCTGCAAACTCCGACACAATCCGTCAACCCTGACCCGCGTCTCTCCCCAAACACGCTCCACCGTCCTGGATACCGGGCAGCAAACACTGAAAGATCAGCAAACTGGGCGTCCCAACCGCCAGGCCAAGACTTCTTGCCGGCCCGCCAATCTGCGCCCTCGCCTTCACTTTCGAAATATCTGACCCACCCTCGAGAAGAAAAAAAAAAAACCACTACAACCACCACCACCAAACTGCAGTCCACCACCCCCAGTCAAACTCACCCACGGGCATCCAATGCCTGTGCCTGTGCCTGTGCCTGTTGCCCGTTGTCTCCTCGTTTCGTCCCTTAACATTATCCGCCTCTTCTGCCGCCTCGTTCTGATAGATCCACCCGCACCGATACGCCGTCTTCCCTGGCCAATACTAGACGACATCTTCTTCTTGACTGGCCTCGTCCTCCCCGCCAAAGCGCAGAGACAACGGATATACTCCGTACCCCGACCACCCCCTGGCCCCTCCGTCCTGCAAGCACGCGTGGAAACAGCCTGCTAGTGTTGGGGCCGAGAAACGGGAAGACGAGTCCCTTCATCCAAGCAAGCATCCAGCATCAAGCATTCGACACCCAGCAGGGCCAGTACCAAGCACCCAGCACCCGTCGCGAAAAATTGTGCACGTCTGGGCGTCTGCCTGTCTGCTCGACTCTCCCTCCTCCTTGCGCCGCTCCCTAGCGCAGGCCTTCCTTCTCGGCCGACACCACACCACCCACCCGAACGACGACCACGGTATTCGTACGTCTGCCACTTCGCGTGCGAGACAACTGGTGCCTTGCACATTTGGATTTGCACACTGCACTGCACAGTGGACACACCACAGGGGTCCAGAACCGCACGAGACTCCTGGCCACACACAGTCGCCTTCTCCTCTCTTTTTCTCTCGTCCCGGTCCCGAAAAGACCTCCTTCCGCGCTGCTGCTTGACGACACTGGTCCGAAAAGGCGCCCCCCCCCCCCCAAGTCGAATCCCTCCTTCGCCCACACCCACAGGCACCCCTACACGTACCCTTCCTCTCCTCTTCCTGCTGCCGCGCCGCCGCACCCCTCCCGCCTCCTCCCAAGGACCAGCAGCAAGTGGCAGCAGCAGTTGAACCAAAGCAGACACGAAAAAAATCTCGTCTCGAGTCGCGACGCTGAGAACAGGGACCACGCACCAGGCACAGCTCCTGATCAACCTGCACCCAGGGTGTCGCGCATCCACGCTTCCTACCATCCACGCCTCTTCCCCTGGTCGACCTCACAAGTCCAATCGTTGGCTCCATAAAAATTTCTAATTAAAATCGAAATGGCTCAAGAAGACACCACAAGCATCAGCACAAGCAGCACCAGTGCCAGCTCCAGCGTGCCTGTACCTGCGTCTGCGCCTGTGCCTGTGTCGGTTGTGCCTGATGTCAACGACATTACCGCTCCCAGTACAGATCCCTCGACAACCTCTACTAATTCCATCCTTCCCCCGACCACTTCGACCTCTCCTCCTCTTCCTGTCGCTGCTGCTCCCGCTCCCCTCTCTGCGACGCCGACCTTGACCTCCATCGAGACACCGACTCTTTCCGCCGAAACACCGTCCGTCGCGACTGCGAACGCGTCCGCACCTGCCACCGCTGCGGCGCCTGCGACTGGTCCCTCGAACACGAACGCGACTGCGACTGCGATTGCGCCTGCTGTGGCAGCTCCCGTGGCCGCCCCTGCGCCTCTCCCTCAGCAGAACGGCCAGCAGAACGGCGACGCGAGGGCGTCACACTCGCCTGCCATGTCGCATCACCAACACCCTCATGGCTCCCAAAGGGGATACCAGAGCCCAAATAACTTTCCCTCACCCGGTCCTATGCCGCCGAACCAATACGCCTACCCACCCCAGCAGAACCAAGCTCCCGCCGACCCATATCGAGCTAGTCCTGGCGCGCCGATCCCCTCTCTGCCGAGCATGAAGAGCCTCGAACACCACTACCAACAAAGTGCGCCGCCTCCTCAGACGATGCCAATGCAGATGCAGATGGCCCCCAACCAGGGCATGCAATACTACCTACCGCCGGGAGTACAGGGCAACCCATATATGACGCAGGACCTGAATCATTTGAGATATCAAATCCCCCACGGACACGATCCGAGACTGATGCGCGGTCCTGGTGGTCCGAAGAAGGTATGTTGAAGGATACGCAAGGAGACGGAAGAATGCTGCTCCGGCGGCGGCAGTGACTCGTTTGGATGGAAGCTGACGGTTGGGTTTACCTTTTTTCTTACTAGGAAATCAAGCGCCGGACAAAGACAGGTTGCCTGACGTGTCGTAAACGCCGAATCAAGGTTAGTGAAATTTCTCGCAATGTTCTGCTCTTGTCCTTTCCTTTTTCCTTTCTTTTCCCCTTTACCTCCCATAATTGCCAATGGATTGAGTGTTGTCGAGGCAATTGGGTAAATTTTCTTGAGACTTCCCATCCAAGAAAGCGCAAGGAAGGCAACATTGGAGAAGCTCGGGAATGCGATGGCAGAGAAACAAACTTTACGATAAGCGAACCGAGTCGTGGTTTCGCCAAAAAAAAAAAAAAAAAACGGTCGCTTGATGTCGCTTGGTCTGGAGCTACTGCGAAGCGAGCACGGGAGCCATGCCTTGAACCACGTTCCGGGATCGCGCCCGCACCCACGCCCGCAGGGAGGAGCAATCTTCCGTTCCTGCAGAACCGACCGCCAGCCGACCGCCGCGCCCGCGTGTGCCCGCACATCCGTTCCCTTCCTGCCCAGCCCAAGGCCCCAAGGTCACTCTCAAGCCGCAAGCCTCAAGCCACGCTCGAGAACCTGGACGGGCACGTCAAAAACTCCAACACCAGCCACACCGTCGCAACTCCCGCTAGCTCATATTAGCCTCGTCCCATCTGCGACATCCATCGACTGCAACTCCAATTCACCTTACCTCATTATTCCCAAAACAAAACATATACAGCCATACCATCCTCGCCCGCAAATGGCAACGACATCCGCGTTTTCACCCATCGCATCTCCTAATTGCCAAACCCCAATTGCCTCACATTTTTATTCTCATTTTACACTCACGAGCCCATTCCTCGATTGAGCCCTTTTCTCCCAGCACTCACTCACCCAAAGCTGCTGTTCCTAACCACCTCTTCTTAGTGCGACGAGGCTCATCCTTCCTGCAACAACTGTAAAAAGTCGAAGCGAGAGTGTCTGGGGTACGATCCCATCTTCAAGCAACAGCCAGGACCTTCCGTCATCCAGCCTGCTCCGAACGCTCAACGCGTGCCGACGCCGACCATCCCGTCGGTACCATCATCGGTCCCACCTCCGGTTCCAACTGTGCCTTCAACTCCTGCCGCGCCTCCGGTGCCCGTGCCAGTAGCTCCATCCAACCCGTACGGAAACCAGCCCGCGGTTCTACCCAGCTCGTACAACCCTCCCATCGCATCCTCGCACGCCCCCCTCGATCCAGCCCTGAGTTCTGCCGCACCCGGCATCAAACCCGAGCCGACGTACGACTTTGCAGCACCGATAGATCCAGCTCTGCAGAACCTACCCGCCCCGGCTACCGTACCCTCTACGCAGGCTCAGTCGTTCTCGGGCGAGCAAAGGGCAGGCTTCGATAACCATCTCAGAGGTGCGACGCTCCCGCTATCATTGTACATGCCTTGTTCTCCTTCAGCCGTTGCCTCGTCTTTAAACCCTCATACTGACTCGACCTATGCAGCCACCAGAATGAAGGTCGATGACCTTATCGGCCTCTTGGGCCCCGCCGCTCCCACCCAGGAGATTGCCCTCACCCCGGAGCTACTCACCGAGATTATCAACGTCTACCGAGAGGTTTACGCCGTTGGCCTTCAGTCCTTCTTCGAAGCCAACTATTTCCAGAAGCAGGATGCTCAGGGAAAGTTCGCATTCGAGCACAGCCAACAACTCTTGCGTCAATTCGCCTCGTTCCTCAAGATCGTTCAGTCTGTTCCCGCCAATGACCATACCCAGATGACCCATTCCGGAGTTCTCGAGACTCGGCTGATTTGGGCTCTTGCCATCTTACCATGCAACAGCGCTGCCCCTTCGTCCCATGCTGACGCCAAGGTTCTGCCATCTCCGGATGACCTGACGGAAGCAGCCAACCGAGTCAAGGTCATGGAGACTCTTCTTTGTGGCGACTTCTTGGCCTCAAATCCTCTCACGCCTCCCGTTGCTGACACGAACCCTCATCGCCAGCAGGAGTTTGAGTTCTGGCACAACCTTGCACAGTACCTGTGTTATTACGACGCAGCTAAGCGTGATGAAATTCTCAGCATACTGAGACAGCAGCTCGGCGGTAGAGAGAACCGAGATCTCATTTACTCTATTGCTGTCTCACGTGAGCTCTCTCCTCGTGTTGAGGCTGGCTTTGAGCGTAACGTGCCCGAGCATATGGATGAAATTGACCCCAAGAACCGACTCTATGTGGCAAATAAGTTCATTCAGGATGAGGCGCAAGTTACCGGCGGAACAACAAATGTTGTTCGGCGATTCGGTGAGATTGCCATCAGAGCGTACATCAGTCCCGGCGTCAACATTGCGGCACACCCCAACTAGGCTGTTCCAGCACAGTCTGGATCATTGATCTTGCCGGATTCTCTTTTTTTTCAGCATTCACACTCTGCAGCATTTTCCAGGCTCAAGGGGGCGGGGGAGAACAAAAAACCGTGTATTTCCGGAGGCGTTCACAGGGATGGAAGGGAGGCATGGCTTTCTTCCCTTTGTGATTTCATTTCCCTTGCATCCATGCATGCGAGCGGCACTGTGCTGCTCGTCCCATACCTTTTTCACGGCCGATGGCATCATCTTGTACAAGTAGTTCCCCCTAAAAACTAGTGATTATTCAGGCATGGCGGCGGTGTGGCGGGAAGAAAAAGAAAAAGTCGTTTTTTTATCAAGGTGGTTCGAGCAATGGGAGGATGGTCAAGGTCCCTTCCTTCAGAGGACACTACCAGTCGTTCTGAGTCTCGGCACTGCCGATACTCTGTACGATATTAGACAGGATGGTCTTGGTCCTGGATTTGGGAGACTACTTTAGTACTCCGTAGAAATCCAGGAAATTCTGAACTAGCCTGATTGGTTCCAACATTGGGCCCACGAGGCCATTTGATACCCTAATCAAGGGCCGATAGTACAACTTGAACGTTTTCAAGGCATTGAGTCGACGGCACTCGTGAGAGGCAGAGCAGACTGCCGCTGCAAGCCGGGACTCCGGCAGCTCGGCCGGATCATGGATGCAGGTAGGATAACGCATTGATATCGAGAACATCTGCAGCGGGGAAACACAGGGATCAACGCAAGTCGCCAAGATGATGAGCCTAGCTGGCAACCAGCGAGGTCGATGCTGATTCGGTCGCGCATGCTACTCCTTCGCCAAGATATCTTCCGTTCGGGGCGGGCCTAGCAGTGAATGTGATATCGGCGATATTGGCATAGGGTATTGGACATCAAGAAGCATTCTTACGAGGTTGTCTGGACAGACAGACCTACTTCATGTCGTGCATAGCCTCAGCTTTGAATCTCTGAAGCTGATGACGTTGCATTAAGGTTGAATAGCTCATCGTCATCAACGGTGGCATTTGTGCAACTGAACCGGCGAATGACAAGAAGGCTCATCGGCTGTGTCATTTTGGAATGTTGTGCCCGTCCGAACTATGCCGGTTGCGTCACATGGAAGCTTAGATGCTTATAGTCTATCTAGGAATGCTTCGAAAATTCTACTCGATGTTTTGAATCAAACTTTCCGGTTGCATTGCCCTCATTCGCTTCACCATTGAGCCGTGAGATTCGCATAGTTGAGCTAACCTGTCAGTGAGAACTGCTCACCTTGGATATGTTGTTGCAAAAACACGACGTCTTGCCAATATCATCGTGACTTGCGGAGTTCCACTAGGCTGCTGAAAACGGCAGGAATCCAAGTGCAGCACGAAGAGGTTGTTAGTAAGCGCCAAGTGCAGCTAGATATATACAGTTTACACTTGTCCAAGAACTCACGAGGAGCTTGCTTCTCTTCCCGCACTGAAGTCACGATACACACAGAAACTGTGCCATAATGAAGTCACCGATCCCCGATTACCTCAATCGCGTCCTCGAGAAAGCGCGCCCCAACGACACCGGGGCGCCGGCCGCTTACATTGACGTGTTAGCCAAGGCGGACACGTCAAAGATGGCCGTGGCGCTGGCCATGGTGGACGGCAACCTCTACTCGGCGGGCGACGACCGGGTCGAGTTCTCCATCCAGTCCATCTCAAAGGCCTTTGTCTACGCCCTGGCCATTGAGGACGCGGGCATGCGCCAGGTCTTGGACAAGATTGGCGTCGAGCCCTCGGGCGACGCCTTCAACCGCCTCTCCCTCGAGCGCGGCAGCAACAGGCCCATGAACCCCATGATCAACGCCGGCGCCATCACCGCGCACTCCCTCGTCGTGTCCCCCTCCGCCACCGTGGAACAGCGGACAGACCGCATCCTGACTGCCCTCTCCCGGCTCGCGGGCCGGCCGCTGCGCGTCGACGAGAAGGTCTACGAGGCGGAGCTCAAGGACGCAGACCGCAACATGGGCATCGGGTACATGCTCAAGGCCGCCGGCATCATCACGTGCGACCCGCGCGAGGCGGTTCGGGGCTACATCCGCCAGTGCGCCATCAACGTAAACGTCCGCGACCTCGCCATGATGGCGGCCACGCTCTCCAACGGCGGCGTCCACCCCGTCACGGGCGAGACCATCATCCCGCAGAACAGCGTCCGCCAGGTCCTCTCCGTCATGACCACGTGCGGCATGTACGACGCCGCCGGCGACTGGGTATCCAACGTCGGTATCCCTGCCAAGAGCGGCGTTGCAGGCGGCATCATCGGCGCCTTACCGGGCCAGGTCGGCCTCGCGTCCTTCTCCCCGAAACTCGACGAGCGCGGCAATAGCGTCCGCGGGGTGGCGATATGCGAGCAGCTCTCGCGCGACATGGGCCTGCACATGATGGACGTGAGCCAGATTGCGAGCGCTACGGTGCGTACCTCGGTAGCGACTATTGTGGCCGGCGAGCGGGAACCGCATAACCCAAACTGCCAGCGCGAGGTCGTCATCTTTAGCCTCCGCGGCGCCGTGCGATTCGCAGGCTCGGAGAGGCTGACGAGGGCCCTCGCGCGCGAGCTAGGGTCGCCGGATCCGGAGGACCCCGGTTCGGGGACGCATGCGAATGCCTGTGCCGTGGTGTTTTCGTTCCGGGATGCGTATTCGTTGAATGCTATTGCGAGGCGGATTATCCACGAGAATATTCGGCGGCTGTTGTTGGACGAGAGGAGTGTTGTTGTCGTTGATCCGTCGGGCGTGTTGAAGATGGAGGCGGACCTCGAGGGCAAGGCGCCGCATCCGCATGTCTTCACGTCCGAGACGGACGCGCGGGACTTTATCGGAGGCTTGGGCTGCCAGGCGGTGTTTAAGGAAGACAGCTGGTGATTTTGCTGCGGTGCTTTCTTGATGGGATGTCCCTACCTTATCCGTGCCATGGGTAGAGTAGTAGTCCATTGCCGACTTTGAGTCCTTTGACGGGGCTTGAGGCTTGGTTGCGGTGCTTCCAAGGGCCCTCAACAATGGAACAAAGGGTGTCATTGATGAGGAGCTTCAAGACGCGCCCAGCCTCAACCAAGACCAAAGCACGCCTGGACTAGCTTGTCATTCTTGGTCTGTGTGTTTGTGTGTGTGTGCTTCGGATGGAGTTCAACGTAGCCAAGAAGCTCAAAAGTGATGGACTCGCATATCTGCAAGACCTGCCAGCCATATTTCCTTCTGTTGCTGGATACCTTGCATCGATTCTACAGCAAAAAACCTGATAGGCGCCTCGGGACCTCTGTGGACTTTAATGGCATCGGTTGTCCGACTGGTCTCGATTATATTTTTCTGTAAGCCAAGGAATACGGTCTATTCCCGGTCAACTTGGATAGCCGCAGCAATCTCGAAAAGATTCGTGGCGCATTCAACTTACGTGAATTGTCCACTCGGGTTGTCAACCTATTTTTATAATTCTATTTCGGTAGCATTTTTCTAACTGAGATTAATTAAGTACACGACCCTCTCGACCCAGGATTAAGACAAGATGCCAGACGAGCCCGGCGGGTGTCATTCGCACCCTTCCACGCCTTGTAGATAGGTGGAGTGAGCTCAACCGAACCCCACCCTTCATCCCCCACTTTCCCATTTGGGTCGCCCTCAACGGGAAAGCCACCCCCGCGCCGGTTTTTGGAGGGGCTACCTATCTTTCGTTGTATCTCAACTCCGACTTCGCGGTATAAACTTGGTCTACGAAGTGACAAATCTCACTCTGAGATTTTTCAAAAAGCTCCATTGTCACAATTCCAGGCCGATTGATCGAGTACGTTGTTTCCCGTCACCCCAGCGTTTCCTCATTCTCCCGCCTTTGCAGAGTATACAATCTATTGATAGAAAGCGATGCCATAGGGACTAGCAAACATGTGTGTTTAGAGCTAATCAATGCCTCACACAGTCAAGTTTGATTTTCGGCCAAAAGAAAATACACCTACCTGCCTCAAGACTGAAAATACTACTCTGAAGTTCATCCTCTCAAATATCGCAACAATGTCGAAGCCCAGAGTCCTCCAACTGGGCCAAATCGAGCAGTACGTCTCCTCCCCTCCGTCTCAGAACCTTGCCAGTTGCGTCTCATTCTCCCATCCATCAGGCTTCAGCCTCATCTTCAACCGTCTTCTGTTCCCCGACCCTCCCATCTCTCAATCCCTCACCATATCAACCAAGTACATCAAAGCAAAAGCTAACAGGCCAACTCCAAGCGCCCACGACACCTGGGCGTCCCTCGCCGACGTCGCGGAAATCATCAAGCCCAAGGCGACCAACCGCGCCGAGTTTCTGGAAGAGTGCAAGTCCGGCGCCCTGGACGGCGTAAAGGCAATCTACCGCACGTTCTCGAGCGTCCATATCACCGGCCGGTTCGACGCCGAGCTGATCGCGGCTCTTCCCTCCAGCGTGGATTTCATCTGCCACAATGGTGAATCTTTTCCCCTTTGCCCATTCATCTTGATATCTCATTACACTCCCTCTCCTCTCCCTCTCGCTTGCCTCTTTCCCCTTCCCTTATAATCTTCCCAAATGCAATGACAACATACACCAATCCTAACGCAAAACCAAAACCAGGCGCCGGTTACGACCAAATCGACATACCCTCCTGCACATCCCGCTCCCCAACCTCCCCAATCCTCGTCTCAAATACTCCCACCGCCGTCGACGACGCCACAGCCGACATCAACATCTGGCTCATGCTCGGCGCCCTCCGCAACCTCAACGCCTCCATCTTCTCCATTCGCGACGGTAAATGGAGGGGAACCCAGCCCCCTCCCCTCGGCCGCGACCCCCAGGGCAAAATCCTGGGCATCCTCGGCATGGGCGGCATCGGACGCAACATGGCCAAGAAGGCAAGAGCATTCGGCATGACGGTGCGGTATTTCAACAGGACGAGGCTTGCGGCGTCGTTGGAAGAGGAATGCGGCGCCGTGTACGTCGACTTTGATACGTTGTTGAAGGAGAGCGATGTGATTTCCCTCAACCTGCCTCTCAACGTACGTACACCCACAATCTCCCCCCAACTCCATCTCAACATCACCACTGACGACAAAGACAAAAGGCCCACACCCGCCACATAATTTCCACCCCCCAGTTCGACCTCATGAAACAAGGCGTGGTGGTAGTCAACACAGCCCGCGGCGCCGTCATGGACGAAGCCGCCCTCGTCGCGGCCCTCGACGCGGGAAAAGTCGCCAGCGCGGGTCTCGACGTGTTCGAGAATGAGCCCGAGGTCCACCCGGGCCTGCTGGCGAACCCCAACGTGCTCATCGTGCCGCACATGGGCACCTGGACGCTGGAGACGAGCGTCAAGATGGAAGCGTGGGCGATTGGCAACGTTCGGAGGGCGGTGACGGAGGGGAAACTGGATAGCGTCGTTGTTGAGCAGAAGGGGCTGGCTGCGTAGAGGGTAATACTGCGAGTATATAGTCCCTTGGCGAAATGTTAGACTCGGGATTTCTTTTGCAGTATTAGTGACACTATAGTGAAATTTATGCATTCACTTGAAATGCAAGGGTCTGGAGTCAGATTTTATAGGAGACTTTTTTCTCTTCAATTAACACAGACGATACGTAAATACGAGTTGAAGCCTGAGAACCTAAGAGACACAAACGTTTAGAAGCATGTCACCTCACATACTTCAGGACAGGGCAAAGCCCAGCTACCTTTGCTGGCTACGTCGGCTTCTACTTACGACACGTGCTTGACAACTTCGGATGTATGTTTAATTCACGCATCCATACAGCGACAACTAAGCAAACATGCCACAAGGTCTTGCGTGAAGTTGAAAGCACTAGACACCGGTCACGTAGTTGAAGCATGTGTTTGCTCGAAGGACGCATATATTCATCTATGCGGACCACGGTTGACGGGCCCTAGTCCTCGAGTTGTCTACCCATAACCCCTATTCCCATGTCCGGGGAGGTTGAGTCCCTTTTTTTCCCGCTCCCCAAGAGTCGGGCCGAAGAAAGCAAAATACAGATGCCATGGTCTGGGGAATCACTATTCACAAGCCAACGCCTTTTTTTTGTTGAAAAATCTCGCAGCCAGGCCCCCCAAGCTTTTTGAGTTTCCAGCCCGTAACCGCCCCCAGCCGAGATTCCCTTCCCAGATGTGTCATGCAAGTCATGCTGTTGAGAACACACATTGCCAAATGTTATGGTGTACGCTCGTTGAAGTCATTAGTCGGAATGTTGAAGAAATCCAGTCGCTAAAAGATTGGATGATACAGAGAGGACGCTTAGTAGCGGTAAATATCGCTCTTGTAGGGACCCTCAACGGTGATGCTGAGGTAGTCGGCCTGGGTCTTGGTGAGCTCGGTGAGCTCCACGTTGACGTGGGCCAAGTGGAGTCTGGCGACCTCCTCGTCGAGGACCTTAGGGAGGACGTAGACACCGACATCGAGCTTGCCAGCCTTGGCAAATTCGACGTACTTCTGACCCCAGGCGGCGTCACCGCTCTTGTACAGCATGATCTGGGCAAGAACCTGGTTGGTGAAGGAGCAGGACATGACGAAGGAGGAGTGACCAGTGGCACAGCCAAGGTTGACCAGACGACCCTCAGCAAGGAGGATGATGTGGCGGCCGTTCTTCATGAGGAAGCGGTCGACCTGGGGCTTGATGTTCTGGACGCTCTGGGCGTTGGCCTTGAGCCAGGCGACGTCTATCTCGATGTCGAAGTGACCAATGTCTGGGAGGTAGGAGGTTAGAAATATGTATTGGAAGAAGGGGGGTCGTAAAACTTACTGCAGACAATGGCGTCGTTGGGCATGACGTCGAAGTGGGCGCCAGTCAGGATATCACGGCAGCCAGTGGTGGTGACGAAGATCTGACCGCGGGCAGCGGCCTTCTCCATGGTGGTGACCTCGTAACCGGCCATGGCGGCCTGGAGGGCGTTGATGGGGTCAATCTCAGTGACGATGACACGGGCACCCATGGTGTGCAGAGCCTGGGCGCAGCCCTTGCCGACATCACCGAAACCAGCGACGACGGCGACCTTGCCGGCAACCATGACATCGGTAGCACGCTTGATACCGTCAATGAGGGACTCGCGGCAGCCGTACAAGTTGTCGAACTTGGACTTGGTGACGGAGTCGTTGACGTTAATGGAGGGGACAAGGAGCTTGCCGTCCTTGAGCATCTTGTAGAGGTGGTGCACACCGGTGGTGGTCTCCTCGGAGACACCGTAGCAGCCCTTGAGCATCTCGGGGTACTTCTCGTGGACGAGGTGGGTCAGGTCACCACCGTCGTCGAGAATAAGGTTGAGCTTCTGGCCATCCTTGAAGGCAGACAGCTGCTGCTCCAAGCACCAGTTGTACTCCTCCTCGGTCTCTCCCTTCCAGGCGAAGACGGGGACACCAGCGGCGGCAATAGCAGCAGCGGCGTGGTCCTGGGTGGAGAAGATGTTGCAAGAAGTCCAGGTGACCTCAGCACCGAGGGCAGTAAGAGTCTCGATGAGGACGGCAGTCTGGATGGTCATGTGCAAGCAACCGGCGATACGGGCACCCTTGAGAGGCTGGTCGGCGGCGTACTTGGCGCGGGTCTGCATAAGACCGGGCATCTCGTTCTCGGCGAGCTCGATCTCCTTGCGGCCGAAGGCGGCAAGGGAGAGGTCGGCGACCTTGAACTTGTTGGCGGGGGCAGCCATTGTGAAGTTTGTTGTGGTGGTGAATGTGGTTGGTTTGGTGGGGAGTGAAGAAGGGGTGTAGAAGAGGACGAAGAGAAGAGAGGATGAAGAAGGAGAGCAGGGAAAGGACAATTCAAGTACTAGCTCGCGGGGGAAGGAGAGGTAGAGAAGTAAAAAAAAAAAAAAGCCTTTTGGAGGGGTGCAGACACGGACAGGGACGGCAGGAAGGCAGGGCGGTGTATGAGTGGGAGGGATGGGAGGGATGAGGGATGGGATGGGATGGGATGTGTGCGTGTTATCCAGACTGAGAAAATCTCTGCTGTGTCTTCAAAGGTACGGATACTTGGTGTTCCAATGGGAATCCTCTCTCTGCCTGCTCGTCGGCGAAGCGCGGCCGGTGGTGGGAGGTACCTACCTTACCTCTGGTGGGAGGAGGGGTAAAAGTGACTGGGGGACGGAGACTTCCAAGTTGAAGCCCACCTGAGGCGGGGCAAAAAGTTGAAGCAAGCTGCACCTCAGGCAACTGGAAGTCGCGGCCAGTGTCGAGGTGTGGCAGGCGGGGTGGGGTTTTGCCAGTGTCTGGTTGTTGTCTGGGCACCTACCTCCTCGAGGAAGCACTCCACTGGTCATGGCTCCGCGAGACTTTCTGAGCTGATACGAAAGCAAGAGGTACATGCTATTATCTCGGCTCCAGTAGCTGATGCTCGACTCTACAAAGAAGGTACCTCACAGTTGGGTGCTGCCTCTATCATCCCTCCTCATATCTCGGGCTCGCCAACAATGCAGAGGTCCATTTCCTCCGTCACACCTCTGACTTTCACCAGGGCCCTAGAACACTTCCCTTTTGAGCTTCTCTCAGACCATTTCATTGCGGTGAAGGGAGGCAAAGAGGAGGGGCCAAACGCAAGGTACCTCGCCTGCCTTAGCTAAGGTATGATAGCTCGGCTTCCATTCCCCGGCACTTTTTGCCCGACTTTTCTGCCGTCAGTCGTTCAATGGCACACTGGAGTGACTGACAGCGAGACACTGACTCCTGTCTCATCCAACGTCGCTCGATTGGCGTTTTGCATTTTTTTCCCCTACCCATCTAGCTGGCAGCAGCCTAAGTACCAACAAACATTTTCGATACGCCACAAAGGGCGGCGCACATGGAGGTGAAGGGAGGGCTAGACCTAAGGGAGCAAGCTCTGGAATGGGAGCTGTACCAGCTTCGTCTCTTGGCCTAGCACCTGGGTGCCTCTGGCAGCTCAGTGCTCACTTAATCAAGGAAGGCTTTAATTACGTTTCCCGTCGGAAACACAGCTTGGAGAGCTCAGAGCGCCGTAAGCCGGGGCCGACCTGCTCGGAGGTAAGGCCAGGGTTGAGGACTCGGGGTGAGGTAAGGTTAGGTCGGGTAATTTCGAAAAGAGACAGATATTGAGTGCGGGAGTGGAAAAGATACATTTACCTTACTCAATCGGCATGAGGTGGGCGGGAAAGATACATGCAGATCTGATAGGGAGCAAGTATTCGTACCTAGGTACCCTGATGGGGAGGCAAAAAAAAAAAAAAAAAGAGCCCGCCCCCCCCCCCCCCCCTTTTTTTTTTTTTTTTCCCCCTCCTCCCTCCCCCCCGCCGCCCCCACCCCCCGCCCCCCCCCGCCCCGCGGCCCCCCGGGGGGACGCGAACAAAAAAAACAAAAAGGGCTGCCAAGCAGTGCACAGCGGTTTGGGGTGGGGGCCCCCTTCCTGCCAGCCCACGGCAGCTCCAGCCTCCAGGGCAGGCCCAGGCCGGCCGCTGTCCCGCGTGTGCCCGCCCGCGCCAGGCGTGCTACCGAGACTCGATTTGAGAGGTTCCTTTTGATTCCCATTGTTTTACCGTTTCCTCGCGCTAGTCTCCTTTAGGCGTGAAACCCCTCGATTCTGCCCCACCATCATCGCTCTCGGGGAACACTGCGCACCACGTACCTCAGCACGGGCAGGTACCATCGACCTCTCCCCGTCCTCCCTCCCATGTGCGCATGTTCGACTGACTTTGGGCAGTATCCCCAACCGGGACCAGACAAATCATGCAAGGCATGGCGCTGGCAAAGCCAAGGCTCAGTATAACTAGACTCTGCAGCCAGTACGTAGCATGGGTTGGGACGAGGCATATGAAGCCGACTTGTCCGGAGACATCCACGGATATTTTGTCTTTACTGTTAGAGGTGTTTGATTTTCGTATCCCTCTTACCTACGGACAGATTCAGCTTGGGAGAAGCAATTGCTTACATGGCTCTGTGCCACGGACAAACGCTTCTACTGCTGATGCTCTTCCTTAGCATTCCGTCACTCGTGTCCGGGACGTATCATCTCCAAGCAGCGCGGTACCCTCAATCGCCGAGATGCCCTCTCCATGCCACGACAGCCTAGTCCCCTCACCCCCTTTGCTCGCGAGACCCAGTCGATATCAGCCGTAGTTGGCCCGAGAGCTGTCTCGGCCCAGGGAGGAACCCATTGCTCTGGAATGCAAGAAAAGACATCGAATATCGACTCAGTACACACTGCCTGGGACTAATTACCATAACGCCGTTTCGAATGCTTGATCCGCTCCCCAGACCATTCATCATTCCCAGAACACCCGTTCTCTAAGGTAATTCCTCTCCTTTTTGTCTTTGCCCTCGCCTTGCCTCTTCTCTCCTCTCCTTCGTCACACTCGCGCGTCCGTTCGGATCTTGTCCGTCTACATCCACGGAGCAGCGAAAAATACAAAGGAGACCGACCCGAGCTTGCTTCAAGTGTCCTCCTAAGCTCGCTTGGGTAGTAGGTTCTCCCTGACGGCAAACATCTTGGCGCTGATATTGGCCGTGAATCCATCCACCTGCTTGCTGTACTGCTCCACCTGCTTCGCGTTCAACATACCCTCCAACCGGCTGGGCTCCTGGGGGAGCTTGAACAGCCTCTGCCACTCGTCCTCGGGCAGCGGCGTCTGCTTGGCCGCCGCGCGCGCCGCGTTCTCTGCCTTGCGCTTGGTCTGCCACTGCGTAATCTTGGCCTGCTCACGGCCGAGCTGGCGCTGGTAGAATTGGAAGTTGTTGAGATCGGTGTAGTGAGACTCGATGCTCTCGAGCAGGAGATCGCACGTCTTCTCGAGGAAGGGGTCTATCGAAAGGTCGAGGTTCTCAACCGAGGGGTGAAGCTGCTGCTTGAGCGGGTCATCGCGCAGATCCGCCAGGGTGTTGGGCGACTCTATCTTGTCCTGCTCGGGGAGGCCGGGGAGCTGGTGCAGGAAGGAGGTCAGGAGGTGGGTGTTGTGGATCTCGACGGGGAGCTCGGCGAGAATATCCTTGAAGGTGAGCTTGGAGGCTTTCAGGCTGGATATTTTGTTAGTACTGCAGTCGACCAAATAGTACTCAGGCCGTCTGTCTACACATACCTCTCGGTCGTGAACTTGCCCTCCTTGTATGCCGCCATGAATGACGGGGTGAGCTTGAAAGCACGCAGGCTCAAGGAGCCCTGGGAACTGCGGCTGACGTCGTGCACGAGGGCGACTGTCCGCTCGTTGTCCTTCTGGTAGTGATACTGGTTCTCGATGAAGCTGAGGTTGACAAAGTTGCCCATAGCAGCGCTGGTGTACCAGCCGACATTGTTAGCGTCGACGTTGACCTCCTTCAGATGCTTAATCATGTCGTTCTGATAGACGATATTGGCCTTCTGGCGGGGAGCGGCGGCAGCGAGCGCCGAGGCGTCGTTCTGGTGGCTGTTTTGGTGGCTGTCGGTGCTTGCGACGTCGACCGTGGGGAACTGGAAGGTGTTGGTAATCTCGAGGAGACCGTCGGTGTCCATGCCGACGATGGAACCGGTGGCGGTGGTAGGGAAGGTCGCGGAACCATGCTTGACGATTTTCATCACCACCTAGAGACACATAGAGGTCAGCGACATATCTCCCATATATTCCTCCATCACCACAGCACTGCAGCAAGAAGCCCCAATGTGAGGAGAGGTGGGGCAGAATTCGGGCAGGACTCACAAGGGCCTCAACGCGGACCGCCGTGAGCGGCACCTCCTTGATAACGTCACCCATATTTGCGATACGATCGGGGATATTTGTGCAGGTTCAAAAATTGGTGGCCTGGTCGAGTTTGCGGCTGCGGGATCGTTGGTGTCGCGTTCACTTGGCGGTGGGATTCGAGGGGGGTCGTCTCGTCGTGATGCGAAATATCGAACTTTTCGCTACAACGAATTGTGGGAGGGATTGTGGGCTGTCGGGCGGTGTCAGACGGCAGGATCAATGGAGAAAGGATAGATGATGCGCCCACCCCGTCCCAGGAGCTAAAATTCACCCCCTCCGTACCGGCCGTCCACGGACCCACGCCGCCGTGTTTCTTTCCCACGGTGATCCGTAACAGATTCCACACGCCACGTCCTGAATAGGAGGGCATCCCACTCATGCCCCCACGCCGAAAGCACTCACATCGAGTTTAAATTCAACGTCGTCTCATCTCGCCGGCTTTCTTTCTCCTCCTACCATCTTTCCCTTCAAAACCTGGCTCATTCAACTCTCCTGCTCCTGAGCATCATTTTGCGATATCACTCGGGGGGTGTTACGTGCCGATGTCGAGTTGCACATGTCATTAAAACCCACATGGCACATCGCAACCATCATCCAGCGCCTCTGGGTGTCCTGACTCTCTCACCTACTCCAGTATTCGATTCTCTGGCGTTTTCGGTCATTCATCCTGTACGAGTTGCAACATGGCCGTCACTGTGGCTAGAGGTCCGGATTCGATGCGATTGTTCTATGCGTTTATTTGTTACGCTGTCCAGGAAAAAAAAGCCAGTGTTTTCATGGCTTCGCAATGCTGCAGAATCCAAGCGCCCCCCATGTTCTTTCTTATGCCGCCTCCCTACCTACCATACGCTCTGTTTGTGGTGTCTCATTGCTCATTTCCCAGCCCGATTGCGACATATATAGTAAACCCGAACCGCCAAACGCCGCAAACAATCACTTTTAATCTACCCGCCGATGCAATGGATGAGGCTCTCTCAATCGACCCAGTCGATAATCTCCCAGCGTTCGGCGCCGTCACGAATGACCAGGCGGTGACGATCGATACGCCAAAAAGAGTACATGGACGCTGTCGCACGACTTGCCCGGCGATGCTCAGGTCCTTGGCCGGCTTTCACAGCATCTGGTCTTGATCTCCAGACGCAAGTTGCCAGATTTCTCCCTTCTGAGTCGGGACTTCCGAACCAATATCTGTGGGGAGTCAGTTTCATGTCTTTGTTGTCTTATTCTTCCATTTTTCCTTACTTCAGGAAGCCTCCGACTTGGTTGGCTTCGGCATGCGCGGCCTTGTCCAGAACGCCAAGATCCTCATAGACTGTCGATGGCGGAATCGTCGAACGGAATGCAACGATGTAAAAGGAAGTTTCCTTGAACGTTTTCCCTGTGGATTGAACGAGACTTTTAAGCTCGCCCATGACTTCCTCCCAATTGAAGGACTCAACATAGCCGGCCGTGGCGTAGTCCGCTCGGAGGCACTCCATGTGAGACAATGCCCTGGCGAGGAGGGCATTCTCGTCATCGAGGGTCTCGAGATCTAGCAAGTGCGCCGGATCTGTGTAAGGAGAGTGAATGAGGAATCTGTCAGTGTTGTTGATGTCGATTTCAGCAACATTGATAGCCGCATTCTCCTTGATGTTTTGGGCGAGAGGGCCGACACCCATTGGAGCTGTGGTTACAACGGCAGTCATGATGAGAATCCGGAACGATGCTTCCGAGACTTGCGTTTGATGAGAGAACCCGGATGCTTTCGGGCTGTCCTTTAGGAACCGCGAGGCACTTGATCAGTGCCGTCTGAAAGGAAAAGTTGTCGAAGGTTGGCGAGAGGCTATGTGGGTGAAGAAGCGGCTTGTATAAGTGACAGATCCAAGTACACTATGAGATGGAGCGAACGCTTCCGAGGGGAAAGGAGGCAAAGTGTGCCGAGATGTGGTGCTTTCAACGTGCAGAACAAAAATTTTCAACATCTGCAAAAACGAAAATGGGCGTCCAGTCCGAAATATAAGAACAACCCACCATCCAGAGTCAGAGACGTGTCGGGCAGGGGGCGTCGAGGAAACGTCTTTTCGACACGGGATTGCCTAACCCAAGCCAGGTGGGTCGGGGGACTACACCGTCGAGCGACCCGGAGCGAGTCAAGTGCAGCTGACCAACCCGGTGTGCCGGTCAAAGAAGCGGTGTTCATCCCTCAACCATGTTCAGGGACCCTTTTTTTGCATAGGCAGCAAATCTGCGACCCGGGTGGGCTATGGATCATCTCACAAAAAAAAGGGATAAGAGGAATTCCCGGACGTTTGCAGGTCATGCAGTACGGCAGTAGGGGGGAAGCATGGGACAGCCATGGTGCGGTACCGTACCGATGGCGAAAGAGTGCCGGTTGAGGATTGCGCAATCGGAAGCGGTTCTGATGCCAGAGACTTTGTAATTTTTGGATATGATGCGCAATGCGCCTCTTTGGTTTTTTGACTTTCAATTTTGTTGGCACGGATTGTGGAAGGGAATACGTTACACGGAACTACGAGCTACACGAGTTGCTTTTACTAATTGTAAAAGCAGAAGACGAGAGAAGCACCAATTGAGGCATGGAAGGTTGGGGTAAAGTATTGGGACAGAAATTCGGGGCTAACTACAAAGGACGGCTCGCCCGTCCTGATAACGGAAGGCCAAGTCTTGGTGGTGCTGCTTTAGAAGCCGAGCGACGACTTGGAGCAGCGATTTCCCCCGCATCCTTCACTAACGCTACACCCGGGCCATGACTGACCAAATCGTATAGCTAGCTATAGGGCCAGCCAAAGGGTGGATGGAAGGTTTGATCAGGCATACGGGAGAGGGAGAGAGAGAGACGAAATATTGTGCAAGCTCTCAGGGTGCGTATGTGCCTCTCTCTTTTGCCTTTATCTCTGCATTCTGACTTTGGAGGCTGGCAGAGTGGTGCTCTATCATACCGGAACTACTGGCTGACAACAATTACATCGGCAGGCTGGCCTACCCCGGCATCTCCCAGGTCCTGGCATTGCGAGCAGAGGAATACGAATCCACCTCACAGGGCCGCAGGGCGACCAACACGGTCTCGAGGCACCGGCGGCAACATCCACCTCAACAATGCGGTAGCAAGAGTAGGCCGTTAGGTTAAAACAACAGTTGACGCCGATAGAAATCGAACCCAAATCAACCTACTAAGCAAACGTCCGCTCCCACAGCAGCATGGTGTCCAGCCCGTGTTTCGGGAACGCTTTTTCTCCCTTCCCATTATCCCTATCTCTGCTCTCTTTCAACTTTCGACAACAACCAGAAGGGTCGACACGACGTGACATTCGGAACGGCCCATCCAGCTCATGTTGCCCCCTTGATAACGGAAAACACTTCTATAGATCCACGTATACACACCTACAGCAAACCTTTCCGCGCCGTCACCGCTGGTTGTTATCTCTCGATGCACCCTGCTAATCACACATATGCACGATTGTCGCCCATTCACAGCCCTCCAACGACTTCTGATTCGTCCTTGCCTCGGGTGAGCCAGACTTTTGACATTTCGTACGTGCCCAAGTAGAGACCGCTGCCAACGGCCGTCCACACGGCACGCAATCCTCCACCGCGGAAGAGCCCGCGGATGCCGTTTTGTCGGTACACGTCCCGCGTCACCTCCAAGCTGCCGCGGCTCGGCTTGGTCGTCGTTGCTTTACCAGCCTGTTGGCCCGACATGCCTTGGTTATCGCCCGTCTCTCCTGCACTCAGCATCATCCGGGTCTTTACGACATCGCTCGGCGTTGTGATGAAAGCAGCGAATGCTCCCGCTGCGCCGGCGCTGGTTCCCGTGACCACGGCCGTCTCCACGAGGCCTTGCTCTTCGCCCTCTGCCCTTTCCTGCGACCGAGAACTCCAGGCCGTCTTCCGCACATGCTCAAAAATGGGGAATTGAATTGCCGTGAAGGGGAGATTACGCGCAACGAGGGCCGTGTATCCGGAGAAGAGCCGTCTTTGAGCCCCGGAACTGGTGACTTGCCGCAGGGCCTGGAGTGAAGTTGATCTTCTGGTGCCACTGCTGCTGCTGCTGTTGCTACTGCTGCTACTGCTGCTACTGCTGCTACTGCTGCTATCCTGCTGACGCAACATCTGTGCATTTTGTTTGATAACCTCCGCCGGTGCGAGGACCAGACAGGAGCCCATCTCCGCGATGGCGGAGGCTGAGGCATGCACAAATGGTTGGGGGAGCGAGGCGGTATTGGAGATGGTTTTCTTCATGCTCTCATACGTGGCAAAGAATATCCCGGCTACGAAGTTTCCAAGCTTATCAGTACATGTTTCCCTCGCTTCACGGTTGGCCGCAATCGGTTAAGGGTTGCGAGAAACTTCGTGGGTGCTCACCTGCCGGTAGGGTGGCCAGCACCACACTCCCAATGCCCTGGTAGAGGCCCTGGAAGAGAGGCGCTTTGCTTCCTGATGTCGAGGCATACGTCTTGACAAAGTCTTGGCTCTGGTACCTGGTCTTGATGGTATCTAGAGGGTAGACAAGACAGTCCACTGTGAACGCAGCCGCAGCGCCGGCCTAGATGTGTTAGCCATGGGCGAAGATTGGACAACTCAGAGTAAGATGTACTCACAACGTAGATCTCATACATTATATGGTTTTATTTTATGTATCGATGACAGAAATATTGATGAACCTCAGTGCTCATGTCCTTCAAAAGAAGTTGCCAAATTCGGCGGGTTTGGCGATGTCACTGAGAAGATGAATGACATCATCCTGGCTGGATTGGGACCAGGTCACTGCACTGCCCTTGGAACTACACCAAAAGAGACAACCTGTTTCTTATGACTCGGCTCTTGACTGATAAATTCGTAATAATCAATTTAATCTTTTCAAATTCACAATGTACCAATTCTCTTCAGCACCTATCCTGTAACTTCTTGAAATGCTTGATTTCAGTGACAACTCGACGCCTCCAATACTGTGGCTGGAGCTGTAATGTGGCCAAGACGCTATCACGATAAGGTAGTACCTACCTTACCTCAAGGCACCTTAGACCTGGAGCGATAAGATAAGGTAACCTGTGGAACTGGACGGCGAAGTGCCCCGCCCCCGCCATGCGCTGGTGTACAGGCGATTGACTCTTACATCCTCATTCTCAATCATTCGAGACGGCGAGCCCTGTTGAAGCCGAGGCCGAGGCGTCTCAAAACATGCTGGATTTATGTGCACTTCTTGCGACCTCATGAACGCCCGAATATGCCCCCCTGGGGACTTTGACTGTGTGGATCACCACCGCCCACAACTATCGCGACCATCGTCACAACCAGCCATTGCCTAGGGACAGCGCCCGAAACCTCGACCTCGACCTTCCGAACTCTTATAGACACGGATGACTCTACAATGAGTTGCTACTGCCTACTAAATAACTCCTGCGATTGCCTTATATCATATCTGTTGCTGCATGGGCGGTCCGCCTAGAGCTGGAGGGCATGGTAGCGTGTGACTTTCTCACCACCGGAACTCATCCTTATATATGCGCGCCGAGCTGTAACATCCGGCTCGCGCTTATCCAACACGTCGATTCAAAGTCACAACCCGCTCCACGGCTGCGACAGACGGGTCGCCAGGCGCCAATGGTGTCGACACAGTCGGAGTTGTTGGAGGTTGCAAAATGTAGGCAACTTGGGTAACTAACTTGGTGTATAGCAGACCATTCTCGTCCTCGACTTTGGTTCTCAGACCAGCAATTCCATCCTCCGTCGCCTGAAATCCCTCAAGGTCTATGCTGAGATGCTGCCTTGCACCAAAAAGCTGGCGGATCTTCCTTTCAAGACGAAGGGTGTTGTGCTGTCTGGTGGTCCCTCTTCCATCTACGACTAAGACTCTCCTCGTAAGAAACTCTTGACCAAGCAAAGTAGAGCTCTTTCCAACATTTTAAAGACGTCGACCCCGCGATCTTTGATCTGGGTGTTCCTATGCTGGACATCTAGTACGTCTGCGATCATTCTTCAAAAGAAGACACGTGCTTATTGATGTGCATAGCTACGGCTACCAGGTAAAGCTCTGTCCGATCTTACTCCCATATTTTCGAGTGCACGAGGATAATCCCACGTCTTATAACAAGACCACGCCAGTTTCTTCTGTCGAGATGAATAATTGACTGATCATATGCAGGAACTTACCTGGAGAATCAACTCCAAGAATGTGTGTGGCTCGTAGAGAAATCCGAGGTCAGTCAACCTTAAGAGGAATAAGCCGAGAAAAGGATCATCATCTGATCCGTCCATTCTACAGAGTATGGCCACGCCGATGTCAACATCCTGAACTCGGGCGACTATTACGCCTATTGCCTCTTCGTTGGTCTGGGAGAGACGATGCGCGGTGAGCTTCAAAATGATTTTGAAGAACTCTCTGGAGCCAAAAAATACATTCTGCAAGGCGGTGATTCTCTTGCGGAGTGCGGCAATCACATCTTACCTTAATGTTCGGGAAGGCGCTCGAGGTGGGAAGACCTTCGCCGTCGATATCAGTGGCGCGAGGCCCAACTGGGTTATGGAAGATTTCATACAGAAGGAGACCGCTTCCACGCCATCCTCGTCTACAACGGTAAGCGGGCCATCTTCGCAATCGCTGCGCAAATCAGGTCGCTAAGTCCATTTTCACCGATGTGGTGCGTCTCAATAAGTGCGAACAGGTCAAGAAGACTTTTGAGAAGTCGTTCTCCGTGCCGTCACGAATCTAGACTTGATGTGTGCGAAACCATACGAGTTCGATGTTCAACCTGCTTAAGAGGTAATGATTTGTTCCTGCTTACATCTGGTAACTATATTCGTGTTGTTATCATAACTCTGCGCCCCTCCAGATCTCGATCCGTACCATCAACGAGGTTGATGGCATCGCCCGCTGCACATAAGACATCACGTCCAATCCCCCAAGAACAATTGAAAATGGGTTCGAGGCTCCGACTGCCTACCTCGTACTCCAAAGTACTAATTCAGGCTGCATTGCTGACTGTGAACAGAGTAACATTAGATCTTTCGGATAGAATAAGTAGACCCAGAACTGCAAATATTCGTCATTTCTTGGTCCTCATGGTGACAAGGTTTGGAAGAAGACGATGGCATGTGTTGTCAGCGTGGACGAATCGGAATGTTCCCGCACAAGCCACATTTGGCCTATCATTCTCCGTGTCTCCCTTGCATCATTATCGCTTGCAACTCACAAGGCACTCTAACGACTTAGAAATCGCTCTTCAACCTCACACGCTCAACAATCATCAGGCTCCAGAAGCTGTCACCGGCGCACCGCAACCAAAGTATGACAGCTTCGACCTGGCATTGGTCCAGATAAGCACTGCCCTGCGTGCCTGTGCTTCATGAGTAATAAGCTAGTCAGGAGTCCGCGCATGTTGATCTCATTAGTCCGCGAACCATCCCGCTAACGGATTTAGATCTACCGTACGACTTGGAATTCATTGGCGTCCAACCCAAATCAGAGAGATGAGGGAGGCTCTCTCGGTAGCTGCGAGGAGCCAAGGACCTTCAACATCTTTGCTGCGAATCTACGACGTGCGACGAGTGTTATTCACCTCTGGAAACCCTGGCTAGCCTTGGCGATGTCGCACCGGTTCGGAAGCCTTTTCATCGGCGCAGCAATTCAGACTGCACCGCCGACGGTCATCGGCCGAAACATTTGTCAGAATCAGACAGCCCCAGTATGATACGGAAGGCAGACTTCCCAATGGCCGCCGGCTGCGGATTTGCGCAGCAAGAAACCCGGGACTGCTGTCAGGGTCGGTATTGCAGATCTCATCCGGGCGGGGCGGCCCATCTTCATGCTGTGCCACCGCCTTGACACCTCGAGTCTGGTTTCACACGACTTGATGTCATGTAAGAGGAAGAGGAAACGACCTTTCGCGACCGAATGGGGTGTATTCTGAAGCGGTTCTCTCCTCCAGGAAATCCACATTTGACAACGTCGCACGAAACACGTCCCCCTTTTTATTATTGTTGTTGTTGTTTTATTCGTTTGCCATGTGGTCTTCCAGAGGGCGCTTCTGAAAGTTCAGGCTTTGCCTCGTTTCTCATGTCTTGGCCACGATCTCAGCCACCTCGGCTCGAACTGCGAAGGCAAGCAAGGCAAAGGCGTGGTCTCCACGCGATCTCCACGTTCGATAGCTCGCCCTCGTCCACCTCAAGACCTTCTAGATCAGCGCCTCTCTGTATTCTTGCATTCCCGTGTGCGCTTCGCCTTGTCGTGGCCTCTGGAGGCATATCGTAGCCGGTCCAGAACAGAGACACGCCTCAGACTCGATAGAACATTCCAAAAAGGGTTCTGTTACATTCCGAAATCGCTAGTTTCAACGACAGGACTAGGATGAAGCATCAGGTGAGAGCTGGGCTGCCTGTCCAGGCCTCGGCTGAAGGCAATCATGGCTTGAAAATCTCACACCATGGTGGTGACGAGCCACGCGAGTTGCGGGCGCAAGATTCGGCCGCGGAGAAATTGGCAATAAATTACGCCGTATGACAGACAGACCTGGTGGATGAGGCTCAATTGGTCTGGTGATGCATCCGCGCCAAGCGTCGAATGGGAATTATTCTACGGCTGGTGGGTGTGAATCGCCTCACTCAGCACTGCTGGGTATGGTCCGGAGCATACACTCCTCACACCTTGGCAATTTTGATAATTGCGACTTTTTCATACATAACCAATCGCAGAAAGTAGCTGCAGTCACCCGCCGTTGTACGTGCACATTGGCCAACTTTGTGTCATTTCTTTCGTAGGTTGTCGCGGCTCGTGATCTATTATAGGTTCTTGCTCAATCGGTTCCGTACGCCAGTGTACTCCGATGGATCGGTTCCGTGTAAGTGGTCGTTGGGCCGAGTTGGGAGAGCGAAATACAGCTCCAACGCTCTTCCAATGGGGACCCCCCTCCCCCCAATCGACGATGAAGCCGTTATTGGAAAGGATTGACTTGGGGAGCAAACGGCCGTGCATGTTGAGTGAGAGAATCCAACTCAGCCTCCTCACCCTCACCAACTTCGGCCAGCTAATGGTATCGGTCCCGAGGACCCTTCCATGTCAGATCGCATGGCAGCGCTAGGACGCTCTCATCGCCGTCATCCCCCACTCGTAAAGTCCATGCCCGTTACTGCTCCTCCCCCGAACCCCCATGCTTCATATACGAAGTGTTGACATTGCGGTGGCTTTGGGCCAGAAAGATGCCCCCTTATCGGGGGCTGAACAAACAGTTTTCGACAACCCCCCTTGTAAAGCACTCAGCCATTCAGCAGCGAGTTGCGCAAACCTGCCTGAGACAGCATGTACCACCCCACTCACCTCATACTGGTAGGTAGTGATGATGTATTACCTCGAGCACGAGGTTTACTGATGTGCAATCATCCTGTTGGAGGAAGCGGCCCATGTGGCGTAAAGGAAGGGAACCGGTGTGTCCAATATCAGACGGTGATGCAGGTCAAACTTGGAAGATGAGGGCCACGGCAGGGCTCAGCTTAGCCTAAGTCGTCCTAAGATCTTCGGTCTGGAGTTTAGTGTTTGCATTGTTTTACACTTTGGAGTTTTATAAAGTTGGAGGGTTCGTCCACTCTTTTTTCGTGGTCCCGAATCATCTGGAGATCATCACCACTGGCGCTTAAACTTAGTCATTCGCTTGGATGCCGATGCCGCCATCACCAATTTTCATTCAAAGACTCCACTCTGACTCGCACTCGGAATCAGGCCCATCTGCAACCCACTAAGTACTTTATTCACTTCTATGCTTTAAGCTTCTTTGGGTTGACCCTCAAAGTCTTGGGGAAAAGAAGTACCGATATTCGGCTTCCCCGGTCGATCTTCCTGTTTACCAATAACAGCCTCAACTCACATACACACCAAAAATGGCGTGCCCATTCCTTCAAGGCACACTTGCCGTGCCGCCGCGGCAGATGTCCGCGGAACAAGAGTTCGCCAACATCCGCTCACAATACCCGTCCCTATCCTCAACGGGCTGCACGGCCAAATTTTGCCAGTCTGGTCGGATGACACACATGGACGAGGATCGTGTTGGCCGGAATCAGTCTTACGCTCAAGTCCGCGAGGATGCGCTCGACTTTCTCCAACAGATGTACAAGGATGGTCTCATTGACACGGAGCAACTCCACCACCGAGCACACGAAGTCCTTCAGGAGATTCAAAAGAACTCGACAGAGGGAAAATTCACAACGGCGTCCGAATGTGGATCGGAGGCACCACCGGCTACTACGGTTGGCTTGGTGGGTGGCTTGTGGACTCAGACTTTTGAGGAACTCGAGTTCGGGCTCCGGGCAGCTTGGAAACATGCTCGGAAATGCATCATGCGATCTGAGTATAGCAACTTGAGGTATGGGCAACTTCAACCTCAGAATAAGCTGTTACTAATCTTCGTTGCAGGCTATGTGACTTGAGACATGTTCGGACAAGCAAAAAGATGGCCGAGACTCTCATCGAGAACTTGAAAGTAGCCTACAACTCGGGTGAAATCAACCCGACAGGTGTGTAGTCACCCCCTCGTGACTCTATCGCAATCTAACATTTTCTCAATAGTCTTCGTCTTCCCTCCCAGAGACATTGATAGCCGCGGACCCATGATCTGGAACTCACAACTCTTGTCCTTTGCCGGGGTAAGTCTTGCTCCCGCAGGAGAACCGATTATCCACTGACACTGTCAAGTATCAACAATCAAACGGCGAAATCCTCGGAGACCCCGCCAACGTCGAGGTTACCAACGCCATCATTGAGCTCGGCTGGACACCGCCCCGTCTCCGCTCGCAATGGGATCTTTTGCCCCTCGTCACCATGGCCGAGGGCGAGGAGCCCGTCATCACTGAGCTTCCCAAGGACGCATTCCCTCTGGTGCACATCCGCCATCCTAAGCATCCAGGGCTCGAGACCCTTGGACTGCGTTGGGTTCCCGCGCCAGCACTCAGCCGCCTTGGCTTCAGCATTGGCGGCGTGCAATACACCGCGGCGCCCTTCGTTGGATGGTATGTTGGGTATCCGCCTTGTCTGCTGCAAGAATACATCACTGACAAAGCATGCAGGTTTATGGATGCCGAGATCGGTGTTCGCAATCTCGCAGATTCGTTCCGCTACAACGCGCTTCCGCAAGTCGCTAAGGCCATTGGCTTGGTCGATGGCGATGTGGATGACCTCCCAGACTATGAGCGTCTGGCGGTGTTGGTGAGTCCTTCTGCACAGTGCCCGCGTCTGAGATGCATCCGCTCACAGTAACACAACAGTCCCGCGCGCAGCTCGAGCTCAACTACGCAACGTACTGGTCCTTTGCTCAGGCGGGTGTCAGAATGTCAGATTCTCTTGGCGCGGCCGAGCAGTTTGCCCAGTTCGATGACGAGCATCTCATGAACAACGGCTTCCGTCTCCCCTCTGATCCATACTGGCTGGCACCACCACAAGGCTCCATCATCCCCATCTGGCACCGCGGCGGCTCTCCAAACTACCAACCGAAGCCGTTGATCTGCCGCCATGCCCAAGATCCCATCAAGGCCTGGCGCCGGCAACGACAAGCCCGCTCCACGCGATCTCACCACCACCTGTCGGACACGCAGCTCAACATCTCCATCCCGCCGGTGCCGTCCATCTCCCTCACGAGGCCCGTCACGCCAGTCTCTCCCTTCGGCACCGCCTCCTCCCCGTCGCCTTTCTTGCCCGTCCCTCCGCCCTCGCAAATCGTCAGGCCTACCACGCCTCTAACGCCTTTGAGCCCCCGGGGGCCCGGGCGCAGGATCTACATCGGATTCTGCAGCTCGGGCAATGTAGCGATCAAGCTTTGCAAGAGGCTGTGCGCGCAGCTGCAGCACGCGTGCGACATTAACCCCAAGTTGGGTTCCGTCGTGGTGCCGTGCACGCTCAATGCCCTGCCCATCTCCATGGTCGAGGCCGATGATGTATTGGTCATCGTTGCCAGCACGACAGGGCGCGGGGAGATCCCGCAGAATGGCAAGGCCTTTGCTGATGCGCTAGCGAGAAACCCAAAGGCGATTTCTTGCCAGTATGCGATATTCGCGAATGGATCGCTGGAGTACCCGGACACTTACAACCAGGCCGCCATGGACATTGAGGAGCTGTTGAGTAAAGGAGATGCTCAGAGACTCATTGGCATGCGCGAAGCCGACACCGGATTCGAGAATCCTCCCTGGTCCGTCCTTGGCCAGTTCTTTGATCAGGTCCTCGCCGGGCTCCAAAAGTCGAGCCCGCAAGATGAGAACATGAGTGACGTGCAGCGGACCGCTCGCCCGGTCAGACCTTTTGACACCCGTCCGTGGTTTCAGGCCAAGGTCGTCGGACAGCCTGTCTTGGGGACTGCCGCCGACAGCATGAAGAGGGTCACTCTCGACCTGGGCGATCGAGAGTACCCTACCATGGGCAGCGTTTGGATTCTACCGCCCAACTCCAAGAACAAGGTGTCTCGTGTTCTTGGGGCCCTAGGCGTGCAGTCTGAAGAGCGTCTAAGCCTCCTGGGTGAGCCTACCGTCGGGGAGTTTTTCCAGCGCTTTGCAGACTTGGACCAGCCTTTCAAGTCTACGCAATGGGCAGAGTGGCTGTCTCTTCCTCATCCAGAGACCCTAGCCAAGGTTCCCATTGAGAATGTGGTCCATCGGATTCCTTCCAACTGGAGGCAGTTTGTGACGCTGGATGCGCTGTGCAATGCCATGCCAACGATACAGCCGAGGGAGTATTCTATCGCCTCTGATGGTTCAAGAACGAAGCAGAAGAATGGTAATACTCTAGATCTGCTCGTCCAGCACCACCCCAACGGCAAATTCTCAGACAAATACCTCAACTGCTTCGAGACCTTTGGAGCCGCGACCTGCAAGATCCGCCCTTCGTCTCACCTACAGGCGATGGCTGAGAACCAGGACAAGCCGATGATCATCTTCACAACGGGTTCCGGTATGGCTCCCGTCCGCGGACTGTTGCAAAACCGCCTACAGCGTCTGCATTCCACGGATGACAGGACCGCCAAGGGCCCTGCGATCAGCCTGTTTGCCGGCTTCAAGGCGGCCGACGAGGCTCTCGTGCGCGAAGCGGTGCAAGAAGCAAGTGAGGCCGGCATCCTTGACGTCTTGAGGCTGACGGGAAGCAACGAGGAGAAGAGGAGAGCACAGGATGCGATGCTAGAGACCGGGGTGAGGGAAAACTTGGTCAAGAATATCGAGGATGGGGCACTTGTGTTCGCGTGCGCCAGGCCGCGAGCTGTTGATGATTTCTTGCAGAATTTGAGCGAGGTGTTGGGTCGGGATGCTAGAGAGGTGCTGGGCGATCGTTTCGTTGCTGATGTTTACCAGCCTGCCACTTGAGGGTGTTCCTTGATTCTTTCCTTCCGTTTTATTTTTCTTCTTCTTCTTCTCATCATATGCGCATCATAGACTTAGACGGTGGGTGGATTGATTCAAAAGCGAGGCGTTGGCGGATTTCATACTATTCTGAGATGAGAGGCTAGCCAGTAGGTTCAAGACATGATACAGGCGTGCTTTTTCAAAGGAAAAGTTATCAAACTAATTAAATCACGATAAATAATCTTGTGTCAACATGCCAAAGTCCATACTGTGACCGTGTCTTACTATTTGGCCTTGCCTTTTCTTTAATAGAACAGCAATGACATTCTTGCTACGACCTCTTCTCCGGAATAGAAACAAGACAGCTCGTCCAAGGCAACTTGCGCAATTTCACTTCCACTCATACCCCTTAACTTACGGCTAAACTATAGCACCATTTTTGCAGACTTGTGTTGCAAGAGAGATGCATCTGATTTACAGCCTTCTGGCAGCTTCATTATAGTTGTACATCATGATCATTAGAATCATACAGTGCCTAGTATCGCCATCCTTCCACCATCCATAGCTAGGAATATTCCGTGACAACATCTCAAATCACTGAATTCACCGAGGGTTCTCAGCCTCAGCAGATGCCTGTGTCACGCTCTCAGGTGCAATATTCCCCTCGGCAGAGATGCTATCCGGCACGCTCTCAGGAACATAATAGTCCGAACCGCGGAACTTCTCGCCACCAACACAAGGCGCCTTGGTGCCGATATTATTCCTCACGGCGCCCTCGCCCTGAAGCAAGATATCGCCCTTCTGATCCTGGGTGCCAAGGGACGAAATCTTCTTGGCGGGGACGACATCGTCGTCATTCTCAGCCGGGTTCTTGGGCGGCTGCTCGGGTTTGTAGGAGACGTTGTTGGTGGGGTCGCCCTGTATGCTGACCGATGCGCCAGGGAAGCGGTTCTCGGTCTGGATGGAGGAGACACCGGCGTCGTCGTTGCCCTGGGGGCGCGCAGCACCTGTCTTGGACTGGTACGTGTTCAAGTCGAGCTGGGCCTGGGCGGCGGTCTCCATGAGCTGATCCTTTGAGGGTGCCATTTCGTACGTTGAGATTGAAGTAATACGTTTAATGTTTCGTGTGAGAGATAGTGGTGTTATTGTTCTGCTGTGCACTATACTTTAAGGTAGGTGTTTGGCTGGTATTTTGGTTGCTAGCGCAATGATGAGAGCGATTTCAACGGTTCGGAATCATCAACTTATGTAGCCGTCGTCAACTATCATCCAGCCTCGTCATTTCAAATTCAATGCATCGATGTCATCTCCATGATCTCACGCATCACTGTGCGATGAAATCACCACACCCGCCAAAATGTGGTGCTGGTGGCGACCAGTTTATCTCATCGACACTGATCGAACTGGACAGATGGCACAGCGCCACCATTTTCTTCGTCCAAACCCCAGGGACCCTCAGTACGGCTATGGTTGAGACAGAAGGTTGACCGTTTTGACGTAGGAGTGATATCATCCCCCCTAGGTTTTGCTTCGTGATCGGCGGGGCACACAAAATGGTTCTCGGTGAGCGGGTCGGCTCCGTGGCTCCGCATGTTCGGGGACTTTGCTCCGGTAAGCATTGAGGCCCAGTGCCGGCCAGTCTAATTTTCCTGTAAGCTCACATCCGGTGTACGGTCTCTTCATTCACATCACATTGCCCATTCTGAACTCATCTCTCAATTGAACAACTAGGTATCATTTGACTCTGCGTTATAGCCCTGAACCCGAAGTAAGGTTGGCTTATGTTACTTTTTTTTGGATCGAACTCAGCACAGCGCGCCGTTGCTATGACTGAGATGCACGCCGTGGTGGTGGAACATGTGAGCGCCCAACTGCATACCACAAATCACATCCTAGGCATGAAAATCTTGAACGACAAAATCCCTCCGATTCATCAACGCCGTGTAACCGATGCTCGGGGCTCGGCCCCTGGCTCATAATACGGCCGGCGACTAACCGTCGGTGCCGCTGCTGCGGAAAGTAGCGCAAAGAGCAGCATAGTGATGGGTCAGATCGAGGACATTCTGCGGGAGGCTGGTGGCTTGGATGATGCTTCTGATCTTGACCGCACCTTCGTCCTCGATAAGCGTCCGAACTGTATGGAGAAGCTCTGGTGAGAATTCCGAGTACCACCTGTACTGCCAGGTGACGAGACGAATGACCGATGCGACCGTCTCGCGCGTGTTTTTGTTTTCCTCGAAAACACGGAGGATGCCCGTCAAGGCCTTCGGGCTGAATCTCGCGGCGAGGCAAGCTCGGTAGGCCTCCACGGCTTCTTCTGGGTGTTGAAGTCTCTCCGCCAAAGACCCTAGAATTTCCCACTCCTCGGCCGACTTCTTGTACTGCATGGACTGCGCGCGGTACTGGGCCATCTGCGTCCTCCAGATCGTGTAGACGCGCAAATCCTCATACAACACCATGAAGAGGCTATCGAGCCAGCGCTCGCATAACCGCTTGTTGTTCAGCTTAGAGAGGTGGTCGTCGGTCTGCGCACCCTAATTGATGTTAACATGACTTCGCCAGAAGGAAAGAGTCGAGACTTACGTTTTCCACATCGCCCTTCAATTCACCGGGATCTATCGCGTGGGTGGGCTTCTCCACAGCCTCGCCCTCTGTCTGTCCATTTGGTGCTAATGTCTCCGCAGTGGACTCAGTGTCCGCCGGCCGGAACTTCTTGTCTTCGTCTTCGTCTTCATCGTCATCCTCCGAGTCCGAGCGATCGCCATTCGTTGTAGGGTCTGGGGTGCCACGAAGACCGTCGGTGCTGGGGTTGCGTTGAGGCTGCGAGGTTTCCTGCTTCTCGGAGCGGTACTCGTCCTCCATGACAAATACGGTGCTTCTGATCTTGAGAAGCTGATCCCATCCAATTTTTGAAGTCATCTCGGTCAGGATGCCGTATGCCTGCTTAAAGGTTCCCTTGTAAACCGCAGCACGGAGGTTTAGAAGACTGGCATCAACCTGCTCAGAGTATCTGGACTCGGGTTCGCTATCAATCTCATCCAAGCGGGTCTCTGGGAGAGTAGGGAGATGTACGTCCTTCGGCTCGGGCATCTGGGGCGCGTCCTTATCCTGGTACGTGAACATGGGACAGGAATTGAGGATGGTCAAGGCATTCTCCCAGTCCTCCATTGCCACGTAGACTTGTGCCAATCTCGCCCATGTGCCGAATTCACTAGGAGCAGCAATGGTACTGCGATCAGCACAGCCCATGGCCAAGCGAAGTCTCTCTTCCTTCAGCTCTGGCGTTGCGGCGGTCTGCGCTTTCCTGAGGAGGAACTCGGCCTGCGTATCGAGCATGACATAGTCCATTGGCGACTCTTTCAGTGCCTGATGCAGCACCTTGACACCCTGAACTTCCTCATTGCCCATGAACAAAACCTTGGCCAAAAGTGAGGATACCTCAATGTTTTGGTCTCTGAGTTTCTCGAAGAGGTTGATACCAGAAGCATGGCGGCCCGTGGTCTGGAAGTACTTGAGGAGGCCGGCGGTCAAATGGTTCGAGACATTGTTCGGCACTTGAACGACAGAGTCGGAACCCAGCTGCCAGCCTGTGACATCGTTAGCTTAGCGACGCCATTGTGTTCTGAGAGTTATGCATGCCTCGGAAGAAGAGCTGCTCGGCGGCACCAAGGAAACGGTGTTCAGTCTCGGTGTTGGTAACAGGGTTGTATCTGCGCACACCCATGATCTTCCGAATGGTCTCTCCGCTACCATCATCGGCGTAGGAGTAGGCTCTCAGGACGCTGCATAGGTAAGTCTCTAGCCACAGGTCATCCGTCGCTTTGCGCTTCTCGCCTCGCTCATCTACGCAGTAGCTTTCGACGGTTCCAGGGATCGTTACGTGAACTCGCATGTCGAGTCGGGAGAAGGCATTGTAACAGCTAACAATGCATTAGCCATATGGAGTGGAGCTCGATGCGCAAGGATTCCACATACCAGTAAAGGCCTTCGGATATCTTGGTTTGTACAGCCTGGCCATGCTCACGGTAGGTCAGAGTGTTGATGTAGGCAGCAAGACTGGCCGAAGACGAAGCATCGACACCGGTGACATGGTGATAGACTCCGATCTGGGGGAAGATGCTAATTAGCACAGATATAGGCTCGGCGGTGCAGGGTCATCATCTACCTGCTTGCCAGGGTTTCTTGTGGCTTGCTTCAGGAGGTGGACAAGGTCGGGAGGACCAAGCTCCCGAAGGGAGATGAGGGACTCGGTTCGGGCTTCAATTGATTCAGAGAGAATCTCTTCGGTAAGCCTGGCAGGCACATTAGAATCCAGGGCGGTATGTGCACAGATCGAGGATGGTAGACTTACTCGGGCACAGCCGGCGCAACCATTGCAGCGGTTGTTGCGTGTCAAGCTTTGGCGGCGCGCAAGATGGTAGAGATGCTCCCGATGGGAATGGACTGGATACGGTGTTATGAGCTAGCGGTTCGATACATGTGCGCGAGCAGAAGAAGGCGCCGGTGAGCGGTTCTGACGCGAGGCGCACACTCGGAAGGATGGCTGGGAGGAGAGGGATGAAGGCTGATGATCGGAGGCGGCTCGAGGTGTGTCGGTGAGATTGGTGAGGGATGGATGATTGAAGGGCCCAGCTTGTCGCAGCTGGAATTGGTGGTGGGATTGCGGCGTGAACTGGACACTGGGGGAAGGTGGTGACGCCAGGCGCTGTGGGCAAGCTTGGACTCCACGACCGTCCAGGACTGGGAACCTGCTACCGGCTTGGAACAATATTGATTGATGTTGTGCAACCGACAGGGAGCTAAGGCCTGTCATTGGCAGGGGACACACGGGATGGAGAGCAGATGGAGCTGAGGTGCTTTCCTGGAGGTGATTGACAGGGTCGAAGAGCCAGGGCACGATTTGATTAGACCACGGGGCGCCCTCCATAAGGTACTGTAGGACGGACGGCTGAGGGGCCACCTTAGGCTGATGGGTCCAACGAACCCGACCTGTAGGCGCTGGTCTGCTGCATTGCCATGTTCCTGAGATGCCAGCTTGTCTTGAGCCGGATCCTTACGTAAGACGTCTCGCTAGAATCACAACATGGACAGTACCTTAGCGCAACCCCCTGAGTTATCGGGGGTCTAATCGTCCTGTATCGCTATGAGCCTATTAGGGAGCTTGCAGCTGGAAGCTGGGAGCTGAGCTGGCCCCAAGGTCTGACGCGAAAGCTGGGTCACTAAGATACCTTGAGGAAGCTTAGCTTCCATGTTCTGTAAAATGCGATACGTACCGACATCTCCATGCGAGCAACCAATTTAACGAATCCAGGTCGCGTCTGTCCCAGCAGCCACGCGCTGCGCTTTTCCACATGGTCATGATGGCTGCGCATTCGCCCAGAACCACATCATTCTGAACATTCATCCACTCCACCACACATCGCACATCCTTATATAGAGTAGAGCGTGGTTGCAATCAATCCGGTCGCAGGAACCTGCCGTCGATATGGTTTGTACCAAAAAAAAAAAATGCCGTCCACTATTCGCCATTGAGGTCAGAACTGATATCAGCGTGTAGCCGGCATTCCAAGCCATCAATGTCGAAGCCGAGGAGAACTCCGATGATGAGGTCGACACCACCCGCGAGCTTCATGTACGCGCCAGTGAATCACCTGAATATTTGACCAATTCTGACTGTTTCCTAGGTCGACGAAGCCCTGAAGCGCTTCCAAAATGCCCTGAAGCTGCATGCTCAAGGCCCTCGATTCTTCGATGAAGCCTCCGACGCCTACGATGATCTCTTCAAGTCCGAAATCTTCAAGTACCCTGAGGCTTCTACCGAGTACGAAAGAGCAGAACGACAACCTGATCAATTGCTTGTCGACCCCGCTCTCGCTGGCAGCCTGGACCTCCAAACCGCCGATGTTGACACCACGGGTAGCAGTCTTCCCCAAGCTTTCTTCCTTGCATACAAGAATCGCGGTCAATTCCTCCTTGATCGCACCCGCCATGCCGCACGAAGTGCCGGGAACGATGCGTCTGCTTACTTCGAGAAGGATGTTGCTCTCCGAAACATGCATAACGCCCTGACCGACTTCAACGCCGCCCTTGATCGCGATCCGTCCGATGCGGAGTTGTGGCGCCGTACGGCTCGTGTTGCTGCTTCATTGAAGAGCTCGAGGATCAACAGATACTGCCTCGAAGCTGCTATCGAACTTGACGATGATCCGGCCGTTATCGAGGTCGAGCCACCATCTTTGGCAGAAGGATACGCTGGTCAACAATTGAAGGACCAGCTTCAGTCCCTGTCGGACGAAGTCGCCTTGTCTCACCCTATCATGGGCCCTTGGGTGAAGAGAGACATGCCCGACTTCATCAAACGACATATCGACCCCATACCGTTCTTGCCGAATCCAATTAAATATCTTGGGTCCGCCCGCACCACTGTCGAAGAAGTGGGCCTCACCCGTCTTAGTATAGCCCCCCCAACTGCATCATGGGCCGATTTGGGTATGTCACTGGTGCAGTTCATCCTCGAAAAGGGGCAGACCGGGCGAGCTATTGTCATTGAGCTTCCTGAAACGGAAGATGACGATGACGTAGTTATGGAAACCCAGCCAGAGCAGGACGTTCAGCCAAATGATTCGGATGGCAAAGATAAGGACGAAAACTCAATGCAGGAGGACAGGCAGGATAATACGGAAAAGACTGAGAGTACGGAGCCCGTTTCGAAGGAGATTCCCAAGCCTGTCGAGAGCACTCGTAAGGGCCGAAGCGCCTCCCAACCCTCTCGAAAGCGGTCACAGTCAGCAGCTGGCATTCCCGAGGGCCAGGAAGAGGAGAGCCTGGTCGAGAAAAGGAGCAAGCGAATTAGGAGACGAGAGACAGCAGCCGCAGAAGAGGTTGTCGACCCCAGCGCCGTCCTTGCGTCCCAGCTGGCCCCTTATCAAGCTGCAGACCAAAACCTGTTCCAAGCCACCAAGAACATGCTGGAGAACATTGGAGTCACGAACCAGGAAACTCTAGACCGGATCAGCGAGGTGTTGGATTCGCTTGCTGCAGAAGAACGTGGCGCTTCCATCAAGAACCAAGCGACCATGGATCTCCGCAATGCATTCGTCTCTTTCAGTGAGGATAATGCAAAAATCTTGCTCCACAAACAGACACAGGCGTCTCTGAGCTTGTCATCTTTTCTTGAGCATGCTAAGGGGGGATCTCAGAAAATGTCAGTCATACCACCCTTCAAGGAGACGCAGGGCATCACTGCCTTTGTGAAGCGAGTAAACACATCCTGGATGACTGCTCAAGACGTTGCGTACGAATGGATCAAGACGATATGTCCCAGCTATCTCCAAACAAAGTGGTCAGATGCCATGAAGACAGCTGTCGTCCAGGTCATTAGTAGATTTGACCAGGATATCCTTCAAGCCATCAATTACGACCTGGATTGTGCGAGACGCTCGGATAAAGCGAATACGGAATTTGGTTTTGTTAAAAACATCGTCGAGATGCTCTTCGAGATCCATCTTGACGTATATGAGAGAATTACCAACCCCAGCAGTGTCGTTGACTACAGCATCCGCGTCGAAGCCAGAGGTCGATTGGGTCGGTGGCTAGACATGGCTTCAGCCTTGCTACGGGATGCCGCAGAAGAGGGTAACGAAAACCTGAGAGGCCGCTTCCTCTGGGCTGCCATCTTCTCAACAACCCTCACGGAGAACGCGTCGAGAGAGTACATTCTTCAGTGTTGGACGAGTTTACGAGATTTCCTTGCAGAAAGCGGTATCGATCAACTGTTCCTTCCCAACAATCCGGTGATACCCGAGATTTCGGAAGCGGCGGCCGACAGAGAGATCTCTAAACTGACCACCATGGATTTCTTCCTCGGCCTCTTCCAGGACAATGTCAGCGACCCAGTCGCCGTCATTGATAACCTTGAGCCTGTCCTCAATCCAGGGTCTGTTTATGTTATCCTGCCATCTGAAGATTCGGCAAAGGACGGAGAGGATCCTTCTGACCGCTCTAAGACGAGGAAGGTGCCTATCAAGGAATGTGCAAGTCAGAGCCTCCAGGATCTCTGGAGGTTCCTGCTGGGCACTAGCACGGAACTGCGTCTTTTCCTCTGGACACGGCTTAGCGACGCGTACGCCAGTATCAAGTATTCGACGAAACGATTCTCATGTCATCTCAAAGCTATTGAGATGCTCACAGCGGACTTGGAAAGCGACAGCTATCTCAAGAATGCCCCAGAAACGAGACCGCCGCTATTGCTGAAGATGCTCAAAGCGCTGGATGATCTACTGATCAACGCGCTTTCGTTGGCTCTCAATGACAGCTCAGCCTACGACATCGTCGATGAAGACCACCTGAAGTCGACATCAGCAGCCCTTATCAAATTGAGCTGCATGCTTCATGCATCGGCGATGCACGAGGACGAGATTCGCATCGGTATGACGCGTGTGCCGCCGAGTAGTCCCTCATTCCAGCCATTCCTGAACAAGTTGCGGGAGATTCAGGTGCGCGTGTGGTGCCTCCAGTACACAGTGATCAAGGTCGGCGTAAACCAAAACGGAAAGGTATTCCCCAGCCCAGAGATGGAGTTGGCAGACTTCTTGTCTGCAATTCATCAGGTCATCGGGCTGAGGAAATGCTGCAAAGCCTCAAACAAGATCTTCTTGAAGATGATGCGTGTGGAGTTACTCAAGTTCAAGAAGATTGAAAACTGGGAAGACTATCTCGGGCAGGTGCTTTATGACCTCCATGGTCTCAAACTTGGTGTTGGGGCTGGAGAGGTTCAGGATCATGGCTGCCCCCCAGAGAAGCTCGAAAAACGCAATGCAATGCAGCTTGTCGACAAGATCACAGTACTCGCAAGGAGAATGCCCCGAAAAGACCTCCTCAAGTCAGACCTCAAGACAACCATCGAGCACATGCAAGGAGCCATTGGACAAACGAAAACGACGCCTCAGATGATTCACAACCTGAGGAACTTCACCGAATATCTGAAGCGGCCGATCCACCCCCTCCGACTCTACCAAGCTCTCAGTGGCGGTGTTCAGTTGGATGTCGTTGCTGTAAACACCCCTGAAAGCGCTCTAGCCAAGCACGGATGGTTCTTCCTCTTGGGCATGATTGCCTTGACGAGGTTCAAGCAAGTGGATTTGAGCAAGCGACAAACACCGGGCGCGACTGACGACTTGCGACTCGCGGCTACTTTCTTACGGCTCCAACTTCAATTCACCCCAGATAAATGGGATGCCTGGTTCCGGCTAGCCGAGTGCTTCGACTACGAGCTTGATGAAGCTGTCTTATGGTCGGCCGACAAAATGAACAAGGAACGTGGCGAACTGCTCAGGTTCCAGCGTAATTCGATTCACTGCTACACGCTTGCCTTGTCCAACTCTTGGGAGGCAGATATCGACGACGAGGACGAAGATCCGCTCTACGAGCTCTACCACAACTTTGCCATGCGCTTGTATGCGTCCAGTCGCGAGCCTCTCGCCATGGAGCCCTTTCAGCACGCAGATCATGAGAGATTCTTCATCGAGAGCTTAGGAAACGGAACCTTCCAACGGGTACTTCACGACCAGATGCAAGACTACAAGGTTTGGAAATATGCAGCTGGCTTGTTCAAACGGGCCATGAGACGCAAACCATTGGATTGGAGGTGATTTATTCTTTTTTATTATGTCAAACCATCACTAACGTTGTACAGGAATCCGTACATGCTTACCAAATGTCTTTGGAAGATGTACCAAAAGCCCACTGATCAGCTCAGCCAGAAGGACCGCGAAACCCGCCCATCTGTCGAGTACTTGATTTCAGCCCTCGAACACGCAGTTGAGGTTGTTTCGGCTGTGCCCAAATCGCGGCATAGCGATCCCATTTTGGAGCCGCACTATAAGATCGTATCGATAGTGTACAAACTGGTCGTCCGGGGCGACTTGACGCCACAAGAGGGCGCAGACATTTTGTCGAGGCAGCCATTCGGTATGGAACTTGGAGACGATATCACTCTTGACGACAACGAAGATTGGGAGGAATATGTGATCCGAAATTTGCATCACTTACGGGATAAGGACAAGTCTAACTGGCAGCATCGTATCATCATGCGTCATGCCCGCCTCCTTTTCGATGAGGATGGCGAATCGCCCGAGCTTGTGCAAGCCAAGGCAGCCTTCAACGTCCTCCGAGAATCCATGTTCACCAAGACGATGGTTATGAATGTCTGGAAATGTGACGCCGAGCGTCCTGGACGTCACCACGTCTATACGTCACAGTACATTCGTTTCATGGTGAAGATTTTGGTGGTTATGAACGACCGGGTAAACTTGGAAATGGTTCTAAGGCGTCTTCGGAAGAAGGGCGCCGACTTCTACCACTTCAGCGACTTGTGGCAGATGTGCTCTATGGCTTACCTCAGGCTACTGCGGCAAGGTTTCCAAATTTCCCCCACGTTGGAAGATGCTTTCAAGTCGACGTCGATGGAAGAGCTAGAAATCATGGCTGATCGCATTACTGAGTGGGCTGGAGGTCCAGCAACGGACATTCCCGCCTTCAACTGCCTCAAAGAGACGATCGAGTTGAAGAAGCTCAACGGCGGCCTCATGAAGGCTGGTGCGATTGACGACCTCATCAACGACTGCTACGCCATCATTTACCAGGAGATCGGCCCTTCACTGCCGGGTCCTGAGCCCCACGAGGTTCTCGAAGCACGCGCGAGGGCTCGTGCCAGAGAAGAAGCCGATGGCGGAATCGAGCTCAAACCATCCAGTTCCTTGGGCAACCTGCTAAACCCATCATCCGCGCAAGACTCGGGGGCCAATGGTGAAGGTGACAAGACATCAACGGCACTCGAGGTAGCCCCAAGACGTAGGGCCGGTGTTCGCCGGCCTGACATCATACGGAAGGCCGAACAGGCGTTTGCACGGTTTGGTGAAGCACCAAAGCCATCAGTTGCTCCCTCCAAGTCTCGTGTCGGATCGGTTTCGAGTGGTAGGAACGGAACGCATACCCCCGCTGGAGATGCCGATGGGGGCAGTGATACAGAGGAGCAAAATGAAGGAGACGCAGGCGAAGAGGGCGAGGATACGGAGATGAAGGATGATACGGCCATGGAGGTTGACGACGGGGATGAGGTGCCTGCGCAGGCCACCGGAGCATCGAGCCCGCGGGGCAGTATTCACGATTCCGCGGATGACGAAAGTGAGCTTAGTGATGTTCCGGATGACTGGGACGAACAGCCGCCTCCTTCCCTCATGTTCCCGAATCTGAGGAAGAGCGTGGACTCTGGTCGGGCCGAAGAGACGAACAACTCCAGTGACGGCGATGACGAAGAGGGGGAAGAAGGTGAAGAGGAGGAGGAGGAGGATCAGGAGGATCAGGAGGAGCAGCAGGAGGAGGAGGATGAGGAGGAAGAAGGGGAAGAAGGGGAAGAAGAGGGTGACGGTGAGGAAGCTGAGGAAGGTGATGAGGCTGAGGAGGGCGACGAAGGCGAGGAGGAGGGTGAAGAGGGCGAGGAGGGCGATGAAGGTGAGGGAGAAGAGGGTGAAGAGGGTGAGGAAGCCGAGGAAGCTGAAGAACCCGATGAAGACGAAGAGGCTGAAGAGGGCGAGGAAGCTGAGGAGGGCGAGGACGAAGAGGACCAAGAAGGTGAAGATGACGAAGCCGAGAATAGTCAAGGCGATGGTGAGGAGGAAGAGGAAGAAGACGAGGGAGATGAAGAGGGAGATGAAGACGTAGAGGAGGATGAGGACGCATAAAACTCTCGAAAGTCTCCAGAGAAATGGGTCGACGTGGAGAGGTAGATCTCCTCATTGGAATATGGCTGTTCGTCACAACGTTCTCTCTTTAACCTCGGAGAATGGCGCGCCGGTTGCGGTGTGTAAAGTTACGAGTGTATTTATAGTCAGAGGTGCTTCGCCAGCAAGTGTGATTTATAAGAAGCACAGAGTCAGCAGCGTATGGGATCTGCATACATAGAAATTGTGCCTACAGCACTGGAACGGCCCAGCCTCATCACGTACTTGCAGAACCAATCTGCTGAACATTCATCTGTCTGCATTAGTTATTTGATATTAAGCTTTGCAGAAAAAAACAACTAGCGAGTATGTGCACCATCTGGAAACGGAAGAAGGAGGATTGCCATCACGTAATTGAGTGCTAGACGGAGATGTGTGCGCGTGGCAAGGCACACGGCCGGAGCGTGTGGAGATTGAGGTATGAGATGCATTGGGAGGCAGGGTACTGTGGTGACTGTTTGGGAGAGGTTGAGATACTGAATTATTATGGATATGCTAATATAGAGCCATATGATCTTGGTGGTTACAGTCAGAATTCTTGTACACGTCTCACTCTGTAGCAGAGTATTACAGAGTGTCACCCCTGGCATCCCTCCCACTTGGGGTTAATACAAGTCATCAGATTCAATCTCCTCGATTTTCTGTCACAATCCTTTGGTAATTGGCTTGTTTCTCAACCCGAGGCTCGAATTCTGAACCGATATGGAAAACTTTGCCGTACTCCAGAGCTATTGACCCATCTAGTAAGTAGCTAACAGCGTTCCGGACTGCTTGTCCAGCTTCACCGAGCTCGACCTGAATAGGGCTCGGTGTGCGGTGGGGAGAGATTGCTACGGGCGTGCACCTCCATCCCAGCCCCAGCGTTGGGCTAGTCTCACACCCCAACCCGGGCACCATGTCCGGCGACAGCATTACGCCTTCCAGTGCCGCCTGGCGCCTGCTCAACTTCCTGCCTGTGTCCGCCCGCCCGCCGCACCGTCCAGCTGCAGCCGGCAACTTCCGCCCGTCGACAACCTTCCACCACCGACCGCAGCACACGGCACCCAGCATTCGCCCCAGCACCTACTGCTAGCTAGCTCCTCCCAACATCATCACCAATCTGCGAATCCAACACAACATAAATCCACAACCCAAACCAGCGACCCCGTGAACCCACGAACCCAGAACGATCCCATCAATTGCGTCCTCACGCCGGCGACAAGAACAATCCCGCAAAGAATAAGAAGGGGGTCTAAAAAGGCATCCTCGCAAACACCCACCACCACCACCACCACAACCACTACCACAAATACAACGCACAATGGCCTCCTCGGACGCAAAGCCCGCGCAGGACAAGACCGCCGCCGCCGCGGATCCCAAGGCCGACGAGACGACGCAGCAGCAGGCAGCGGCTAAGAAGCCCGCGCTGGGTGAGGACGACGAGTTTGAGGATTTCCCCGTCGACGGTACGTTTGGTAACCCTCTCTACTCTCTGTCGATGGGTTCCCTTTCGTGTTGCTGGAGACCTATCCCCCTTCTTCCCGCTTGATGATGGCAGGGTGCCAACTTGTCCGCTCTCATCCTTTGTGAATCAAACCTCAGCGTTGGGTGGGGGAATGGGGGGTTTTCACCACCAACGGAGACACTGATGGCACATCGCGATTCCACCTCTCGTCTTTTCCTCAGAGATAAAAGGCTAACTTTGGACTGAACAGATTGGCCCCAGGAAGAGACCGAGGCGGCTGCTGGAGGCAGTGGCTCGACGCAGCACCTGTGGGAGGAGAGCTGGGACGACGATGACACGAGCGACGACTTCTCGGCGCAGTTGAAGTATGGCGATCCTCAACCCCTTGTTTAAGGTCTCGAAACTATACCAGAGGTGCTAACAACGCAATAGGGAGGAGTTGAAGAAGGTCGAGGCATCCAAGAGACGATGATCTACCCACGGTGTGGTACGATGAAGGGGGGAGAATGACGCATAGGTGACTGAGTGGGGATCGACGGCATAGACTACACTACGTAACGAGCTCTATACGACTGGTGATATACCAGTAATGAAATCACAACAGGGCACGCGAGGTTTAATTCTCTTTCGGCACGATCCGGAACGAGACGTGTCTTCTACTTTTTACTGTTTATTTGATATCGTGACGTTTATGATTCTAGGGACATGACACGAGGGTATTACGTTCATCATGAGCGCCCTTTTTCTGGCATGGGCCTCTGCTTTGTTTGCATCCCGCACGCGTTCTTTCATCCCGAGTCCTACAGACTGGCCTTTCCAACCCGGCCTTTCCCATCTATCAGACTGACCGCGCCCATAGAGGTTTCATCCTCCACTGTACGAGGAATAATTTACTTACTCGACAGAGCAGTGACACCGGGCAGCTCCTTGCCCTCGAGGAGCTCCAAGCTAGCACCACCGCCGGTGGAGACGTGACTGAGCTTGCTCTCGACGCCGTACTTGGCGGCCACGGTGGCCGTGTCACCACCGCCGATAATGACAATCTTGCCGCCCTCGGCAGCAGCGACAGCGGCATCCAGCGTCGATTTGGTGCCGGTGGCGAAGTTGTCAAACTCAAAGACACCAGCGGGGCCGTTCCAGAGGATGGTCTTGGAGTCATTAATTGCCTGCTTGTAGAGCTCAATGGACTTGGGGCCGCAGTCGAGACCCATCCAGCCGTCGGGGATGCCAGACTCATCGGTGGCAGAGCCGACCTTGGCGTCCTTGTCAAATTTGTCGGCCGTGACGTAGTCGACGGGGAGGACAAGCTTGACGTTGTTGGCCTTGGCCTTCTCGACGAGCTTGCCGACCGTCTTGGAGCCGGACTCATCAAAGAGGGAGTCACCAATGCTGACGTTCTCGAGCGTCTTCTTGAAGGTGAAGGCCATGCCACCGCAGACGATGAGGGTGTTCACCTTGTCCAGCAGGTTGTCGATGAGCTGGATCTTGTCAGAGACCTTGGCGCCGCCGAGGATGGCGAGGAAGGGGCGCTGGGGGTTCTCGAGGGCCTTGGCGAAGTACTCAAGCTCCTTCTTCATGAGGAAGCCAGAGGCCTTCTGGGGCAGGTCGACACCGACCATGGAGGAGTGGGCGCGGTGAGCAGTGCCAAAGGCGTCGTCTGATTATGAGAGTCAGCTTCTAATGTGTGTTACAAGTCTCAATGGCAAGGAAGCTCCAGGATAAGCTTACTGATGAAGACGTCACCGAGGGCAGTGAGGCCCTTGCGGAACTCCTCGACCTTGGCCTTGTCAGCCTTGGTCTTGTTACCCTCCTTGTCCTTGGCGGAACCCTCCTCCTCAATGTGGAAGCGCAGGTTCTCGAGCAGGATAACCTGGCCGTCGGTGGCCTTGTTAACGAGGTCCTCAACGTCCTTGCCGACGCAATTGTTGGCGAACTGAACGTTCTTGCCGAGCAGCTTCTCGAGCTCGGGGACGACGGGCTGCAGGCTATACTTGGGGTTCTCCTGTCCGTTGGGACGGCCCAGGTGGGACATCAGGATGACGGCCTTGGCGCCATTGTCGATGGCGTACTTGATGGTGGGAACGGCACCGGCGATGCGCTGGTTGTTGGTGATCTTCTTGTCGGCGTCGAGGGGGACGTTGAAGTCGACCTGTGAGGGGTCAGCGAGGGGTGTTCAGCGTTCCGGCTCATTGGCAGGAGCTCCTGAAAGCGTTCTCAGTGTATTCCAATGCCGTCAGGGGAAGCATGTGGAGGGTCACCGAATCGAATACCCGCGGCTTATCCCGTATCGCCAGAATACGGAACGAGTGTGAGGTGATACCCGGGACCAAGTGCGGGTTGCGTGGTGGGGTAATCTGAGCAGCGCAGCAGCGCAGCAGCGCAGCACCAACACCAATTCCGACCCCAGCAACGCTCAACGCCAGGACACGACAAGAGTTGTACAACTTACCCGGATGAGGACGCGCTTGCCCTTGAGGTCGACGTCGGTGATGGAAAGCTTGTTGGCGAGAGACATGATTGCGGTTATGAGGGCGCAGAGGTGTGAGGATGAAAGGTAGAGTTGAAGGTTGAAGAAGTAGAAGAAGAGAGGGGAGTGAAGGGAAGATGTTGAGGAAGCAGAAGGTCTGAGGTATATTTAGCTAGCTAGCTACCTACCTTACCTACCTTACCCAAGGTGGGATGGATTGATAGAGGGAGGGTGGAAGGGAAGGACAGGGACACCACGCCGCATACTCCTAAGGAACGCCGCGGGCAGGGGGGAAACATGCAGGAATCAGTCACCTCGAGTGGTTCAACACACGTTGGGAAGCTTGCAATGGTGGGGTGCTGCCACTGCCAGCGACCTGGACGCTACCGACAGAGCCAGCAAGAAGGAGGGGCATTTCCACCCAGTGGTTTTTTGCATGACTTTTTTTTTCTGTTGGCGGGGTTGACTTTCGGCCCTGCTGCTGCAAGCCTACGAGCCAGGTAGATTGGGCAAATCAGTGGGGACCTTTGCCTGTGCTCTCCCACTAATCGGCAAGCTGCGACAACAACGGCGGTGCTGCGGTGCTACGGTCTGCCCCGCCATGGGTGTGTGACGTGATGGTAGTCTGATACCTCGCAGAAACTGCGCTTCCATCCATGCCTGCTTGTTTTCCCTCAACCGACCCCCCTTCCCCCGGTCGTGGCCGTCCGGCCGGGATCAACGGACCGCAGCCAGACATCACCCGACACGGGGGAGACACAACAGACACAAGATGGAAGAGGGCCTGCGACATCTTGGCTGCGGCCATCTCTCCTTTCATCCGCTATTATTGATGCACATCACTCCTTCTTTTAGGACAACACTTTAGACTTCCTGTGGCATCTTAGTACAACAATTTTCCATAGCCAAGGTGACCAGGTTTGCTCCCAGTGACAAGCTTCAAATATGACCGAGAGATACGCCGATATCGAACCGGAGCCATTACAGCACTCTCAGACCACACATCACGCAAAGCATCAGATAGCATGACCGGGACATCGTGTTCAGTTCCGCGGCGTTTCATTGCTGCTGGCTACAAAGGAGAAAAAATAGAGGGCCTTCCCCAAATCCATCATTCGCACACAAACACCAAACGCCTGTTCCCATCGAAGCAGCCGATGCTGTCGCTTCGTAGTGATCGAGCAAAATCGTAGGCACTACTGTGCCTGATTGGTATAACCCTCTTATATGCCCGCCATGGTGTCGGTGCAATCTAGCCCATGCCGACCTGCAGACTGAAGATGCGAGGAAATCAAGTATAATCATCGAGTTTAGTTGAGGCGAATGTGGTCGTCCTCGCGGGCGGCGGGGCGGTTGTCGACCTCGGTGGACGAGTTGGTGAGGGAGAGGTAGGCGGTCCAGGCAATACCGATTGTGGAGACGAACGGCTACAAAGTTGTTAACATGAGTGTTGTCAATGGCTACCACCGTCCATCTCTGTTCGCCAGGCAACTTACCAGTTGGAACTGCATCGGCATCAGGCGGAAGTTGACAACTTGCACGGCAGGCCAAACGATGAAGTTAGCCTTCAGCGTGGGGATATACATGTCGCGCAGCTTGTTCAGCACAGCGCGGCGTCCACCTCCCTCAGCGACAGTCATGACGGAGAAGAAGCACAGCAGACCAAAGGGCGCAAAGATGAGCTGGTCAAAGGCGACTCTCTGCATTGCGGGAACGAAGGCGCTGGTCTTGGTGATGGGGAAGGTGGTCGACAAGAACTTGAACCAGCGGAACTGGAGAGGTGCCATGCCGAAACCATAGGCCATGAAACGGGTAAGGCGCTCAAAGTCGAATGTGGGAGGGAGGTTACTGTGGTCGGGAATGAGGTCCTTCTCGTAGAAAGGGTTCTTGCGGTCGAGGTCGTGAATCTCGATCGCGATACCATCGTCCTTGTTGACGCCGCCGGGCTTACGGACGGCCTTGAGACGAAGAGCTGTGACTGTTTGTGCGGTCGTGTCGGCGATGCCACCGAGAATGGCGTTGGTCACCATCATGGTAAGCACTGTTGCGGGTATGGGGTCAGCGGCTGATGTATCACATTGTGGCGGAATCCGAAGGACACGGGAGTTTTGAGGCACGTACGTGGCCGTTCATCGTAGTATTGGTTGAACTTGGACACCAACCGGGCGACGAGCGCCATTTCGATGAGAATAATGACTGCGTGAAGCAGTGGCTACAGGACGGATGCAAGTCAGCGCAAAGTTGATTCAATCAGGTGCAGCGCATTAGGCATAGATGGAGATGATGTGACGATGAGAGGCAGCGCAGGCGTGAGTGCGAGGTGGCGGACGGGAACGCAAGACAAGGAGGATTCAGATTTAATCGTGCGAGGAATGTTCTAGGAGCAACACGAAGAGGAAAGGATGGAGCAGGTACGACAATGTGCTGTGGAAAGGGCTGGCATACGAGACGTCCGTAAATGTATTTGCTGTTGGCAGCTCGCACGATGCGACGGCGAGAAAGTTCCCACGACATGGTGACGGATTACGAGAGGATGCGCCCAGGGCGGGACAGAGTGGTTGGAAGAAAGAAAGAATGATGTGAGAGAAACAGGCGGCGACCGCCGGCGGTTCGGTTCGATTCTGTTGGTTTATGCTTTGGCTTCGCTTCGGGTTGGGGAGCCGGATCGATAAGGCGCGCCGCTATCGATTCGTCTCTTGCCTCAAAGTGAGGTAACGATTTGGCAAGCAAATCGAAAGGAGAAGGATGAAGAGTATGGTCTAGGATGACGAGGACCCTTGATGGAGAAGGACTCGTTTAGTGCTTCTGCAGGCTTCGACCGCTGGGTACAGAAGTGACGAGTGACGAATGACGACACGCACGGTAGAGGGAAGAGGGCACTGATGTGCTTCGCTGTGGCGCACGGGAGGAGGGTGATTGGCTGGTATCGCTGATTTGGGGGGAGGCGACGGAGGGTTTGTTCCCGCTGATCTGGCCGGGAGTATGCGGGAAAAAAACAGAGACTTTAACAATACGGAGGCCGACGAAGGAGCTACAATAAAAAATGAAAAGAAAAAGTAATCTTTCGCTTGGCGAGGGCAAGGGCGATGTAGGACGGCAGTGAAGGGGCTTATAACGTGGGAAGGATGGTATGCTAACTTTGCCTACCTTAGTAAGAAAGGCGGGAATAAGACGACGAAATGGTGCTGCATGTTTGCTGCTTTGCGTGCTTCAAAGCAATGGAACTTAAACGGTACAACCGACAAGTATCTTTCTGTCCGTCCACGAAGGGAAGGTGAGGCAGAAACCAGAAACGCAGACACGCAGACATGCAAACAGGGAGCTCTTTCCTTGAATCCATCGGCGGATATTCGCACCAGGCCACACCTCCATTCGGGATTAACACTGTGTCGCGTTATGTCGCTGTGTCGCTGGGCGCCTCCCGCTTCCCCACACGTCGCCAACAGGCAGAACCGCACATCTAAAAATGGCTCCCGTCCCTTGCCTTGGCCAATTGACCTCAAGTTTCGACAGAAATATGGGCAGACAGAGACGCTACGGGTCGACGGCGGACCTCGAGAGCTCCCCGACGGCCCCGACCCTACCGAAGCCGCGTCCCTCCGTATGTCGCACAGTGCATTCACGGCCCTGCCCCCTCCCCCACCACCATCCATCCAAGCTCACTCACTCACACCGCCCCTCGCTCCTCATACCGTGAGTGTTGTGTCTTCATCCCAATAACTGTGTCTATTCAGACGGGGGACCACACACACGCTTCGTCCGTTTCTTCAAACCGACCGACACCCTTTAGCCCCGTGCTCGCACAGAAACCCCAAACGCGACTCTCGCTGTCCCGATCAATGCTCCCGTTTCATACACGCGTACAATCGTGGGGTAACCGCTGTTTCCTACTCCCATCGCATGGCCGGTGGCGTACAGGGGTGAAGCTTCTTTTCTACATATTCCATCACATACCATTAGCTTTTCTAGCTTTTCAAGCTTTTCAACGAGGACTCCAGTAGGACGGACCGGCAGATGAACAAGTCACCCATCTCAACAATCTCATGTGTCCACCACTTCAAAGGCTATAAAGTCTCCCATCCTTGCCCAATAGAAACAGAGTTACGGAACGGCGCTGCGGTGAAAAGAACGAGCTTGTGAGCTTGCTAAACATAGGGGTCCTGCCGGCAGGATGAACCCTGACCAACATACCTGATTGCGGCAGAGATATGTTTAATCTGTCACATTGTGTTTCTCGACGCCTCCCTACTGCCTAATCTCTTGAGATAATGGTTGGAAGTATGGAAAGACTAAAACACCATCCATTGAGTCGGGGCATTCCGTTTGTCAATGCTAATGTTGTCGGCCGTCGGCAACGTCAACATCATCGCAACACACTTCCCGGACAGATACCCCCTTTCTACAACCTGATGCAGTTCGCTTCTCGGGATCCGAGTAACAGCTGTGCATATAAACATCAAGGAATGGGGCTCGCAACTAGTAACTAGCGAATGGTGTGAGTGCTCTGGGGGGGCATGAGAAACATTCTTCGCGGCTCCCAGTCTGTCGTACTTGGTAAGGGACGTATCTCAGTCGAATACCATGCTAAATCAAGCAACTGGCAGACAAGCCGAGAGCGAGAGAGCTCAGACCATCGACTGCTCAAGAAAACTTCTTCAAGCCGGTTTTCCATTTCCAACAATTTACAATGCTGCTGACCATCTCAACTGAGGGAGGCCAACGGCCGAGTCAAGTAACAGCTGCGACCACCTCAAGAGCCTAGTCAACTAGCAGTCCCTAATCCTCAGTCATACATCTATCATCATTGGTATTAATACTAGCCTGGCCCAAATAGCAGGTGTCTCCCACATCAATATGTGGTTAATTGTCTTGTGCAACTGGTACAGAGCAAGTTGTCTGAAGTCTAGACGCTCTCAACTCCTCCGCAACTCTTTCACATAGACCCTCCCTGCTCTCAGCTTCAGGCACTGGCATACTTTTTTTTTACAAATATATGTTGACAGAAGACCGCGAGTACCCAATCGTCTTGGGCCATTGGCTATAATCCGGCTCGAACAAGACCGCGTCGTTGCAGTCACTTCCCAAGCTCGTATTGTTTAACCACGCTACCGAAAGTTAGCCAGTGAGTCCAAAATCATCAGTCCGAAGAAAGGGTCATATTCACCAGGTTCCCAATACCACACGCCCTGTCCAAGACCCTTGGGTGTCTCCCTCACAGTCTTGAGTAGGTCCTTCATCCACTCAACCTGTCCGTCGACGCTGTACGGGATACTCGGCTCCGAAGACTCGGGGATCGGGTTCCACTTGCCGTCGCAAATCGCAGGGTAATCCGTCTCGACGACCTGCATGGGCTTTCCGTACTTCTCCCCCAACACCTTGAGCGTTTTCCGCAGGTTCGCAAGCGTCGCCGACGTGCCGTAGAATGGGTAAAAGCTAAACCCGAAACTGTCCCACGCCGACAGCGGCACGCCATTGTCTACAAGCGCGCCGTACCACCGCTCCTGCAGCGTCAGGTTCCAGCCGTTGTCGATGTGGATGATGACCTCGGGCTTGGGCACGCCAGCACGGGTGGCGTCCTTGACGCCCGCCCTCGCCGCCTTGTAGAGCGTCGCAAAGTTTGTGAAATTCTTGACCAGCGCCGACCACGGCTGCACGTCGACAGACACCTTACCCAGCGGCCACAGCGTGCCGTGGCGTATCTCGTTGCCCAAGGAAACAATATCCAACGTCACGCCGGCGTCCTTGAAGGCGATGAGCGTCTCGCGGACGTAGTTCCTCAGCGTGTCGGCCAAGGGCTCCAAATGCGTCGGCCACGCCGCGGGCAGCGGCTGTTTCTGCGGGTCCGCCCAGCTATCGGCGAAGTGGAAGTCTAAAAAGATGCGCTGGCCCTTTGCCTGGAAACGCTTCGCGAGGGCAATGGTGTAATTTAAGCCGTAGGTGCCGTCGGGCGGATTCACCCACAGCCGGAGGCGTACGGCGTTCATGCCACCGTCGGCGAGGATGTCGTCGGCCGGGCGGGTCGCGTTTCCACGCGCCGTGTCGATATAGATATTGTTGTTTTCCTCAAGCATCTTGAGAGAGCTGAGATCGTGGCCCTTGTAGAAAAAGGGTTTGCTGTGGCCGGAACCAGGGCTGTGTTTCTCCTTGTTAGCTTCCAGGTTTGTCATTGTGTGATGTTCGGTGTAAGTGGTTGGACGTACTTGACGGGCTCTGGGGCCGGAACGGCCGCGGCCAGAGCCGTGAGGCCAAGCAGAGAGATCAAAGTTCTCGCAAACATGATTAGATGATATCGCAGCGGTTGAGACACAAAGAGCCAATCCTTCAGCTATCTACCGACGACGAGACGCCCAGTATATATATCACTGGAAACATTCCCCTCACCGCCCACCGGGCTAGTCATCAAGTCGAACGATGCTTTCACCATTTCGCAAGGGTTCAGAATAAATGCAAGCGAGCTGTCACGGGTCTCGGCAATCTTTGTTTTTTTCCCCTTTCTCGGTCCAATGTGACCATTCGACGGAAGATCTCACGGACAGAGACACTCAAGACGGCAAGCAAAACAGCAGCTGACAATATGGAGACGGCCCGAACTGCGGGGACTCATCGTGGGGTTGATGGGGGAGACCCCAGACTCGGCACGCTGGCGATTGGTGCGCCTGGATGTGGTGCCCCTGCTCGCCCGTAATTTCGGATATTGTGCCTCCAACGAGTTACAACAGCTTCGTTGGTCTGCGTTGGTCTGGCTGGGGTGCCAAGTTCCAGCAGTCTGGGCTCGCCGTGGTTCCATCAGGTGACAGGGCGGGGATGAAGCTTCGAGAAAACATGGTGGAATTGGAACCCGTCTCCCCAGGTCCAGATCCAACCTTTCACGGCCCTCTCGGGCTCTCAACCGAGGTTTATCGTTCAACACTCCAGATTTTAATACAGCCATCAATATTATGTTCCATTTGTGGTTAACCTTAGCCATCGGCCAGGACACGGGTCCAGTCGAATTTCCTCCACTTCATCTTGAAACCCTCGACTCTTCTGTCGCCCTTGTTCCACCGTCCCTGTTTCTTGATCACATCCGGGCCGACGTCCAGGATGCCCCCGATAATCTCCCTTGCAAACAGGTCTCCTCTCGGCCAGCGGTCAGAGTTCTCGACAATGTGGCCGAGGCCGCCGTCGAGTGTGAACCACGCGTGAAAGTATGGCATCTCCTTTGCGATACTCCTCCGGAAAGCCATCCTGCCCATTCCATCTCTTGCCTTGGCGGCCGTGTCAATGATCTTCCGGTGCTGCGACCACTCATCTTCGGTGGTGAGGAAGGCCTCTTTGAAATATGCCGGAGCAGTTGCGCCCTCTTCGTACGGAATTGGCACGGCCATCATAGCCGCGTGAAGGTGCCTCTGCGGCGCGGCGGCGTTCTCGTAGAAAATCACTTCTTGGCCCTTCTCATGATACATTCTTGTCAGAGACTTCATAAAATTACGAATCTCTTCCCATTCGTCGTCGTCACACTCCAGCAGGTTCTTGCGATGCGCCATGGGTGTGATGACAGCGCCGCCTTCGCTGACTTCGGGCTCCGTAGGCAGCGTCAGGAAGACGCGGGTGGCAAGAGAGATAACCGGTGCCAGAGGAGGCAGCCCCTTGTCCTCGTGGTGGCACAGCGGGCAACTGTCTAGTATCCGCGACACCTTCTGGTACTCGTTGACGGCCACGTTCTTGAGGTTGACCTCAGACTTGTGAACTCGCTTGGCAAGTTTTTCTGCATTCTCATCCATATAATCGAGGTCGTTATCAAACTTGCCGTCCTTGGCGATACGCTCGGCAAGCCGCATGCCTTCGCCGCCAGCTTGACCGCGTGTCCTGCGCTCCTCGCGAACCATGTCTTCAATAGACATGTCCTCGTTGGCTTCCACGTTGCCGCGTTCTCGCCCACGCTTGTTTTCAATGGCCTTGGCTTCACCACGAGTTCCTGCCAGCATGCGGTTATCCATGACACCGAGAACAACAGACTGCGGCCCATTAGTGGCAAAATTCGCTGCCGCCTGATTATATTCGGCTTCCAACTTAGCAGCATCTTGTGCCCTACGCAGCTTCGCCTTCATCATCTGAGCTCGCAGTCTGTTCAAGGCGGTCTGATCCATGGGGGTATGCTGCATGGCGTTGTCGGGAATGATGATGCCCTGTTCCACCTCGTGGGTGTCGTCTCGTGCGGCGGGTGCCTCCTCGTGACGCTGTTTTCCCATGCGCTCACGATATAAATCCCCTGTAGGCTTTTCCTTGCCTACATAACCATTCCCATACACATTACGCCTGTCCATTTCAACCTTTTCTTCTCTCGCTTCGTCGAACTCTTGCAGGTCGCCAAATCTCTCAAGAGCCACCTCTTCAACAGAACGGCCTGAGTCTTCAGCCATAGAGTAAACACCCTTGAGCTTCGTTAGGCGCCACTGAGAGCCGTTGTCTCCGAATGTATAGTTCACGGCCCGGTCTCTTGTCGTGATCTTCTCACTCGATGTCGGGATATTGTCTACTTGAGAAAAATCTCTGTTGATTTCCCTGTCGTGGACGACTCTCGGCGGCTCTTCTTTTGGCGGTGGCTTGACCTCCTTCTGCTTCCGCTGAACATAGTCGATGTCGAGGGCCGACGGCGCAGTCATCCAAGAATCGCGCACCAACGATGTCACTGGAGCTGTTGGGTCCGGAGGAGTTTCTTCATCAGGGATCGGCAAGTCCTCTTTTGGATCTGATGTCTTCTCGTGGGTTTCAGCCCGGCGCTCGTCGTCTCTTTCTCTGTGCCCATGTCTCGATCGTCGCTCGTCGTCGTCCTTTACATGGCGAGACCGTTTATGTCGGTGGCCGTCCTCATCATTTTCTTCGTGGCGCCGAGATCGATGATGTCGATCTCTGTCATTGTCTCGGTCGCGGTCGCGCTTACCATCTCGACTGCGATTTGTAACGCGATCGCGTTCTCGGTGTCTATCAGAAGACCGATCGCGGTGGTGGTGGTGGTGATGGTGACCGCGCTGCTTCTTCCTTTGCCTGCGTTCTTCTTTTTCGCGTTCAATGCGCTCCTTCTCTCCCTTCTCAGCTGCTAGAGCCTTTTCAAATTCGTCGAGGCCGTCCATCGTTGCTGGGACCAGCGGTGGGAAGTTTGATACCTCAGTGATGGAGCTACCGGCTGCAGTCGCCTGTTTTTTGGCAGAACAAATTGGCGACGTGGGTTGGACGTCACTTCCTAGCACGGACCATCCAGCTTCTGAAATTGACAGGGGGGTCTGATTAGTTGTTACAGGGGGTCTCGCCCACTCTGACGCCCCGCGCGGGGCACTCAGCTCTTCCAACTCTTCAAGAACTTTTTTCCTAGCGACCGTAAGAGTAACATCAAACAACCGTGGAAAAGCCGCACGCAGATTCCCGTCACCACACCAGAATGGCTTCAACATCCGCAGATACCCCCGCTGATAATGCGGCCACTCAGACGCCGACTGCGATTGTCGTCGTCGGCATGGCTGGTAGGGAATATACGCACCGCGCCTTGCGCTCACCGTGTCGCTGACCAATATCACCAGGCTCCGGCAAGACGACCTTTATGCGACGCATCAATTCATACCTGCACGGCAAGCAGGATCCCCCCTACGTGATCAACTTGGATCCCGCTGTTCTCAACGTCCCTTTCGAAAGCAACATCGACATCCGCGATTCGGTCAACTATGAGGAGGTCATGAAGCAGTACAACCTGGGACCAAATGGCGGTATCTTGACGTCGCTGAACCTCTTCGCAACCAAGGTTGACCAGATCGTCAACCTGCTCGACAAGCGTGCGGCGCCAGACCCAGCGAACCCCGACAAGAAGCCTATCAAGAACATCCTCGTTGATACTCGTAAGTCTGCTGATTGCGTCAACAGGCTCTTTGCTAACACCACCGCAGCCGGACAGATTGAGGTGTTCGTTTGGTCCGCCAGTGGAACCATCTTGCTCGAATCTCTTGCGTCTTCCTTCCCGACCGTCATCGCCTACGTTATCGATACCCCTCGAACCACCTCCACGAGCACATTCATGTCCAATATGCTGTACGCCTGCAGTATCCTCTACAAGACCAAGCTCCCCATGATCTTAGTCTTCAACAAGACCGACGTGCAGGACGCGACGTTTGCCAAGGAGTGGATGACGGATTTCGAGGCTTTCCAGCAAGCTCTTCAGCAGGACGAGATGAGCGACGTAATTGGTGGCTACGAGACATCCGAGGGCGGCAGCGGTGGCTCTGGTTACATGGGCAGTCTCCTCAACTCCATGAGTCTCATGCTCGAGGAGTTTTACTCCCACCTCAGCTTTGTTCCCGTCAGCTCGCGTCTCGGGACCGGCATGGACGAGTTCTTCGCTGCCGTGGAAGAGAAGGCCGAGGAATTCAAGCAGGACTACCTTCCCGAGCTTAAACGCAGGCGAGAGGAGCGGGAAGAGAAGAAGCGTCTTGCCCGCGATCACGAGGTGGAGAAGATGATGAAGGGAATGTCGGTGGACGCGGGCAAGAAGCCAATGGTCGTCAAGCCCGTCGATGACGACGACGATGGAGTTGATGTCGCCAGCGACGTGGATGACGACGACATGCCAGATGACGAGGACGATCGCGAGGGACTCCAGGCTCGTTACGAGGCCGCGATGGAGGCGGAAGGCGACTCCATCATGGCCGATGGTAGTTTCGCAAAGTATTTACACACGCGGCCGACATGATGTCGTCACACGCAGGTCACATTTATTGATACAAAGTGAACAATTGGGTAGGGGATGGCGTTTTAGACGGTTGCTGCATTACCATGAGATACCTCGAAAAGGAGAACAGGTGCAGAAGAGTGCCTTGCTCTATGAATTGATTTTGGACCCCCAACCTTGAACTCCTGCAGCCCTTGCGCACACATTGTGTTGTGCTTAAATTTTGTTTCATGGCGTCTTTCGTGCATGTCCCTTGTATGAGACACACTCCCCGGCTGAATAAGGTGCGGCTCCCTGCCAGATAGCCAAGACTCTCCCGTCGACTCTCGAGTCCGTCATTCCGTGTCTCATCCAGCGTCTACTCTCGAATGCGCAGCATCACATCGTCATAGCCGCCCCGCCTCTCCAACTTTAACACGTCGCGTGAATGTCAAATGCTCTCTGCTCATATTTCTTACCCCGATCATCTCGCCTCGAACTGGACCATTCTGCCCAAATAGTCAATATGCGCTCTCCGCGTTCCCAGAATCCCCTGCCCTCGCCAAAGCATGTAAAACTCACCTCTTGGTCCGCTCCTTGTAGAGAATACGACAACCGCACTCCTTGCAACGGATAGGATCGGCGCGACGGAGCTGGAACTTGAGACCGCAGTCGCCGCAGAGGTACTGCATCTGGGGGCCCTCGGTGCCGTAGGAAGTGTAGGCGGCCGCGCTGGGCGCGGAGGCGCCGCCGGCAGTGGGGACCTGGTAGGCTTCGCGGGACATGTTGGAGTGGTATGTTGTGTTGTTCTGAGTTTTCCGTAGGCAGGAGAGAAGCGGGTCGTCGGGGATGGTTGAGAGTGCGTCGGATATCGAGATTCTGGCAGTTGGAGCGATTTTCTTGACGACAGGCGGCGGCGGGTCGGATTGGAAATGCAGAGAGTACCTAGAGTTGGTGGGCTGCGATTACAATTTGTTAGGCGGTGAGGGCGCATATGATCGGCAGAAAAAGGTTGCCTCGGGCGGTGTGGTCGCCCGCTGTTCCTCGGGGTGTGGAACTCTGGCGAATGGAGCCTCCGAGCCGGCCCACTTCCCGAGGTTATCGCTGTTACTGCCGCCCTGATTTCCTGGGGAAGACAGCTGCCGGGAGTTGAAAGAAACAACTCTTGGACGCCGCAGCAGGCCCAACGAACCTCTCATCTTCGCATTGTTCTGTAGCTTATTCCTTTTTCTCCCCCGGCTTCCCAAGCCCCATTCAAGCTCTGTATCACTTTGTAAAGCGACAACATAGCGGGTCTTCTTTAAACCCCCCCAGCGCAAACAACGCCTCTACACCACCGATAATGCCAAAGCTCTACCCGACTTTCCACACCAAGACGAAAACCACGATACCCGCCCTCGCCAGCACATCATGACACCAAGCTCCCAATTCGATGCCGGCGTAGAGCATCCCGAAGGCCAATGCCCCTTTTGCGTAATCGCAAACGAATACTTGCCCTACGACCCCTCAGAGCCACCCCAGGACGACTCGACGCTCGACCCGAACCGCATCCCTACGCCCGCCTTTGTCGTCCTCTCAACGCCGCTCCTCATCGCCTTCCTAGACATCCTTCCCCTGTCTCGCGGCCACCTCCTCCTCTGCCCGCGCGCCCACCGCCCGAAGCTGACCGACGCCTCGCCCGAAGAGTCGGCCGAGATGGGGCGGTACCTGCGCGTGCTGTCCAACGCCCTGGCGCGCACGACGGGTGTGGAGGATTGGAACGTCGTGCAGAATAATGGGGCCGCAGCGGCGCAGGTCGTGATGCACATGCACTTCCATCTTATCCCGCGACCCGAAATCCGCGCGAGCGGACGGTATAGCGAAAGCTTTACCATGTTTGGGCGGGGCCGGCGGGAGGAGCTCGACGACGAGGAGGCGGAACATTTCGCCAAGGAGCTGCGGGAGAACGTGGCGGACATATTGAGGGAAGAGAAACACAAGTCAAAGCTCTGACGAGGAGGATGAGGATTTTTCTTTTTTTAAAAAAAAAAAAGTTTGATTAATTATTCATTTCATGTATATGGGAGAACTTTAACGTCCCGGCTGCGAATTCATCGCAGCACATGTTGCAATGTCGTAGCGTTGATTGGTTTCCTTTTACTCATTGTGTGAGTCTACCGCTTTCCTCACTCATTGCACCGCTGCCCAGATCGAGCATTTACTCATCATCACCGAAGAAGACCTTGACACCATCCGGGAGGAAGGTGCCGTCGCAGACCTTGAATCGGTCGGGGATGGCAGAGATCTTCTTCAACTCATCGTCGGTGAGGGACCAGCCGTCGAGGTCGTAGTTGGCCTTGATGCGGCCCTCGGAGACGGACTTGGGGATGACGCTGACGTCTCTGGCCAGGCCCCACTGCAGGAGAACCTGCTGGGGAGTTCGGTTCTTGGACTTTGCGATCTCGAGGAGGGTCTCGTTGGTGTAGAGGGGGGAGTCGGTGCTGCCCAGGCACGAATAGGCGGTGGCGTGGATGCCCTTTGACTTACAGTAGTCGAGGAGCTTGGGGGAGGGGTTGCAGGGGTGAAGCTCAATCTGGTTGACGGCGGGGACGATCTTGAGGGAGATTAGTATGACAACTCATGTTGTATGTTGCAGTAAGTCAAGGTACCTTGGTGGAGGGGTCGCTGAGGAGGCGCTCGAGGTGGGTGAGGCCAAAGTTGGAGACACCAATGTTCTTGACCTTGCCGGTGTCGACGAGCTTCTGCAGCTCGCGCCAGGTGTCGACGTAGTCCCAGTCAGGGTAGTGCTTCTTGAGGTCGTCGGGGTCGGTGCTGGAGGGCCAGTGCATCAGGTAGAGGTCGACGTAGTTGGTCTGGAGGTTCTCGAGGGACTTTGTGATGGCCTCGGGGACGCGCTTGTGCCAGGGGTTGTCGAGCTTGGTGGTGAGCCAAATGTCTCCGCGAGGGACACCCGAGGCCTTGATACCGTCGCCGACCTCCTTCTCGTTCTGGTATGCAAAGGCGGTGTCGATATGGCGGTAGCCGTTCTTGAGGGCGGCCTCGACGGCGAGCTTGACCTGGTTGGGGGCGGACTGCCAGGTTCCCAGGCCGATGGCGGGGATCTTGGCACCCGTGTTGAGGGTGAAGGTGCGGGAGGTCTGAGACATGGCTGCGGATTTGTCGTCTAGTGTGGTATACTATAGAGCCGGGGGTATCTTGGAATAGAAAGCAAAGACTCGGAACAGGAAGAGATAGAGAGAGAGAGAGAGAGACAAGTTATCGTGGAATACCAAAAGATGCGCCTGGGGGGGATGGGGAAGAGTTCTTTTGTATGCACACGGCGGGAAATCATGTCAGCAGGCAGTAGAAGCAAGCTACGATGGGCTCGGTATCCTTTACACCTCGTCCTCGTCTCGTAGTACAATCGCCTATCTGTCTACCCGCCCTGTACTGCTTAAGTATGTGCTGGTTGTGTACTTCTCCATGCGCGAGAGGGAGACTTGTGTGGGAGGAAGGTCCAGTCCATTGAGTTGTTTGCCCGCCGACCCCTGATCCCGCCATGCCGCCCCAAAGTGTATCCAGAGTTGCCCCTCCCCCCACCTCGTGTGCGCCTGGGAATGACGCAGGAGGAACCGGGGACCGAGGGGCTGTATCATTTTCTTCTCTTTCCCTGCTATCTCTGATGCGCGTCGGATGCGCCTCGTTGCGCCTGTACGCGGGGACTTGCCGACCAGCGATCCGCCGACCTATCGGCTTGGAGCGTTTCTGTCTTGTCTTGTATCTTGGGACCTGTCAGACATGGCAATCTGGTTTCTGCCGTTGTGCCGCTGTCCCCGAGAGAGCAGCTTCTACAGGTCAAGTATTCCTTCGTTTTGTCTTTCTCGGTCCGTTACCCTCGCAATACCAGATACCTGCGTCATATGCCTAAAACACTCCCAATGGAATGTCATCATGGCAAAGGTATTCAACAACAAAGGGGGGCCAAGATACAAGAAATAGAGAATTGGCCGGGCAAGTCATGCCGAGCAGAAAAATCAAGCCGGCCTGGACCTAGTCGCAGTCAGCCGTTTCGTTTCCAATGCGCCTGATTGGTAGCGCTTCTTACCCGTCCCAATCCGCGTCGTTGGAACGGGAAAATGTCCACCGACGCGCCATATTTATTTTACTCTATCTATCCGTAGATACTTCAAATTCCCATACGTTTCATCCTCGCCCCGTCCACTCTGCCGGGCCAACAGGACGTCACACACGCACCGACTCCCACACAGAAGCAAATATCAATGACGATGCGCACTTGGTTGGCCCACGATAGGCGGCGCGTGGACTCGGTGTCCAGTTTTCCCGGGCCTGTCGAACCCAATGTGGGCGCAACCTGACGTTTCTCCTGTGCAGCCGCACGAATGTCTTGCCAGGAAACCCCCAACCTTGCGACGACCCTTGGTTTCAATGGCACCTGTGTTTTCCTTCTTTGTTGAAGAATGAAGAACTTGCTAGAATGTTGTGGAAGGAAAACATGTACCTCTGACTGTTGTTTCCCTCTTCTGCTCACCTCTCCTTTTCATAGTAAGCTTCCTTTGTTTCCCTCTCTCGTGTATCGCCTCTCTTGCCTTGTGAGCGGTTGCTGGTTTTCCAAGTTTTGCCGCTTGTCTGAGTACGGAATCGGCTCCTAGAAAGCGATCATCTTGCTCCATCTCCCTTGATGAAGCCATCCCATTTTTCTGAGAACTCTCGATCTGAGGGAGTAAGTGTCTCGGGCCAAGACTTTACTCTCTGTAAGTTGGCCGTAGAAAGGGCTTGGGCTAAGGTATCTATGCCCTCTCTGCTGTCCCTCATTTCAAGGTCTGCAACGTGCTTGTCTGTAGCCAGCCACCTAATGGGATTCCATTCATGAGTTGTTGTTGCAAGCCCAAGTCTATGACTTCGGTGGCTGGTGTCAGCTGGTGTCAGTGAATCAATCCACAAACGACGGATGACACAAGACGGCATGTCGTTGGTTTAAGCACAATGTCGGATTCAGATCCCCCAGACTCGGGCCGACCACTTTCGGCCGGACGGTTCGTTCGGCAATGTCCAACATATCCCGATTCATGGTACTCAACTGATCCATCAGTGGCGTGATCGTCGTATGAGATCAGCCCAGCGGAAAGGGCTAGACGTAGCCACTTGTGACATCAAGTCAACCGCAGTGTTTCCTGCGTCAAGTGTTTTCTGGTTCAATGTTCATCATTTCAAGGCACATATCGAGCCACTTTCTAGACGCTTGCTCAAGCTATTGTGGTTAGGTATGGCGCAAGTCGTTTTCCTTGCTATCATCATCTCCTCGCTCATTTTAGAATATGACCAAGTGTGCGACTCCCTCAGGCCACAGAAGTCCTAGGCGCTTAAGCGTAGCCCCTGTCATTGGCATCCTGAAAAGTCCATACGAACAACATATGCCCGTGACTCAGATCGTGTCACGGTCTGGACTGCCCGAGCTCGTCATTGGCTCCCCGCCGGGGCTCTGATACCCGCTGTCTCGTCGTCCATCTGATGCTTCGTAAACTCTATCAGGACGTCGCCGACAATCCTCTAGCCCGTCCACTGAGCCTCGGCTTAATCTGCTTGTCCTTGCTCGCTTCCTTCGCTTAAGCTGACCGTTGCTAGTTTTAAGACTTTGGTAATAAATGAAACGAACATCACTCGGAATGGCATGGTTTTCATTCACTTCTCTTGGCAACCGTTGCCTGTGGACGAGAGTTCAGGCCCTAAGCCGAAGCTTTATCCCAGTTGATGATTGCCAGACCTCACATTAGCCTATTCAGCAGCAAGGCTCACCGTTTTCAAGAGCCGGCAAGCGGATGGCAGAGTGCTAAATACGAAGCAGAGAGACTGGTTCACAAAATGACCTGGCATGATGAAAGCACCACAACTTCGGCCAAGATATCCTGTCTCTCCTACATGCTGCCCTCCGACGTTGGTGGTGCAAGAGCGCAAACCAAAACTTGTCTGCGGGTCCCTTTCCCCATTGGCGACGATACCAGCAGAACAGGCCCATCTTGCCAGCATAGGTATCGTCTTATTCACACTGACGATGAGGAGTGACCAGGTGAATTGGATATATTAACGCCGACGCCAGGGCACACACATCTAGTAGAAAGCATTGTACCGCCGCAACGAATTGAAACAAAAAAGCCCAAGAGCTTGTAATATCTAGACTACCGACTGCAGCATTGTGCTTCTAGTTTCAGTGCATCTGGAGTGAGCTCAGGTAATGGAAGCATACAGTTTCTGACTAAAGAATCTTTGCTACAAAATCATCGAGTAAGATGGGGCTTGCCTCACAATGCTAGTACCAAGGTGGCGTAACGTTCAGAATTCCAAACCCGTCTTGTATTCTGTTTTGTTTAATGAACTTTACCATGATTGTTAGTTCTTATAGGGTGTTCCCTATGCATGAAGTGAATATGTTCGTGAACGACGGGGGGCGAAATATAGGCTTGTCTAACGACGGACTATTACCGCGATGTCGAATCTTTGGACGTTTTTGAAGTTGGGCCCCGGCAACTTGAACTTTCTTGCTTCGCTGGCTCGCCAGACCATTCAAAGCTCTTTTGTGCATGTAGCAATCGGATCTGATGGTGATGTGGGCTACCGTAGGCGTCAATCATTGAATACAAAATTGATAAAATTCCATGTGCCCTCAATACTTACTGGACAATGACATTCTCCTCACCCAAAACAAACCGGGTTTTGGAACTCAGAGTAAGACGTTTGATTTTCCTACGAGCTGCTAAATACTCTGGTTGTTCCATTTCTCGGTCCATGAATCGGAGTAAGATGAAATGCGAATAAGGAAATCCAACGAAGGCTGCTGGGTAGATAATACAAGAAACTTGCAATTCTCAGCTGTATTTCGATCAACTGTCATTGTGCGTCAACGGGGCATGAAAGTACAAGAGCACCTGACGCAGCAAGTAATATCGTAAGGTGCTCTCTCGTAGAGAGAATTGGGTTGAGCCCGGCGCCATGCCTTTTCCAAACGATGATAGCAGGTAGGGTAGGTTTGTTGCATACTCCTGCACCCTCCTACCACTGAAGTATCGGCAAAGTATCAACAGCTTCAGGCGCACCACAATACACACCGTGCTCTACTGAACCACCACCGGACTAAGATACCCCTCTTCCTGTCTCGTGGCCCGGCAATGGCAATTATTAGTGCATCAACAGAACATGAAGCGATAATAAAAAAGCCTTCACAAGTCACAACGCCGCTTGACAGCATCGTCTATGACAACAGTCAGATCGAAATATTGCGTCCCACTCCCCTTCAAATCCAGGTTTTTGTCTGCAAAGCAGAATCATTCAGCAAAAGCGACAATTCGACTTCTGGCGAACCGGCCAAACGCGGCCCCGTCCCCCCATCGTGAGCGGATCCCCGGAAAACTCCATCAGCCGAAGCCGGACGGAAGGTCGGGGGCTAACGGCTCTTTTCAGCCCCCAAGGCTCTTCCCCAAAGCCACCACAATCGACGTCGTCCAAAGGCCAACTTTTGATGCGGCCACGACTCCTGCGGCCAGCGAACCATCTGCCTACTCTCGGCAATCAAGCCAACCAGGGGGGCTGTAGAACCGGCCTTTTTTTTTTTTTTTTTCCCTTAGGGAAGGGGAAAAAATCAAAAGGCAACAATTCATTGGACAGGCGTGAAGAAAAGATGGGATGCACATCGAGAGTCGGGTACAGCTGCGTCCGAATTGACGCCCGATTTTATGGACTAGGCGACCAAATATCTAATCTCTCGCCCCAGGCAATCTTATTGCTGCTCTTACTTCGGCGTTTCTCCTTTGAATACTCTCAAGTCTCCCCCTCTCCCTCAGTCCGAAGGGAAGAAGACGAAACGAACTACATCCGTGCGCTCGACAGCGATCGAAGTGGATGGCATGTGAGGGCGTTTGCTTGCAAGTGCTGCATTCTGTCGCATGTCGAATATAGCTCGGCTGCACATCAGGTAGTGAAAGGAGTGGGATTCCGTCAAAATCCCTTCGAAAGAAAGCGTATGTGGCCTTTTGAATCGCATCACAAATAGTATGTCAAAGTATAATATTGATGATTGTTTCCTCGCTTCGTCATTCACTCGTCAAGCTTATGGTCGGACACTGAGGGACTGATGTGGTTGAATATAGTGGAACGTGGTACTGCTACGTAGAAGAGACGAGTCTACTCTTCGGCATCACCACCGGCCGCAACAGCCTTGACGGCATCGCCATTGGTAGCGGCGGGTGCCTCGGCAGCCTTGACCTCACTTTTGGCGGGGGCATCTTCGACGCCGTTGGCAGCCTCCTCCTCCTCCTCCTCCTCCTCTTCCTCAGCGTTGTCTTCACCCTCAGGTTCATCTTCTGCTTCCTCTTCCTCGTCGGCAGCCTCTTCAGCGTCGGCCGCGTCATCCGTGGCAGCGGTTTCAGTCTTCCGCTTCTTCGATGGAGGAGCTTTCTCTGTGATTTCTGTACGTCAGCTGTTTGTCTAGATAAACCGGCGTATTGAGCGCTGCTGAATGGCTTACCGTCCCCGCCGTTCGCTTCCGCGTCTTCCTCGGCGTCTCCCTCTCCCTCTTCCTCCTCTTCCTCCTCCTCAACGTCGTCATCGCCTTCGTCTCCGTCTTCCTCTGATTCATACCTTGTAGACAGACCTTGTTAGCCGTGAACTCGAGGTAGATGGAATACAAGCCCGCGTCCCCGTAGTCGAGGACGCAACCGGAACCTCAAAAAGGGCTGGCGCATAGTTGCGATAACATTGAAGCTCCACTGACAAGGTAGCTCCAACTGCGCGTCCAAGTTCGCGGTCTGAGATGCGGCATCACTCGATGTCCACGGCTCCTCAAAGGAAGTCGACGATATGGGTAGGACAGGGACGACTTACTCCTCTTCCTCTTCACCGTCGTCATCGGGGAGGGAGACAAGCTCCTCGTCCTCTTCTTGCTTTCTCTTGCGGGTAGACATTGTGAAATAGAGCTCCGTAGGGTTCAATTGGGTGTGTTAGGATGTCTCGGGGTGAGATTTCAGTAGGAGACTGACAAGATAGGGATGGGAAGAGAGAGATATGTAGGAGAAGTAAAGAGAGAAAAGAGAGAGAGTTGGGGGGCGGCCAGAGGAAAGGTAGGCAAGTCGGCGCAAGGAAAGCTGTTTGGGGGGGGAGGACGGGGCAAGGCCAAAGGTGGGCGGGAGCAAGTCGACTGGTGGTAGCTCTTTGGAGCGTAATGGGCGGGCGCGAGGAAGAGAGGAGAGCAGGGAGTGTGAGGCAGTGGTGTGGTGCGGCGGTGCGGCGCGCAAGAGTGTGAGGGGGCCCTCGGGGAGGGAGCTCCCTCTCAGCTCGGTGGTGCGTCTTCTGCCATACTGTTTGCGAGGGAACGTGTGCGAGGCAGCGCCAGAGCCAGAGCCAGAGCCAGAGCCAGAGCCCAAGGAGCAAATGCTAGGCTTTGGAGATTGGAGCAACACCCAGTCACCCAGTCAAGCCCAGAGACAAGAACTAGGCCAGGACTGAGAGGAGGGAGGCCAAGGTGGATAGATGGAGGGTGGCTGGGGGCAGCTTGGAGTCGATTGTCGAAGGAGGGGGGGGGTGTGTGCAAGCCGGCGGCGACTGAGAGGAAAGGAAAGGAGACGACCGGCGGACAAGGAGACTGTACAGTGGACAGACGTGAGAGAAAGAGAAAGAGAGGATCGCGCAAGGGCGCAGGCGCAGGCGCAGGCGCAGGCACCGGCGTGGGTGTGGGCGTGAACGTGGTCGTGGGCGTGGGCGGAGGAATCGGGTTGGGTGGAAGATCCAAACAGGGAACCAAGCAGACTGACTGGCGCAAGCTGGTCGACGGTCACCATCGACCTCGAAGTTTGACACTCTGGTTGGTCCGTCGAGCACGAGGAGCTCGGACCTCTCTTGGGAAGCAACAGCATCATCATCCCTGCCCGGACCTTGGGTGCGTGCAGCAGCAGTGCAGCTCCGAGGTGGGAGAAGATGAAGCTCCGATGCCCTGCCGTTCCTCGCACCACCAAGCCAGACGCCAGAGAGTGCCAGAGCTTCCTCAAGTTCCTGACCATCACCTTCACCATCACCCCCATCCGGAGACTCCCCCATCCCCCCCCCTCACGTCTCCAACTCGCGTTGTTCTCGGTTGCTGCTGCTACCACCCCCTGTGTGAATCGGAAGCAGGAGCTGCAAGCTGTAGTTGAGAAAGCCAATGGCAGTTCTCAACCACTAGCAATTTCTTGATGCGACCACACCCTTGGTGTAGATGAGGAAGTCACCATAGCCGACCGTACACTGACGTGATTCCATACGGAACGGGACGTCATGAGCACCGTCATCACGTGCACTGAGCTGGTCTCCCCTCCACTGTCCCATAATTCGTATTTCCGCTGCGTCTTTAATCCGGGGTTGGGTGCCGAGCTCCGCCGTATGCCTCTACTCCCTACGTGCATTTGCAGCCTTGACAAAGATTGACAGCCGATATTAATGAGATGAGCGGATGCCCTAGTCCAGCTGAACAATCAACAGGAGAAGACATGACCGAAGAATTGGAGAAAAATGGACAAAAGGGGAAAAGTTTGATCAATATTCTTCAGACTGGACGAGATCATCCTCTAGGAAGTTGCGGACTGGTAATCAGCGCGCTCATTCATCCGGCACTGTCCATCTGCCACCCGAGGGAACAGAGATGAGGAAGTTGGTTCACCGCGTTGGCAGTAAGGAGCGTCGCGTACGCGAGGTGCGACCACAGCCGCAAATTGCTCTCATACTCCAGAGAAGCTGTCCCAAGTTGCCAACTCGTGCTACTCAGCAAGGGTTGTGACTTGTGTCTTCAATTGACAAGGGTCGCGTGAATAAGGGAGAGAAAAGCCAACAAGTGGAACAGCGTTGACGCTCCGGCGTTTGGGTAGCGTTAGATACAGCATGTCCGTACGGATAATATGCTGGTTTGGCCTGTTGCATTTGGCGGATGGTACCAACTGTGATGGGCACGCTTCCTATCCGTGATCAGCTTATCGAAAGACCTTGGCTATATGCGAGCCCCTCGGGTAGGGTGGCCGAGAGTTGGAAAGAAAAAAAGATTTCTCTTGTGGCAGCCATTGGGCCGCGAATCCGACTCGAATCCGACTAGTCCGAAGGTTCCCCTCTCGGTGGTTCCAGGGAGGATGAGACATTACCGATCATAAATCTTGAAAGGGCTGACATGTCGATGGTCTGAACCAAGGGAAAGGCACAAACAAGAGGATATAGCTGACTTGGGGACGGGGCACACCGAAGAGATATGTACTCTCAGTGTCCATTGCTCTGATGTTCTCGGGATGGCCAGCTTGTTCCTGAACATGGGTGTGGCGAGTATGCTTGTGGGGCCTATTGAGATGCACAGCGGGTGGCACGGTGGTATCCGGCTCCGCGGTTGGCATGGCTTCAGCCAAGGGAGAGGTATCTGGGCTGGACTTGCCCATCAGCGCCGCCGCCGAAAGTGTTGGTCGATGACAGGTCAGCGATGCGTGGAATAAGGTAGTCTTAAGATTGGGGGTTTTCGACCTGGAGCGGAAAAGCTGACAAAGACTGATTGCAGTAAAATTGCTCAAAAGAAATAAGCAGGAACAACAGTCTCGAGCGCGAGTGATTTCTCCCGAGGATCGAGATGGAATTCAAGCGGATCGAAGCGAGAGGATCAAGAGCGTCGAGAACAACTTCTCCATGCCTTGTTGGTAACGGGTCCGATGATCGAGATCAGCATAGTAGCGGCTGGCATGGAAGAATGAATGATGCATGCCCACTGGTAGCGATGTGCATGAGAGCCGCCAGATTGGTACCCGTTGGCCCTCTTAGCGGCGAAGGGCTGAAGGCTTTGTGGTCTGGGTACTTTTGTAGCTTTGGAGTACGAATACACGATTTACTGATATGACATCGGTTCTCAAATCCTCCAATGGGGTATGGAAAGAAAACCAAATCAAAGCCAATGTTATTTCGTTGGTGGGAAAAGAAGAAGTTCATGACCGTTTAGTCGATCCATATTCCATAAGTGGACGACAAAAGGCAAGTATCTCCAGACGGAAAGGAGGAGCAGAATAAAGTTCCTCAGAAAAAGGGAAGGGAAAAATAACCGAAGAGGAGAATAATAGAGGAAAGAGGGGAGAAAAGTCCCTATCAACGGCGGAAACTGGGTCCAAAGCACGAAGAAAAAAAAGACAAGAGGAAAAAAGAATTTCTCCCACCTGATGAGTAGGATGTAAACGAATCAACAAGCTGAAAATGACAATGGAGGTGCAGATTTTCTCTGGGAGACAGCCCGAAAAGGGAGGCTTGACCAGTGAGGAATCTGAGGATCGGAATCAGGCCCTTGTCCGGGAAATTGTAAGGTGATTGGGCAGTGGATGATGAATACTCGATTGGGAATAGCTTCAGGCACCAGGGGCACTAGCAAACCCTCTTCCCGCGAAGTAGAGTGGCCAGCAAGCCTAAGGTAGAGGAGGGTCGGCCCCAAGCTGTTCCAGTGGGAAGGGCCGCCGGTGCCGGACTGGAGGCAGGCCTTGTTTGCTGGCCCCTGCAAGCAACGGCGCTGCTTGAGCCCCCTGCAAGTGGTTGCGTCTGATATCGGGAGGTTGCAGTGGTCGCTGGTGTTGAAGGTGGACGGTCAGTAGCGGGCTCGCTTCCGGGCCACAGGCCTCGTGTCTCTGACCTTTGTGTCTCCTTTGCATCTTGTGAGATATCAAGGGGTTCATACTGCCGGTCCTTGTTCCTCGATTACCCGTGGGCCGTGGACGAGGGGGGCGCGGTGCGACACGATACGATGAGTGTGATTGTCGAAGTCGCCCGCTGTCCGGGTTCTCACCTAGGGAACTCGTTGCCCTGTACAGAGCTGTGCCCGACCACCTCATCTGTCATTTTTGCCCTTCTTGCCAGCTCGTGAGTGGGTGTCATGTCGAAATATTGTTGGACGTTCCGGATGCACAACCAGGTAGGGAAATGGTCAGGGCGTTGCAATAATACCAAGGGTGTTGTACAGTTACTGGGCCCAGGTGATGCAAGGGAGGCGGGAAACCCGCTCAAAGAAACATGAGACGACGGTACACATGCCAGAGCGTGGATTTGCTAGCAATTGCAAGTACTCTTGTCGATGGGCCACATACTGAGTTTATGGGTTCTGCTTCTCGAAGGAAGAAACGGGGACCTGACCAGGAAGAAGAGGACCGAGGACAAGGGCGACACGGGTGACATGGGGCCTTGGAAACAAGCGCTGACCGACTTGACCGGGCCTGGGTGGAATACTGAGAGATGATTGACGAGTGACTGCGGGGAAGGATGGCACCTTGGTCCTTAGCAGCAGGTGTGCGAAATTTGGTGACGATATGGATGGAGTGGTGAATCGGATTGATGAGATTTTTCACATTAAATGTGCCTGTGCTCGCCGACTTGCAGTATCTGAGTGAGCCTGTGAGCCTGTAAGCTTGGGAGATGTTACGACGCCGGGGAGACTCATTCAAGAGTCCACGATGGGCGGCGGGATGGCGCTGGCACCGGCTCTGACCGACTCCCGTCTCTCACCGTTTTAAACAATCTGCGAAGCGCGGCTTTCTTCCTTTTCGGAATGGGATTTAGGTTGGCGGATGGCCGTTGATTTCTTTGATTTTGGTTTTGTTTTTGGTCTTAGTCTCGGCTTCGGTAGAGGGAGGAGGAGGAGGTCTGCCAGACTCCATGGAGTCCATTCTAGGTTCGGCGTTGGCGGCGTCTCTCAGTGTCCGTTCCCGCAAGCAATCCGTAAAATGTATCCGTATGAAGTATCCAGTCCTTGCTGTGGATGGATGGACGCAGTTGTGGCAGGCACGGTCAGTATACGAAGTATCCGTAAGGTACAGAGATTGCAGTGGTGTCTGCTCACCATCATAACCGGAAGGTTTGAATTTGATAACCAAATTGCCTTGGCATATTTTCTGGTGGACCGTCCGCTTCATCAAAAAAAAAAAAAAAAAAAAGACTTGGATTATTGGATGAGCATACGGATATTGAATTTCCATACGTTACGGATACCGTCCCTTCGGACCCTTCCTCACCTTGCTTCGAGGGAGTGACCACGTCAGGCGAAGAAGAAGCGAGAGAGCATGGAGACAGCGAGGACGATCCGAGTCTATCCAATCTCCTCATCTTATTCAGTCCACTCAGCTCCTTCTCCTTCCTTCCTTCCAGTGTTCTTGACCGTCGTTGTCATTGTCCTCATTTTCGTGGCTCGTCCCTTCCGCCGTCACTCTCTATTTCCTGCACCTTCCTGCACCTGCGACCTGCCCCTGCCTGCTGCACCTGCGACCTGCGTCCGCTCTGGCACTAGCACTGGCACTGGGCACTGGCATCATTCGATCGCTCCCTCCTCTCTCTTTCTTATCCATCAACAGTGCAGCTTCCTCGTCGTTGTTTTCGGCGGCTCTTTCCCTCCAACGCAGCCCTCGTTGTTCCTTGATCCCTTCCTGCTACTTGTCTACTGTTTTTCCCCCGGCATCCGACATCGCGCTTCTCGTTGGCGCAATTCGCCCGAATACTCCAATCTTTTCCTTTTCCCCTTCCTCTTTTCTTCTCATCCCCTCCGTTCGTTCACGGTTCAACTGGGACTTGTCTTGGACTTCCTTTCCTGTCTATACAGCACCTTTTGCTATTTGTTCCATCGGTCGACCACTCTCGGTACTAGCACTCTGACTGTACGTCACTGAGGCGATCCGTCTGCCAGAGAGTAGCCAATCACCAGCCGTTTCCGATACCCGGTCGTCGCCTTTCTTTGCTTCTGCCTCGTGGCAGCGTTGCCCAAAATCTGACGCACGAGTCAATCGCCCTTTCGTCTCCGAAACACTTCAAACTTGGCGCCGCCACGAACCCCCAACCCGCCCTCATACTTTCCGTGCCACCAAAACAGAAAGGTTTAGACGACGCCTTTGGGACTTGGGGACTGGAACCCTTGAGGATTCCCGCCATCGCTTCTCGACCTTCGACTTGTCTCTTTCTGTTTTTCTTTTTCTTGTTTTCCCGCCTTGCCTTGCGCTTGAGCCAATGACGACGCCCCGGTCTGGGTCCAAACGCTCGCTTCAGTTTTAGCATCTTCGTCTGCGACAACAGGCATCTGCCCCCAAAGGAGATTCAGGTCCCCCCCTCAAACACTTCCGCCAACCGCCAACCACCATCCTTTCGTCCAATCCAATCCAATCCAATACCTCTGAACGACTGGGGACTCCAGAGAAGGACTGGAGACCTGCCACAACACCACAATACCACTCAGCCTGCCAGCATACCGCACCAGCCGGATACCGCTCCCTTGCTTTCTCCTCACTCTGCCGACGACGACGACACTCTCCTGCATCTGCATTTATGTCCGTACCTGCCTGAGCGGCTCGTCTCCGGCTTTCTGCGTTTTTTGCTTCGCAAGTCCCGGCCTACCATCTCCCAGCTCAAACGACGCTCCTTAACTCAGCCGTTGGGTACATCTCTGATTCCAACTTCACCCCTTACATCCAGCCCCCGGTTTGCATGCGCATGCGCATGAACTGTACTCAGGGTATCACCTCGTCTTGTACGCCCTGTGATGCTGGAAACTTGCCGTTCCTTGCTCGACTCGTCCTGAAAGCCACCTTTTTTCTGCACCATTTTCGCACCGACCGTTCTTCATCCCGCCATATCCCGGCCATCAGCAGCGATCGCCCATTGATCCAGCCCCGCCCGGCCAATACCCGTCGCGAGTTGCTGAGACTATTCAAAGTGGGTTGCTTCCAAACGCAAGGTTTATGCATGTGCCGCAATGGTATCGTCAGGAACGCTTTTGACTACCCTACCACAATCAACCTGCACAATCATTGCAGACACTTGACCGCCCTGTCGTGATACCAGCCACAACCCATTACTGCTTTATCGACAACAGACCTGCGAAACAATATCATCATTTGCAATTTCCACGCGTTGTGCGCAAACCCAATTGCTCCAGGAGAACTCGCCATTGCTACACGACGGCCGGGGGGAGTCAGCCAAGATGACCCTCATGGCCGTGGCAGCGGACTCTGGCCATCCCGACGCCCAGATCACCCCGGGAGCCATGGCGGACCAGGACCCTACTGTCCACCGTCAGAATAGCATGAAGCATCGCCAATTCGGTATTTATGCTTCAAGGCGGACCCATCCGAAACCCAACTCAACTTCAGACGTTCCAGAGCGTCCCGACTCCGACTTCCCGACAGCCTATCCACCAACACAGGCACATCCCTTGCCCACATCGCCTCCACGCTGGGACTCACTCTCCAAGACCTCGACCAATTTTGGAATGCAACAAAACTCGACAAACCCCCAACCGCAGCCACTATCCCCTCGACGTCCTGCCTATGATTCTGCCCAGCACTACCCCTCCTCCCCTACGTTCCCCTCGCTGGCACCGAGGCCGGGTCATGACCTCGACGACGACTTGAGTGCCGACGAATGGACAAGCAGAGCCGCTCGCTCGATCAGATCTCCGATCCCGTACGACGAAGACGACCGTTCCTCGATCGACACCATGCAGGTAGACAATTTCTCTCGCCCGAGAAGGCCCAGCATCAAGCAGCCGACACAAGATTCATACCGACCTCGAGCCAACTACCCGTCTTCAGAGCCCCGTTCTGACCCCAATTCGCACCATCAAGCATGGCCGCGACCACGGGGCCAGTCCGGATCATCTGCGAGGTCGGCTTCAACGTTTGCCTCGCTCCCAGCTTCGGGAGGTGACCTCTACGAGCCTCGCGCCCCCTCTCGTTTACGAAGTGCCCCGCCTCCGTCAGGCCTCACCCGTCCTCCGATGGCATATGGCCGCATCGACAGCTCGAGCTCTGGTCTATCTACGTACGCGAAGGAGGCGCCGTGGATGAGTGGGGAAGACGAGATGAGATCTAGTTACCGATCCCAGATGACTGCGTCGAGTGCACAGGGAACGTACGTGACGGAAAGAAGCAGTGTTCTCACCAAGAATAGCTCGATCCCATCGCTGTACGCTAACGGGGAGGAGCTTAGTGTCGACGACGTTATGGGAATGTACGAAAAGGGCTTCCGGGACGACTCGAGCCCCGAGGACCACGACGACGATGACGATGTGCGTCCAGTTCCAGCGGCGGAGATCAATAGGAGGAACACGAGAATGCTGGAGGCACTGAGCCAACCCTTGGTTGTACCCGCCACCTCGCTGGCTGTTCCGGCTTCGGATACCATCGTTCGTGAATCCACCGAGATGTTCAGGGTACCAGGATACCCAGCCTCTTTGCCGAAGGAGCTCGGCTTGACTGACTACGATCGAAACGACGACGACAAAGATACTAATGAGAAGCGAGACTCTGCGAAATCTCTCCAGAGTGACACACCAGCCACGTCCCCGCAGATGAGCAGCCCTTCAGCCTCCTCTACGCGAACGGCCGTGGATCCAGAGCCGGTTGAAACTGAGGAACCGGGCGCACGGGACCGATACGGGTTCAAAAAGGCCAACCAGCATATCAACAGGCAGCAGTACGACGCCTGGGACAAGGGTTATTCCGAATACCTCGACCGACGGCGCAAGAAGTGGACCGCATTCATGAAGGAGAGCGGACTCATGACGAATCAACCTGAACGATTCCCTCCCCATAGCGCGAAGGCAAAACGGTTCGTGCGGAAAGGCATTCCGCCTGAGTGGAGAGGGGCTGCCTGGTTTTACTACGCGGGAGGCCCTGCCATCTTGGCAAAGCACTCGGGTCTCTATGAAACCCTGGTGAAGAAGAAGGCTAAAGACATTGATATTGAGGCGATTGAGCGAGATCTTCACCGGACATTCCCGGACAACGTGAAGTTCAAGCCTGCAAGCATGGCGTCGAAGCCAAACACGGAACCATTGCGAGACGGCGAGCCAACGGACGAATCTGAGAATGGAGCCAAAAATGAGCCAGTCATCATCTCTTCTCTCAGACGAGTATTGCGCGCTTTTGCCATTTACAACCCACGTATCGGATACTGTCAAAGTCTCAACTTCCTGGCCGGCCTGCTCCTTCTATTTATGGACTCGGAAGAAAAGGCCTTCTGGCTGTTGAACGTCATCACCCGGCTGTACTTGCCCGGCACCCACGAGATGAGCCTCGAAGGCTCCAAGGTGGACCTTGGTGTCTTGATGAACGCTATTAGGGAGTCCATGCCTGCTGTCTGGGCCAAGATTGGCGATGATATGGAAGGCGACCCGAACGCGGCACGACCGGCGAAGCCGGTGAAAAAACCGAGGGTGAGGAGAAAGAACCAGCCTAGCATCTCGTCCAACCGTCTGCCGCCCATTACACTTTGTATGACGGCGTGGTTCATGAGCTGTTTTATCGGCACTCTTCCTATTGAGAGCACGTTGCGGGTTTGGGACGTCATCTTCTATGAGGGGTCCAAGACTCTATTTCGCATTGCCTTAGCCATCTTCAAGCTTGGAGAAAACGAGGTTCGATCTGTCACGGACCCCATGGAAATGTTTTCCGTGATCCAGGCAATGCCTCGCAAGCTGCTAGACGCCAATACTCTTATGGAGGCTTGTTTCAAGCGTCGCAACGGGTTTGGACATCTCAGTCAAGACACGATCGATACCCAGCGGGAAGAAAGACGTGTCAAAGTCCAAACAGAGCACCAGAGAGCCGCCACGTACGCAGGCGCCGTGGACAGTGCCAACGCTACCGAGGCCGAAGGAGAGTTCCGTAGGAAAGGCACCCTCTTTGGACGCAGGAGGCTTGGTAGATCAGCAGAGGTATCGTGAGCCCATCGCAGAGGAGGAACAAAAGTTGCATGCATGCATTAAGCCACGGCGTTTGAGGGAATACTTGCATTTTAAGGTTAATGACTAATGGCATGCGGGACCATTGGGAAGCGAAAACGGATATCATTCTAGAAGAGGGCAGCGCGGTCACACCCCTAGCATATTGGATTTTTGGTTCAGCATAGAACATATGTGGAGGGAGTGTTCGAACGGGACAAGCACAGTCTCATCAAGTTGTAGATACCATGTCTAGTAGCATCACACAATGCTCAAGCTTTTCTTTGTGCATTGCTATCCTGTGAATATTCATTATGAGTGCGCTCCCTTCCCGCGCGAGACGCAATGAGTAAGGTATTGGGTGTCCAGTTTGTTTCGGCGTCGTCACAAGAGTGCTGAAAAGCGACATGTTTTTGGCATTCTGTAACAATTTAGTATGGACGCCGTCCCGGATGAGGCTCGCTCCAAAAGGCCAATGTTCTACGTGCTCCCTCTCTAGCGCTATGGGACAACGCAGCCTTTTGATCCACGCAAAGGACCGACCACTGGTTGTCGAAGCTCTGCTCATGTTGTCTGAATGTTTGAAAAACTGATCCAGCCCGTTAAAGCATAGAGAAACTGAACTCCCATCTCCCAAACGCCGCTAATGCTCAGTGTCCGAGATGGTCAACGCCATCGTTTTTTTTTTTCCACCTCTTTTGTAGTCTTGCTCAAATCGCTCAAGGTATGTCCGGAATTCCTTAGCCATCTCGACGTTGTGTCGTATCGCGTTCCGTTCTTGTTTCGTCACCCTCTTCCGTTACGCTGCAGTTTATGATTCACACTGTTACAACGTTTCACGCTGGCCATGCTCGCTTCATTTGGCATGCGTATCAGAGGCAGTAAAGCTAGCGGGGCCCTTTGCGTAGCGCGTGACGTATTGCTTGGCGTTCTTGTCAAACTCAACGCGGTTATTCTTGAACTCGTCGGCGATGCGGGCCTCGAGGGGGTCGTCGGGTAGGGGCTCGATGAGGAGGGAGCGGACGGCCTCGAGGACGGCAGCGAGCTTGGTGGCGGGCTTCCAGTTTTCGGACTTGAGCATGCCGAGGCAGATGTTGCCGCTGGCGTCGTTTGTAATGTTTGGGTGGTAGATGCGGGTGGCGAATTTGACGACGGGGGCCTTGAAGGGGTAGTCCTTTGGCAGGTCGACGAGGACGGCAAAGGTGCCGCCTGCGTAGGGGGTGTTTTCGGGGCCGGTGAGGGAGACGTGCCAGGCGTGGAGGTCTGAGTCGCGGGCGAGGGCGATAGTCATGCCCGTGGGAGGGGTGGTGGTGACCTCGGTCAGTTCCTGGGGGTGGGCGTTTTGTTAAGGGATGATGATCTTTGGGGATTGAGCGTTGGGGAGAAATATGGCGTACCTTTGCAATACGTTTGCTCGACATGATGGGCGGCGCTTCGTGGTGTTGGTGTATATTCTAGAGCATTGATGCAGGAGCAGAGTTAAGCACCAGGTCGGTGAGCTTTGCCGAGTGGGTGGGAGCCGGTCACTCAAGGTTGGAAGCTCTCCAACGGCAGCTGGGTGGTGGGGCGTTTGAGGGTCAAATAGCTATTGGCTGATGTCGTCGGGTGGAGGAGTACTGCCCTGGAAGATTTGCAGACAATCCCGTTTCTTGGATGTTGGGAGCACAAGTAGCAGAAAGGGTGTCGAGGTTGGTCAAGAAGTTGGTGACGATGCAGTTTCCAGATTGGCAGTGGTGTTCTACGGTAGTGTGGGAGGAGAGTAAGAGCATGGTACCTAGTCAGCTTGACGTCTCGGCCGATGGCGGGGTAGCTGCTTCAAAGGCGTGGTGGGGTGAGGTCAGAGACAGCAGGGCAGTCGGGTCGGAGCGTCACAGGGCAGTGCTAAGGAAGAGTCATTTACTTGGGCAATTCATATACCTACCCAAGACACAAGAGGGCGATTGACGTTAGACAGAGTCACTTATAAGTCGTTTCGAGGCCATCATCCTTTGTTTCCATCATATTCTTCGGGCTGATTGCAGATATTGTCGTCTATCCTAAGCGAGCCTCATGGTCTCCTCACAGCAAACAATAATAATTGAAGTGTCCAGAGTCTGGATTGCACCCACAGACCACTTGGGTCAGGTAGTATAAATATTTACACTAATAGCCTGTAGACAAGCAAGCGATTCTTTACCATCACGCATCTATCTAGATGTCACAGGTTCTGTTAAGCTCTACTTCCACCACTTCTCAATCTATGAGACCCAGCGAAGGTAGTCATTGAGGCAACACCGACAAAAATTACTCAGACTAAGCCAGATCCGGGGCCCGTCCTCTGACACTGTCAATCAAGTCTCCAGAAGTAAGCTAATTAGTACGAGGCATGATGCTCGTGCACAAGGTTGGCGTCAGTCAGTGCCGCCAAGACCGACTGTAGATCTAGACGCCTCTCTCTCTCTCCAATCTCTCCGTGTCTCTCTCACCATGGTGCATCTTGGGGGCGGCTGCCAATTTACGCAGCAACTCGTTCAGATTGGGGATTGGGGGGACTGGGCGCGCGAGCCCGCTTCTGTGTGGGTTGGGCGGCGTGCTTGCGACCGAGGCACCGACGTGGCTGGGGACCAACGGACGAGACCAGCTAGGTACGTTGTGCATATCCTGAAGCGGTAAGAACTCAGCATCTCGGATCTTTGCATCGGGACGCTTGTCTGGGGAGTTGAGACGAAGGAAACTTCCGCCAGTCGACTCACAACGATATCGTAGTGCCAAGGTCTTCGTGCCTTTCTCGCGAGTACCACGGACGTTTTTGATTTATCGCACTCTCAACAAGGTCACCCGGTCGACAACAACATTGCTCTTCCTTCTGGCAACAAGATGGCAAACGTTGGACATGTGACTTTCTGCCATGTGTCCCCTAATTACCTCCTAGCTGGTCTTATGCTGACCAGATGGCCGGAGAGGGACCAAGGGAAACGCCGCCGCAATGCAAGATGCAGTAGCGGATGATCTCTTGGCCAGGGTATCTTGGGTGCTTGGGTCCGGACCTCTGCGATGCCCAGGCCCTAGGCTGCTTAGCAATGGCGTCTCGCGGGATCGAGTCGAGTAGAGAGTCTCGGGGACTTTGAATCATCGCTTCCCGCGCGGCATGCAAATGGAGCCAGTCCAGACTCCAGATTCAGATAACGCATGTGTAGTGTATCGTCAGGCTTCCCGGCGTCTTCCTGTTGCGCCTGCGGCCAGCCCTTCATGACGATAGGAATCTAATCTACCGTACGGCGTAGGCTGGCCCATTTTCATGTTAGGGTGCGGAAATTCATTCAAAGTGCTCTGTGATAAGATGGCTAAACAAAGACCGGAGCGGAGGGAGCAAAGGCACGCACCCCCGATACAACTCGGGGATTGACAGCAACCGAGAGACCCGATAACCCCGGGCTCATCCCCCACTGACCACAGCAGCGCTGATTCAGTGACAATCAATTATCCGCAGTATCCATGGATACCTTGGGCCGATGGATCAAGGACACCCGAAGTGCGAATGCGGATGCGGATGCGGCAGGCTCAGCCACCACTCAGAAGCCCGGAATACGACGCTACTCCTGCACAGGTCGTAATTTTTCATTCTGCTCAGTCTATCAGTCTCTCTGGTTTTCGTTAGCGGACTTTCCTTGGCAAAGTGGTCCAGAGCGGCGGAGGAAAGCTGTGATTCATCACTCAACTCTCGTAAAGACACTACCCATCTCACCAAGTGAGCCTTTATGGAGAGCTCACGTAACTACTACGGGTACGTTACTGGATTACAGCTGCGCTTCTCTTTAAGACAATATTACTCCGGCCGATGTAGCCGTGTCTTCCTGCGGTATCGCCATACCGTCATCCTCTCTATAGGATATCCATACACTCAATGTATACGCAGAGCAACATACACACACATTCTCATCAGCACCATCCCATCTCGTCCTATCCATCATAACCCCGTCCCAATTCTCGGCCAGTGGACTCGCCGGTGCATGAACGAGAAACCCTTAGCTCCAGCTCTAGGAACCCATCCGAGTCAATTCCCTCGGCCGGGCCCCCGCCAGAACCTCCCTCCCCGCGCCACTCGACATCGAAGTACAATCACCTTAGGCTCGGCCGTCCCTCTGTGACTTTCCCTCTTCATGCCCTGAAGCCCCGGGATACGTGTATTTGCATGTTCTCCATGAAATAAATGTACGGCAAAGCAACGCTCACCGCACACGTACCACACAGCACCCACCCACTTTGTGAAAACACCCCTGGCCATCCTTCTCTAGTCTTTCAATGACGGCCGTTGCGAACTCGTGGCCCATCTGACGCCGCTTCTTTTTGGAGCTGCTTTACGTACTGTTCACTGGTTCCTGTACGTGCACCCCTGACCTGTTCAACTGCTGAGCTGCGCCCATTCGTCGTCGCTCACCTTACCCTGTTCCTTCGTGTACGGAGTACTCGACCATACCTTGCCTGGGCTTACTTACTCCCTTTTCCTACCTCATGCTGTCAACATTCTTAAGCCAGCCTTTCTAACCTCTCCACTACCGTCAGCAGTCACCTCAACCTAGTCATCATCAACAAGCGCTCGCCCAGCCTTGCTTTTACCTCATGATACCGAGGAGATACGGGCATCTCCAAAATCTTCTGACTCCGAGAGCTTCTCTTTCATAGCACAGCAGGCCCACCAGCACCAAGCTCACAGAGCACGGCTTACGACCGCTTTCGGCTCTGACTGTTTAACCTTGCGCGTCCTTGTCCCCATCTCTATCCAGCGCCATTTATCGGGCACCCTTGTGTCCATTTTTATCCCCAGCAAGCTCCAGTTACCACAACAAACAGACGAAATCAAAGCTCCCATCAAAGCTCCGGACAAGCGCAAGGTCCACAAACACATACAATCAATCAGTCACTCACACGAAGCGGCCAATTGGTCAAAGACGTCATCCCTTTCGCCAATCGGCATTCCAGATTCGGATTATCGAGCCCGTGTTTCAGCGCCAAAGTCCGTCGCTGGGATCCACGGCCAGCCGCGACTGTCTCTCTCTCTGTCAGCGACTCGCCGGAGCAATTCCGGTTTCCACTCATCCTCGTCGTCTCCCGAGGTCCCGACTCAGTCTGAAAAGCAGGCCCGTCTCGTGGTTTTTGTTTCTCCTTCTTCTTGTCATTGGCCACGTTGCAGTCTACAACGAATTCCCTTTCAGCCTCATCACCTTTCATTATGAGTCGACTGGGCTCATGGTTCCGTTCAGCGGGCAAGGTGAGCAGCAATGCGAGCCCGGCCGCGTCGTCGATCAACCTGTCCTCCAAGGAGCTTTCCGCCAAGGAAATGGCCGATATCGAAGGGGCCATGGCGGCTGCCGCCTTCATCATGAACGACGACATTGATGGTGCCGAGGAGCGTTTGCGCAAGGGCGACTCGGCCTTTCACCAGTTGGGCCTGGCCATGACGACATTTCTCCGCTCCGTGCTTGGGTTCGAGAAGGAGGTCATGAACGAGGCTTCAAAACGGCTGGCCGACACGGAGGCCAAGGCCTGGGCGGACTATAAAAAGGCCGAACGAGACGCCACGAGCAGCAGGATTTACGCGCCCGGGACCGAGTTCTTGCTCATCCATGCCGAGTCTCAGCTCATGGCGGCCGTCGTTGCCGTGTTGCACGAGAGTCTGACGGAGGCTCTCAAGGGTTTCTACAAGCTTCGCAAGGCGTTTGTCACCCTTGACAGCATCATGATGCAGGAGGCCAAGGCGTTGGACAAGGAAAGGAACAAGGCTGACCCGCCGCCCCTGCGGCAACGGATGAGCGAGGAGAAAATGCCCGGGAGCTTTGACGACGAAGAGTTTGCCGACCTGGACCGGAACGATGACAGCGACATTGACTTTGTGGACGCCAGCGAGGTTCCCAAGTCGGGTGCCGTGACGCCGGCGGAGAAGAAGGCAAACGGTCCAGCGACGGACGCACCGCCGGCCCAGGATCTGGCGGCGCTGAGTCTGGATTCCGGCACATCAACACCCTCCGGCGACGCGAAGCTCGCCCCTCTCCAGGTCTCTTCGCAAATGGCCGATGACTCGGACACGGACTCTGGCGTCTTCTCGAACCCCGTTGACGCCTTCATCCACAGCGGTGCCAACATGTGCTTCGGTATGCTGCTCTTCATGCTCAGCATGGTCCCGCCCGCCTTCTCCCGCCTGCTGTACGTTGTGGGCTTCAGAGGCGACCGTGAGCGCGGCGTGCGCATGCTCTGGAAGAGCACACAGTTTGACAACCTCAACGGCGCGGTATCTGGTCTGATCCTGTTGGGATACTACAATGGAATTCTGGGCCAGGCGGATATCGTACCCGCGGAACGGGACTTTGACGCCAACGCTGAGATGGTGGGGTACCCCGCGCAAAAGTGTGAGGCCCTTCTGGCCTCCATGCGGACGCGTTACCCGGACTCACGCCTATGGCGCGTGGAGGAATCCCGCGTCCTGGCCCAGCAGCGCCGGCTCGCGGACGCCATCAAGCTCCTGACGACGGGGCAGGAGTCCAAGATGCGCCAGGTGACCGCCCTCAACGCCTTTGAGCTCGCTCTGGCCGCCATGTCGCACCAAGACTGGGAACTCATGCAGAAGACGTTCCTCCGCTGCCTCGAGCTCAACGACTGGAGCCACACGCTGTACAACTACATGGCCGGGTGCGCCGAGCTGGAGCTGTACCGCGACGCGTTCCACGCCGAGAAGAAAGATGAGGTCGAGATGCGGCGGAGGAAGAAGAAGGCCGAGGAGCTGTTTCGCAAGGCGCCGACGACGGCGGGGAAGAAGAAGTTTATGGCGCGCCAGTTACCGTTTGACACGTTCATCACGCGCAAGATTCAAAAGTGGGAGGAGCGCGCAAAGGAGTTGAAGGTCGATCTGGCGGACGCCGTCGCCGTTAGTCCCGCGCAGGAGATGGTGGGCTTATGGAACGGGACGAGGAGGATGAATGACGAGGAGCTGCACATGTCGGTCAAAAGCTTGAGATGGGAGCGGTGCACTCTTCCAGCCGAGGCCCTGGAGAAGGTGAAGAAGACTCCCGACGAGGCTTCCATCCGGTCGACTTGCCTCGCGGCTATCTATAGGAGCCTGGGGCGCTTCGAGGATGCTAGGGCAATTCTGCAGACAGAGGTCCTCAATGCAGACAGGTACGTTCCAAAGGCTGAGACTGGAATATGTGAGACGAATACTAACAAAGACACACAGGGCGGCGTTCAAGGGCTCTACAAAGGATGAGTACCCCCTGCCGACGGCGCACTACGAGATGGCAGTCGTGGCTTGGTTCGAGTGCTGCCAGCCGGAGAAGCGCCAGGTTGCGGCAGACGAGCCCTCGGACGCCGAGGGCCAGGCTAAGGCTGTGGCGGACTACCGCAAGAAGAAGGTGGACGAGTGCCAGGAGTGGCTCGACAAGGTTGTCGCGTGGGAGGCGTTTGTGTTTGACGCTAGACTGGGCATGCGTGTGCAGGCGGCGCTGGAGACACTCAAGTGGTTCAAGAAGAAGAACAAGTGGGCGTAGAGCGGCGGCAGTCAAGATGTATTGTTGTGATTCACTGGACTTGCATTTTACACATACAGGAGCCAGCCTTTGGGCGTATTGGATCAGGGACCTGGGGGACCGGAACACATGGCTTGGTGTAGACTTTGTCGGTGTATATGTGTATATATATACTTGGACGTGTCCGCACGTGGTGCGCACTACGTAGGTAGGTAGGTTACGAGGTCTGGACCGCGAGCGGCTCCGTCTCCATCTCTGGTTCGTATTCCCTCTCCCGTTCAGGACCCAGGGGATGTTCCCCGCCGACGAAG